TAGCTACCCCACCCTAGTGTTTTAAGGCTGTTTCACAGGAAAGAAGGGTTCAAGAGGGCTCTGTGCTTTTCTGATTGAGATGACTAGTCCTCTTCTTCAGATGTGAATATCATGGAGACTTGTTTAGGTATCTCCTCCTGCCCCCAGTCTTCCTGAGTTCCTAGTGGAGGTGTGTGGATGAGAACCTGCCAGTGGTGTTAACTCTCTTTGTATCTGAAGTTTCAAGGGATTCTGTATTCTCACACTAGCCACCCACACTTGGCCTTCAGCAATTCGTTAAAGAATTTTTCCTGAATAGCTCTTCCCTACATAGGCAGCACTTGTGTCTCTTTTGCCTGTGCTCTGCCTCAAGTGAGCCAGTGCTGTGGTCTGACTTCTTGGAGGCGTGACCTTTCCTCGAGTGGTATTTGCTTTTGGAGGGTGGTGCTCAAGTGAAGGTATTATCTTGCAGTGTCTCTGCTTATTGCTAGGGCAGCAGTGATGTTCTTTATAACTTTCCCAGGTCAAGTGGGATGCATAAGGTGGAACAAAGACACCTTGTTAACAAATTTATTTAAATTGTTTTATATTAAGTTTATGATGGATGAGAAAAATACTGATTTCCATTTCCATTAGTATGTGAAGTTCTCTTTTAAACTGGATTTTGATTTTTAAATAGTTAATTTGACAGACAATAATCCCTAGAGAACGCTGGCTCTCAGTGGATGCCAGGCAGGTGAACAAAAGATTGATGTTTTAGACACACTGGACCATGGCCTGTTACTGCCAGGTCTTACTAGTACATGGGTTGCTTCAGGGCATCATGGGGACATGTTTGGTGTGTTTAGTGGAACTGAGTCCTCCCCTCATTCGGTTTTAAAGTAGAAGGTGCAGGATGGTGATGGCAGGCGGCGTGTGTGGCTCCCATGACCACCTGCCTTCTACTAGCCTGCATCTACTCCTGTTCTCACCTCTCAAACTCCCACCAGTGCTTTCTTCTCTGCGTTCATGTCACCGCTATCCTCCTTGTAGCTCAGGGTCCAAACTCTGAGCCTCTTACCTTGGCAGATCAACCTTCAAAATTCAACTCTAATACTGAAAGAATTCCCTGTGCTTCCTCCCCGTCCCCCTTCAGTCTGTTTCCAGCACACAGCCCAGATCAGATCAGTAGTCCAAGCTCCCATCCCGCCCCCGTGAAAACAGAGGTCCTCACAATGCTCAAAAAGACTCTGTCTTCATCTTTTGTAGCTTTCTGTCCTCTGTGTCAGCTTTTATTCTGTCTCTTATTCAAGCAATGGTGGATTTAGGGCCCACCTTGATCATCCAGGACGGTCTCATCTTGATAGCCTTAACTTACAACAGCAAAATCTTGTTTCCAATTAAGATCATGTTTGGGCTAGAGGCATGGCTCAAGTGATAGAGCACCTGCCTAGCAAGCACAAACAAAGCTCTGAGTTTGAACCCCAGTACCTCAAAAAAAAAAAAGAAAAAAGCAAATAAGGTCACATTTATGGATTCCAGAAGTCAGGATGTGAATATGACTTTTGGGGTCATTCAACCTACTATATATGGGCAAAACTGCTGGCAGTAACATGAACCAAAGTTGTGTCACCAGATGGAACTAGTGATCACTACATACCTTCAAAGTGAAAAAAAAGCAAACCCAAACATTTTCTTGATGAAGAGTTAAAAAATGATTACCTATATTAAATCTCAACTCTTGAATACATATCTTTTTAGTATTAGGGGTCCTGGAACCCCAGGATTTTGTAAGACTGAGGACCTCCTCAGGGGAGACAGGAGGCAGCGTTCATTGAGGCAGACTTCTCAAAGTGCACTCCTGAACTTCCACTAGATAAAGATGCTATATGGCTAGAAAATAAAAGAGAAAATATTAATGTGTGCTTGGTCTTAACCCAGGTATTTCTCAGCTTGGAATATATCTTAAGGTGATAAAGACAATCCTGCAAATCCTCAAAGATATGTGCAAATCTTGAGTGTTTCCAAGAGGAAATAAAAGCAGAATGACACACTCACAACAGGGTTGGTTAAGCAGCTCAGAGAATTGCAGTGTAGAACTCTATGAGGCTATCAGAAATTATTCGGAAGCATGCTACATCTACATTGCGAATGAAATAAATGGCTATTGTGGGTGTAAAGTGCAGATTATAATTTTATTTACTTATGTACTTGAGTCAGGTTCATTATATTGCCCAGATTGCCCCCAAATTCCTTCTTCAGCCTCCCAAGGAACTGGGACTACAGATGTGTGTGTGCCTCTGTGCCCTTTGAAAGTGCAGATTATAAAGCAGCAATGAAAAGAAAAGTATTTGCAAAAGAAAGCCTGAAAGACACATGGTAAGATAGCAGTGGTTGTCCCCTGGTGTGATTTTGAGCAAATTAATACTTTCCTGTAATTTCATTTGTCAACAAATACATGCCACCACTTTTGTAATGGAGAGGAAATCCTTTTTATGCTGGAAAGAAGGATTTCACTTCTTATTCTGAGAAGGTGACATGGCACACAGAAGGTCAAGGGTGGCCTTGGATTTGTGTAGAGTTCTGGGCCCTGTCAGAATCACAGGCAGATTTCCTGTCTCATGGCCTGGGTTCTGTGGGAGGATGCCACCTGCTTCATATGACAAAGGCAGGCTGAGACCCCTGGCCACTGGCCCGGTACTCAACAGGGCGCCTGACCACAGCACAGGGGTTTTGTTTAGTGTTTTCTTCTGCCGCATTGACTCCCTTCAGGGTTTTTTGTGTGTGTGTGTGTGGTACTGGGGTTTGAACTCAGGGTCTACACCTTGAGCCACTCCACCAGCCCTTTTTTGTGTTGGGTATTTCCAAGATAGGGTTTTGTGAACTATTTGCCCAGGCTGGCCTCGAATCGAGATCCTCCTGATCTCTGCCTCCTGAGTAGCTAGGATTACAGGCACAAGTCACCAGCACCCAGCTCCCTTCAGTTTTGAGTCTTTCAACTATATCTTTTTGGCTACCAGCACAACAGTGCCACCTTGTGGCAAGTGAGTCTTTTCTTTGTTTTGTTTTGGTGGGACTGAGGTTTGAATTCAAGGGTCTGTGCTTGCAAAGCAGATGGTCTACCATTTGAGCCACACCTCAGATCCATTTTGCTCTGGTTATTTTGGAGATGGGGTCTTGCAAAATATTTGCTCAGGCTGGCCTCAAACCATGATTTTCCCAATCTTAGCCTCCTTAGTAACTGTTACTACAGGTGTGAGTCACTGGCACTCAGACCAGGCTGTGTCTGGTCCTTTGAAAACTTGGTCCACCCTCCTCTCTTAGGCTGGCTGTCGGATCCTCCCTCTGTCTTGATTGCCCTGCCTTCTTCTCATAGACAGCCACTTTTAAAAAGAGTTATCGCATTGCTTTCATTCTGACCTCTTCATTCTTCCTGCTGCCATTGATAAATAATTTTTGGAGGAAGAAGAAAGTAGTATTTAACTGATACACTGTGTGTGCATGTGCATGCACGGTGTCTGTGCGTACCCATGGTCTGTGCACACATGGGGTGCATGGCATGTGTACCCATAGGTGTGTGAACTGTCTGCCTTTGTATGCCTGGTGTTTGTATGTGTGCACTGTGTGTGTGTGCGTGTGGTGCATGAATGCTGAGCTCCAGTTTACTGTAGTTTGGATGAATGGCAACTATTGAAAGCGCTTCCCCAATCCCTGCAGCCCCACTTCCTGTCTTGTCTTCTTCCCTGTACTCTACCTACCTTATCATCAGCTGTGCTCCAGGAATTTGGAGCAAGGAAGCTTCCAAATGGGGTTGTGAGTGATAGAAATTCTCCCACCTCAGTCCTTGGAGGTCAGTTCTAGGAAGTGTGTGGAGGCACTGGTGTGAGCTTCTATCAGTTGCTGTATGACCTAGAGAGTTGCTGTTGCAGGAATCTCAAGCTGAGATATGTGACACTGAGGCAGTTTAGCAGGAAGCAACATTTTATTGTGCCGGCACAGAACCAGCGGACTCGTGTCTAAAGGCTGAGCACCAAGAAGAAAGGGGTCTCACCTTATATACCCTTGCAAGCAGGTTACAGAAGCAACAAGCAAGGTCTAATCCATATATGGTTATATTCAATTCTATAGTCTACTTTACCCTATTGTTACTTGACGTTCCCCTCCGCAGAGCTACGTGACCCCTCTCCACGTTAAGATTCCTCAGGTTTTATCTCTCCTCCGCCATCCCTACCTCCCTACTACTTTATCAGAACGCAGGCCTAGTTTCTTTTCTTCTGATCCTCCTCCCCGCTACCGTGCCAGCTGCGGAGCCTCCCTGGCCCAGTCAGTTCCTCTAGCTCTGGATGAAGCACTACAGGTCACTTTTTTGGGGTGCTGGGGAATGGAACTCAGAGCCTAGTGCATGCTAGGCAAGCATGCTCTACCACTGAACTATACCCTCAGCCCGAGTCAGCCTGGCTCTGGACTTTAATGCATACCTCGAGGTGTGCACACAACAGCAGGATTCCTCATCCTTACCAGGAAATTTCTTGAGCATAGCAAGCTGGCCTTAAAAATGGGGAAACTGAGGCAGGACAGCGCCTGATTTTCCTTTCTCGTTAAGTCCCGGCGCTTAACGAGGAGGGACCTCATGCCCGAAGGGAGTCACGCTGCGGCAAGAAAACTCCTTTGGCCAGTTTTTCCCCGCAATGAGAGACCGATAGCAGAGTAGCATCTGGAAAGGCGCTAGAGCTGCCTACGAAGGTTTGAGCAAAGCAGGCCAGAGGGTTTTAGCATTTTCCCCATCTGGGTTTGCCACGCTGTCTCTTCAGAACCAGCTCTGGGTCTTTCTTGGCAGGAAAAACTGCACTACCCGCTCTTGCTCCAATCCCAGCTCTACTCTTGCCCTAGGAGTGCGCTGCGCACTCCGGCCACTACCCAGATGGCCGCAGCTCAAGGCTTCCGCCCTCACGGGGTGTGGCTGGGCGGCCAACAGCCAATGGAGGAGCGCGCCTGACCGCAGCCAATGGGAGGACAGCGCGCGCCGAGCGCCGCGAGCGACGGCGGAGTCCCGGAGCTCGCCATGTCTGGCACGCCGGCTTGGGGCGCAGCTACCGAAGAGAGCATGCGGGTCCGCCGGAGGTCCTGGACCGAACTGCTGGGTAGGTGGGCGCCAAAGGAGGGTGCCGGCTCCGCCGTCCCCTCCCTCCTTCGTGGGCGTGGCAGCCGTGTCCCGCCCGCTGCCCTCGTCCCCTCCTCCTGGTCCCCATGTTCCCGGGCGCCCCTCTACCCCGCCGTCTCCCAAGTCCCCTTCTCAGCGAGGCCAGGGCGTGGGGGCCGCCCCGTGGGTTTCAGGCCTCAGTCGTGGTGCAGGGCAGCGATGGACCCTAGACACGGCGCTGTCCCGGGTCCCTCGTGGCCGGTGGCACGGTGGCCGTCTGGTCCAGGGACTTGGAGGCGGCTGGATCCGCCGTGCACACCCCCTGGCTGGGTTGGTCTGCTGAGGTTTTGACCGGATCTCTGCAGAAACCCTCAGGTCCGGGGCGTCGCGTGACACCATGTTTTCATTTAAGTAATGTACTTTTTTTTTTTTTTTTTTTTTTTTTTGCACACCTTCAGTCCAATTTTTTTTTTCCTTGCTGTGGTTATTTTGGAGAGAGTGGGGGGGAGGGGGGGGGTCTCGTGAACTATTTGCCCAGGCTGGCCTCGAACTTCGATCTTCCCGATCTCAGCCTCCCAAGCATTACAGCTAGAATCACAGGTGTGAGCCATTGGCCCCAGGCATGCTGTACTTTTTTAAACTGATTTTCCCTCTCAGCGGGAAGGCTCAAGAGGCAAAAATATGATCCTGAAAAAGAACAGAAATTAAAGGATTCAGCTCTGCACCTCCTGAGAAGCCATCAAAATTTGAATGACCTTTTGCTAGAGGTAAGAAGTTGGCTTCGCTTTACAGGCAGATTCAGATTTGGGTTTCTTTGAGTCCAGCTAAGGCTTAGACTTAATAAAATTCTTAGGAAGTTTCATGTTACTAGTGGAAAAACAACCAGGTACACACTGACTAGGTGAGAAAAGCTGAACACATTTATCCCTTTGGAGATACAAACACTTGAGAAGTGAATGTAATGATAATTAATGAAAGGCTTTAGTAAATTCTACTTTAAATATTTGAAAATGTCTAGTAGTATGCACACAGCCTGAATTTTATTTTTTTATTGTTGTACTGGGTGGGGGTACATTGTGGCAATTACAAAAGTTCTTATGTCAAATACATCATATTGAATTCACCAATTTATCAGATATATCATATTGAATTCACCCCTCCACCCATACCTGCAATGGTTTCAACGGGCGCACAGTCTGAGTTTTTAAAATGTGCTTTATGTTGTGGTTTCTAGGTGGAAGATCCACGGTGTGAAAAATTGTGTCTTGGCAAATTGATTGATTGTCACAGTGCTGAAGCCCCTCCCGATCATTCTAGTTTCTTTATAGGTGAGTTACTGCTTCATTTTATTAATTCACTGAGTTACAGGACTTTTTTTAAAATGAAAAACGACTATGACCTGCTTATAACTAGGCATTGGCTGGAGGCTTGCCTCAAACAGTAAGTAGAGTGCCTGCCTAGCAAGCATGAAGCCCTGAGTTCACACCTGAGTCCCACTTAAAAAAAAGCCCAAAAAGCAAACAAAAAATCTGACTCAACATGGGGCTCAGGGACAGTATGAACTGAAGTGTTCCTTGGAAAACCATGGGAGGTACCCCTCCTTCATGGACGTCTACAGGTTTGTTGGGCTAGGGTGAACAGGCATAAAACCATAAATACATGTCTAGGTCTTACCCTTCCTCCATAGGGAAAGTTCTGGAGGAATAACAAAAGATAATTTATTGTCCTTCATATTTTTGTTATACAATGACTCTTTTCAGAAAGTAATATTAACTAATTTATTCCTTTTTTTGTTTTTTTTATTGCAGTGCTGGGGCTTGATCCTAAACCTCACACATGTTAAGCTAATGCCGTATTACTGCGCTACACACCCAGACCTAGTTTGCTTTAAATTTCTATTAAAATAGCCTTAAATCATTGGCCTGTTTTGGCCACTGATCACTAAATGCCATTGGTAACTGATAATGATTTTCGTTGTCTTACCTGTATTTGAATTGCACAAATTCTGCATCATTTTAGGGAACCACACTTGCTTGTGTGGACTTTTTTTTTTTTTCCGGTTTGACCTGAGTGGGTCTCTATGTAGCCTCCGCTGACCTTAGACTTGAGGCCTAAGACCCTCTTGCTTCATCCTCCTGAGTTTGGGATTACAGTTATGTGCCACCAAACACAGTTGGACATTCTTTTCATTTGTTTGTTTGAGACAAGGTCTACATAGCCTAGGCTGCCCTCAAACTAGAAATCCTCCTACCTCAGATTCCTGAGAGTTGGAATTACATGCGTACACCACCACACCTGGCTTTGTATGTACTTTGGATAAAGGCATATGGACTTGTGCAATAAGCGCTTTGACCTTGATCACAGAAATATAGACCTTTGACTCATGAATTTTTCAGTTTTTCCTGCTAAAGAGATGGCTGTTATACTTCTGTTTATGTAAATAAGATAAAACCTTGTAAATAATCTGTTTTCCCAAGGAGACAAATTAGAAACATGTGGCTAGGAATTACCATTTTTTTTTCCTACCTTTCTACTGTGAATTATATCTGTACCACAGCAACTGATTTATAGCACAAATTTGAAGCCTCTGTAACTGTTGTATGCAGCAACACTTATGTATTGATACACATTTCCATAGCTTTACAAATAAGGAGCACGTACTATACTTTCCAATTTTTTCTTGAAATATTTGGAAGCCAAATAAATTAGAAAACAACTTTTTGTAAGCACTGCCTGTTTCCAGGTTGTCTACCATTTTTCATTTTAAGGTTTGTAGATCAGAGGCTTGGGAGCTGCCAGAGGGCCAGCTATCCTGGTTCCACCTGACAGCCCTGAGGATTGAGCACAACTGTGGCCTCTCCTGTCCATCAGATGCACAGCAGCACATCAGGAAATCCTACCCAGTTTTTGGACTTGAGTAGGTTCATCTGTGATGCCAAAGTAATTAGGAAAACAAATTAAGGAGCTGAGGGTGAAGCTCAGTTGTAGAACACTTGCCCATTGTGTTCGAGGCCCTGGGTTCCATCACTAGCACTAGGGAAAAAAAACAAAAAAGGCATGAAAAGAGCCTGCTGAGTTCCCAGCTCATTGTTCTCCTTTGTAAGAAAGATGATAAAGTTCTCCATATATTCATATGTCAGGATTTATCTGCTGCTGTCAGGTGAAGCATAATGATGGTGTGTGTCTGACTCTGGGTTTGTATATTGCCTCTGACTATTGGGAACTGCCAGTTTGATCATGAGCTTGTCTTCATTTTATATCTCGTTTTTCCCTTTACATCTGTTGTGTCTATTCTCCCTCCTGTAATGCTATAACTTAAAATGAGGCATTGTAAACTTAAGTCTGTGTTAAAGTTTTTCTCATGTTTTCAGGGAAAGCTATGATTTTGTTTTGTCTTTAAGGCTCTGCTTTGCAGGATCAAGCCTCGAGGTTGGGGGTTCCTGTGGGGATCCTGTCAGCCAGGATATTCGCTTGCAGCATGGAGCAGGTCTGCGTGGAGCCTAGCCACCCTGTGCTGCTTAGCTCAGAGCAAAGAGTGAGAAACAGCCCCTTAATATCTTTGACTTTAAGCTGTTTGGGAAAAGAAGACATTTCTATAGGTAACTTGCCCATTTTGAATAAAGATTTTATCTTTTCAGAAGAGACTGTCTTCCTTGTTAGAGATTGCTCAGTATTTATCAGCACACAGTATGCTCTCCCGTCTCTCCTTCTGTCAAGAATTATGGAAAGTACAGGTAAATTTGAGGTTGTAACTCTGCCTTGTGTTTTTTTCAAGTAGTGTTATGTTATTTGGGTCCCTGAGTTTCCTTAGGAATTTGACCAAATGTATTATTAATTATAGAGCATGAGAAAAGGGGCTCCATCAGAAGCCCCTGAGGGCAGAAGCAGGTGCCTCAGTAGCTGGTTGGTGATACCCACCACAGTCAGTAATGTTTATTATAATAGAGCACATCACAGAAACATGATACTCTGCTCTTGAGTATGTTATTATGAATGCTTTTCCAGTGCAGTACACTATAAAAATATAACTTAAAGCTTTTTTTGAAGCTTTAAAACTCAGGTTTACAGATTTTTTTGGCAGCACTGGGATTTGAACTCAGGGCCTCACACCTGCCTGAGCTACTCCACCAGTCCTTTTTTGTGGTAGGTTTTTTTCCTGACAGGGTCTTGAGAACTTGCCTGGGGCTGGCTTCGAATTTCAATCCTCCTGATCTCTGCCTCCTCAGTAGCTAGGATTACAGGTGTAAGTACCAACAGGTGCCCAGCTAGTTTAAAGATTTTTTAAGAGTTCAAAGAGCTCAGTTACCTCTTGGTATTAAGTGGGTCAGCAAAAGAAAGAAGAGGCGAGGTAGTTGCTCATTGATCTTTTCCATTCTTTTATCTACGTACACCATAGAGCCCATTCGATCTGTTAGCATTGTTATGGTCCTTGTTTTGCGGGAAATTACGAGCTGACATACGGGATCCTGAAGCAGATTAGCAGGAAGCAACTTTTATTGTGCCAGCACAGACCCAGCGAACTTGTGTCCAAAGACTGAGCCCCGAAAACAAAGAGGTTTCACCTTATATACCCTTGAAAGCAGGTTACAGAAGCAGAAAGCAAAACTCAATCCATATCTCGCTGCATGTGACTTCATTGGCTATTTCATTTTCCCAGTGTTATGTGACCTTCATGTTTCAATTCTTTGAGTTTTATCTCTGCTTTGCCATCCCCTCCCCCGTCTCATCAGCAGAACACAGTCTGTTTTTTTTTTTCCGTCCTCCCCCCCTTTCCTGCTACACTTGCACTTGTTACCATTTAGCTGGGGACAAGGGCAATGAGATGTACACAAATCACACTGATGTAATGTTCATAGGTGTGCGCAGATTCGAGGATGTGCGTCTGATAGGAACAGCTTCCTGTGGGAGCTGGGAGTGGCATGGAGTGTGGGGAGAGCAGGAACTTGCTGGATGAAGAAGGGAGGGCATACCTACTATGATAGGCAGTGGGGACAATATCAGTGTGACCTGAGCAATGTTCACTGGGAATGCACAAAATCCTTGCTGAATGGGAAGGGTCCTTCTTGTGGGAGAGGCGCCAGTGAGTGAGGGCCATGTGCCATGTGGAAGAGTGAACCTTGTTTGAAAGCCTTGGGGAGCTTGTGAAGCTCTTAAAGAAGAGACTGGCTTATTCAGTGTGTGCTTTAAAATGTATGGGCTACAGTGTGCAGAAAGGATGGGAAGTGGCTTCCTAGAGACCAGTGGAAAGAGGTCAGGGCTATCACAAACAAGTGGAGAGGAGGTGCTCATGCAGGACAGTTGGGGGTGGGGGTGGGGTTGCTGCAGAAGGGCCAGGTGAATGAGGACCTGTGACAAGTGCAGGACGGGTGTGTGTGCTGAAGGAGGTCCAGGTAGATGTGAGTCTGTGACAAGTGCAGAACAGTGAGGGGTGTGTGCTGCAGGAGGGTCAGGTGGATGTGAGCCTGTGACAAGTGAAGGACAGTATGTGTGCTGCAGGAGGGCAGGTAGATATGATGAACCTATGACAAATGCCCTTTATGCTGTGTTGGGACTCCATTTTAATTTTCAGTGACCCTAGGGTCAGAACGTACAATGCACGTTTTGTCAGAAAACACACTTATAGAGGATTCATGCTGTCATTTTCTCCAGAACTCTTTGTTGCTTGAAGCCCTGTGGCGTCTTCATATGCAGAGTGTTGTGAGCCTACAGGAGCTGCTGGAAAGGTACTACACTAATGACTCTGTTCCTTTAACTTACATGACTTGCTGTATAATCTAGTATGAACTATATTTTGAAGTTAAAAATCACCTGTAGGTTTAACTGCTTTATCATTTAAAGAGAACATTTGCTGTGAGGAAAGTCCCTATCATGCATGTTTTCTTTCTATTAGATCTCCCCCTCTTTCTCTCTTTTTTTTTTTTTTTGGCAGTACAGTGGGTTGCACTCAAGGCCTCTACCACTTGAGCCACACCCTAGCCCTTGTGATGATAGTTTTAAAAACTAAAAAAAAACATTCAAGTAATATGGTTGGTAGGATAGATGCAGCTACATATCCTGTTTGGAGTCAGGAAAAGGGCTTTCCACAAAGGTATACCCCATAAAGATGGAAACATGTAGAGGAGAGAATAACAAACAAAACTTGGGAAAGTAGGGAGCAGATGTACCAGTAGTGAGTGGTTTAGTGAGCTTGAGGAAGTCCTGCCCTGAGTTGGCACATTGGTCAGAGGAGAACCATCAGTTTATTCTGTTTATTCGGAAAGGCTCAAGTATTCATGGCACCACCTGGTACCTCAGGAGGATCGATTGCAAGGCTGCATAGGAAGCATTTAGAACCTCAGGCCCCTCCAAAGCTCAGCAGAAGGCTCATTCTTGGGTCTACTCCGGGAGCTCAAGCATGGTTAAACTTGCCATTCTGAACCCAGATGATGGCATGACATCAGCTTATGTTGGGATTTTTAAAAGTTGGGCTGGAGGCATGGCTCAAGCTGTAGAGCTTCTGCCTCACAAGTGGGAAGCTCAGTTCAAACCTCAGTACCATTAAAAAAAAAAAAAAGGATTGAAATTGTTCAAAATATGTTCTCCAACCACAAAGAAATTTAACTGGAGTCAGCAAGAGAGGGAAATTTGGAAAGGAAAATGCATAATTTTTGGAAATTAAGCAGCAAACTTCTGAGTGAGCCATGGGTCAGAGAATCATAAGGAAATTATAGACACCTCAAGATGAATAAAATTTATGGAATGCAACTAAATAAATGCCTAGGGGGAAATTTATAGCTGTTAAGAACCTGTACTTAGAAAAAACTTTCTCAAGTCAACAACTTGACCTTGAAGATTAGAAAAAAAGCAAAGTAAACCCAAAGAAAAGAGGAAAGGGATCAGGTGCAGTGGTACATGCCTGTAATCCCAGCTATGCAGGAGGTAGGAGTATCACAATCTGAGGCCAGCTCCAGGCAAGTGTGAGACCCTAGCTGAAAAATAACTAAGACCAAAGGGGCGGGGTACGGTTTGCTGAGGGTGAGACTCAAGTGGTAGTGTCCTGAATTCAAACCTAGTACTTAAAAAAAAAACAGGAGAAAGAAAGGAAGAAGGCCATAAGAGTTAGAACTGAAACCAGTGAAATAGAAAACAAAAGCAATATAGAAAAGTAAGTGGACCCAGGCACTGGATTACACCTGTAATTATACCTGTAATCCTAGCTACTCAGGAGGCAGAGATCAGGAGGATTGCAGTTCAAGACCAGCCCAGGAAAATAGTTTGAGAGACCCTATCTTGAAAAAAACCATCACAAAAAAGGGCTGGTGGAGTGGCTCAAGGTATAGGCCCTGACCGAGTTCAAGCCCCAGTACTGCAAAAAAAGTAAGTGGGCACAGTTGGTTGAAAAGAACCTGTTTTTGATTATTTCACTGTCAGCTCCCCACAGCAGCGAGCTACTCCAAACAGTAACTGCATCAGCAGCCAGGCAGGCTTCCTCCCCTGCAAGGCAGGATTCCTTGTATCCTTGGGGCAGAGGTTCTGGTGGCTGCAAGCTCATCCTGACTGGCCCACTTCCTAGTGAAGAGAGTGTTAAGGGAAAACTGCTGGTGAGGGAGGTAGGACATGGGAATGTGACCTGGGCTTTTGTGTGTTCCCAGCCATCCTGATGTGCAGGCTGTGACTACGTGGCTCTTCAAGAACCTGTGCCTTCTGTGTGAGCAGACAGGAGCATCCTACCCATCTGACAGTGTTGCCAGGGCCATGCTTGCTGGTATGTTCACAGCAGGCTGGTTCCCAGGGAAGATTTGTCTTGACACTGGGGGGCAGAGCGATCTGCCCACACCCATGGACTGGGGCTCAGAATGGTGTCCTCTCTGGGATCTGTTTGTTACCCTGAGTGACTGGCAATTTTAAGTCAGCCCATTGGCAGGAGTGGGTTTTCCCCAGTGGCCCTAATCCCTTCTTCTGTCCAAGCTACAGACTACACTGCTTGCAGTCTCTAAAGAGTGACACCAGCCACCAGCCAGAGTGGCTTGCGTCTGTAATCCTAGCTACTCAGGAGGCAGCGATCAGGAGGATCATGATCTCATGATTCGAAGCCAATCAGCCTGGGCAAATAGTTCAAGAGACCCTGTCTTGAAAAAAACCCATCACAAAAAAGGTGGTGGAGTGGCTCAAGGTGAAGGCTCTGAGTTCAAACCCCAGCACTGCAAAAAAAAAAAAAAAAAAAAAAAGTGACACCAACAAGCAAAAATTACAGAAATGCATGCTGCACGCAGGCAGTTTGTGGGTTTGTTTGCATAACAGCTTCGTGGTGGTATGAACTGCTTGGGATTCCTGTGATCTGTCTCAGATAGTGAAGTTGAAGATTAACAGCAAACTCTTTAATTTCAGGCTTCCTGATTCTGCTTTTTTAGAATGGCGTGAGTCCCTTTCCTGTTCATTCCATGGTTGTGCCGGGTATGGTGGGGCACAGCCATAATCCCAGCTACTTATAAGGCCAGTTGGGAAAATCAGGAGTTCCAGGCCAGCCTAGGCAATTGAGCAAGATGCTGGTCTCATAAAAAAAAAAAAAAAAAGAAATGTGATGCTTTAGTTCCTTCTATGGTTGATGTTGGGACTGGCTGAAGGGACAATCCATAGATGTCCCTTGAATCCAGCTCTTTGTGTTACAAGAAAAAAATCCTTGGTATAAACTTGACTCATGAGCCCTTCCCTCTAAGGTAGAGTAAGAAGGAAAGTCTGGCTGGTGAATAACTCTGTAGTCAGTTGGGCAGTAGCAACTGCAGGGTCGCCCCTATGGTCAGGTGCTCTAAACCTACCCCCCGCCCCGCACCCCCATGCCACACACACCCACACCCACCCACTCTGAGGTGGTTGACCTGTGTGATTTACAGCTGTTTGGAGACCATAATATATATGTAAATATTCTGGGTTTGTGGTTTTACAGATTTTGTGCAACTGTTAGTTTTGAGGGGATTTCAGGAAAACCCGGATCCAAGAACTGTGGAGCCTGAAAAGATGCCCCAGGTAGGAGGAAAAGTAACCTGGGTAGTGGAGAATTGGCCTCCTGTGGCTATGGCCTGCAGCCTAAAGAGCAGTCCCCACCCCCAGCTTTTATTCCCTTTTGGAAGCTCTGGACCAGTTTGTAAGCTTTGTGAGCTGTGTCACTCTAGGAGCCAGAGCCCAACAGGAAATGAGAATGGGCTACACTGGCTCCTTACCCCAGGCCTTCTGGTTTTCAAAGGTTTCCAGGGGAGGGTCTTCAGCACAGTAGCTCAGAGCCCAGGCCTGTGCTTGCTGGATGGGTGGGGAAGGCAGGACTGAGATGCACCCAGGCAGCCTCCTGCATCATGCTTACCAGGTGCTCCTGAGAGCAGAGGCTTTAGGGCTAGCAGGTTGCAGCCCAGGCCTGGGCCTGCCAAGACCTCCCATGGGTATCACAGGGACATTTCACTGAGTCACAATATTGGAGTAATTTCTAGGCCTAAAAAGAAATCTTAAAAGTGGACCTCTTTGTGAAGCCAGTTTTATTTTACTCTACGTAACAAATTTGTGTTGCAAGCATGCAGCTACTTGAGAATTGCTGAGTGATGGGAGTTTGTGTTCTGTTCTGACAGGCTGCGGCCTCCATACTACAGAGAATGCTGATTTGTAAGTTGCTTGTTAGCAGTTCCAGCAGCTGTGGGCTTTTCCATCTGAAGCATCTCACCACTCTTGCGTGTTTTCCTGTGCACAGCCTTAGCTCTGGAGGCCCTGTTTATGGCTATAATTTGGTGTAAACTTGCCTGCACCTTTTGTTCTGGTTCTCGGTCCCTCATGGTTTTATGTTTAATTTCCAGAGCTGTACAATGACATCAATTTAGCTTAGGGCTTACAGGTCTTCGTGTTTACATAAATTTTATAGTTTGCTGACCCTGGTGCCCTAAGGGTACTTATATGTCTTGCTGGACCTTGATCTGTGCCTTAGAAATCCGTGCCTGTCGGAGAGCATATGGGGGAGGGGTACCTGAGACGATCCTGTAACCCACGTTTGTTTTCTGTCTTGTGCTCTCTCGTCAGATGCGCTTGATGCTCTGGCTGCTGGACTGCAGGAGGAGACCTCAGCTTACCGGGTGGTGAGGGGATGGTACGTGTGGGAGACCTGCTGCTACCCTGGATCCACGGCACCTCAGACATTGCCAGGGTAGCAACAACCGACCTGGGTACTCTTGCTGCTGGAGCACAGGGCACTCTGCCCAGCCTTCTTCTTCCGTGTGCCCCATGTGACCTGCGGCTGCACCCTTCTAAGCTGTGTCTTCTTATCTGTGTCTTGTCTCCTGCCTGCTCTGGACTCTTGGCTGTCTCTAGTGTTTTGTTTTTCTCTTGTTGAAACTACATTCCCTTGGATTCCACTTAACCTCTGTGACTTAGTGGCCTGGCCCAGAAAGCACTTTCAATATGGTAGATGAACTTTGTATACAAGAATGAACGTAGAATTTTTAAATCTGTTGAAATCACCATAAGAAAGAGACTAAAATAGAAAGTAGAAAAATGGAGGGGATGAACCAATTCAGGATGTAATACATATATACATGGAAATGTCATAATGAAACTTCCTAAATCGATACCTTAAACAAAAATGTCTTTTTTCAAAAATGGAGGACAGGAAGGTAAAACAGGTTCTGTCTGGGGGTTGGTATCAGTGGGAAAGGGTGAAGGAGGATGAATATGGTGAAAATATTATGTACTCAAGTATGAAAATGAAAAAAATGAGACCTTTTGAAACTTTTCAGAATGGGAGGGGGAATAAATGAGAATGATGGAGGGGATGCATTTAACTAAGATTTGTAAATGACACAGTGTCCCCCCCAGTACAACAATATAATAAAAGTTAAAAAAAAAAAAAAAGACTTAAAGCAAGGGATAGTGCTTCCTGAGAACCTTCTCTTGCATTTGCAGGTTTGACATGTTCAGTGGACATGTATATTGTGGCATAATTTCGACAGATTCTGTCAAGAGGTTCTTCAGTCACTCTCTGACTCAGATTCTCACTCACAGCCCTGTGCTGAAAGGTAGGCCTCAGTACTGTGATTGCAGTTTTCTGCTCAATGTAGAGGATACTTTGGTGAGTACAACACAGATTCTTAGGCAGATTGTGAGACATGTGGATGTGATAGAATTCTGAGACTCCTTGAGATTGTGAGGGACACTCCAGTACCAAACGCTTTCATTGGAAAGTAACTTCCTGGGCTGGGCTGTGCCCAGTGGTAGAGTACTTGCCTAGCCATGTGTGATTGTATGGATTATAATATATCCTGATTAAATTTACCCCTCCCTGCCTTCTTAGAAACAATTGTTTCATCATTATATTTTTATTCACAAAAATATTTTCCCTCCTTCACACTCTTCTCTTTACCCTCCCCACTGGTACTTACTCCCAGACAGGACCTGTTTTACCTTCCTGTCCTTTATTTTTTCAGTGTATATTGATTGATCAAAGAGGTTTTGCCTTGGTAGCTTTAATCAAATTAACCCCCTCTATTGCTCTGCTTCTATATTGTTCAATAGATTACAGTGTGTTATGTTATATTATCTTCCACAAAACTAATTATCTTCTAGGAAAATTCCAACTCCAGTACCCACCAAAAAAAAAAAGTTCAAAAATTAAGCTCAGCCTTACTGGGTGCTGGTGGCTCACACTTGTAATCCTAACTACTCAGGAGGATCATGGTTCAAAGCCAGCCCAGGCAAATAGTTTGTGAGACTTATCTCGACAAACACTCAGCCAAAACAAACCAAAAAGGGTTGGCAGAGGAGCTCAGGTGGTAGAGTGCCTGCCTAGCAAGAGTGAGGCCCTGAGCTCAAACCCCAGTACTGCCAAAATAAAAAAGGAATTCAAAATTAAAGGAAGAACAGAAGCATTATCATTCATCTTGTCATAAAATAGAAATATCTTTAACAGAAAACAAAACATTTCTTAAACTTTTTTTTGGCGATACTGGGTTTGAACTTAGTGCTTTGTGCTTGCTAGGCAGGTGCTACACTGCTTGATTGAACCACACCTCCAGTCCTCTTTCACCTAAATGGACTTCTGTTGTTGTTTTGAGACAGATTCTCACTATGTAACCCAAGCTTGCCACCAATTCAAAATCCTCTTGCCTCAGTCTCCTAGGTGCTGGAATTACAGGCTCTGTAAGCCTTTTCTTATAGTTACATAGTGGTTTTTGTTTTGTTTTGGTAGTATTGGGGCTTGACTTCAGGGCCTCATGCTTGCTAGGCAGATGCTCTTACCACTTGAGCCATTCCACCAGCTTTTTTTTGTACTGAGTATTTTCAAGATAGGATCTCGCAAATTATTTGCCAGGGCTGGCTTCAAACTTCAATCTTCCTCATCTACGCCTCCTGAATAGCTAGGATTACAGGTAAAACACAGCTTTTTGATAAATGCTGACTTCAAGTTTTTGTCTGTTTTTTCTCCTCAAGTGTCTGATGCCGTTCAAATGCAGAGAGAGTGGAGCTTTGTGAAGACCCACACTCTGCTCACCACTCTGTACCATAGGGTGAGTGTCTGGTGATGGGATTAGCCCTGATGCTGTGGAGCACTGGGATTTGAGGTCTAAAATTGTCTTGGGTGCTGTTGCCAAGTCCTCATGGAACTGATTCTTATGGACACCACCCATCGCAAGGTTCAGGGGTTTCCAGTAGGATATGGCCATTCTCACCTGGATCATAGTCCAGAATTAGGAGACTGATTTTGTCATTTGTGTAGAGCTCCCCAACTCTGGGATGAGAATACCCCCCCAGCCAGTGCTGACCCCTTCAGAGAAAAAGATGCCACAGGGACACTGTTGGAGCTACTTTCTGTGTCTCTGTGTCCCCACCTTTCTGGTGGAAGTAGCAGGTGGCTACAGTGGGCAAAGGCTTAGGGGGGAGGACAAGGACCGGCACCTGTCTGACCAAGGTTTACTTTAGCATTAAAGGGAGCCAGTGCTTTCATTTCAGCTCTTTGTGATGCTGGGTCCAGAGGAGTCAGTTGGCTGTTTGCAGGAAGTCCTGGAGACACAGGAAGTTCACTGGCAGCGGGTGCTCTCCTGCGTGTCATCTCTGGTCATCTGCTTCCCTGAGGCACAGCAACTGGTTAAAGGTGTGTTTTTGTGGGAGTCCCATGGTGCTTCTGAGTGTGTGCATGTGCTGCTGTGTACTACGCTTGAGGGTTAGCCTGTTTTGAAACTAGAGCCCTGTCTGTTGATGGTTAGTGTTCACTAACTAACCGGGTAAGTGCTCCTTCCTTGAGTTTCCATTAATTTGTCCTTGGCATGATCATTACCCAGTCTTTTTAAAGCTAGCATTGGGTGTGCACATCATCTTAACTGGGACACGGGCTCACCAGCAGAGCTCACATTTTGCCTATGAGCTGCCATCATCTGCCTACTGACTGTTGGTCTCACAGACTGGGTGGCCCGTTTGATGGCCTGCGCCTTTGAGAGCTACCACCTGGACAGCATAGTCACTGCATTCCTGATTGTGCGACAGGCTGCACTGGAGGGCCCCTCTGTGTTCCTGTCCTATGCAGACTGGTTCAAGGTGAGTTACCTGGGAAATCAGTTACCTGGCCAATTGATGCTTCCAGTGGGTTGGGTGTAGGAACCTTTGAGATCCCGTGCTGTGCACTTAGTAATGAGGATGAGACAACTCAGGTCAGCTTTGCAAGGTTGGTCCAGACAGACTTTCATGTGCATCTCCAGCAGCCTTCCAGGTGTGCTCTGCTCATCAGCTGAGACTTCATGTCCCCCCATTTCCTTACCTACTTGGTAGACCCTCCATCTCTCTTTTCTAAGATCAAGAAATCTATTAGGCACATGGGCACCAGTGGCTCACATCTGTAATCCTAGCTACTTGGGAGGCTAAGATCGGGAGGATCTTGCTTCAAGGCCAGCCCAAGCAAATACCTCATGAAACCCCCATCTCCAAAATAACCAGAACAAAATGGACTGAAGGTGTGGCTCAAGCATCAGAGCACTTGCTTTGCAAGTGTGAAGCCCTGTGTTCAAACTCCAGTCTCAGTGGAAAAAAAGGAAAAGTGCTGGCTTTGGCAACACGTATACTAAGACTGGAAGATTAGCATGGCCGTTGCATAAAAATGACACACAGATTTGTGAAGCATTCCATATTAAAAGAAAGAGACCCAACAGACAAGACTGGAAGCAGAATGCTTCTCTGCAGGAAGTGCTGCTCCCGTTCTCCTCACAGTACAGAAATGTGTGCCCCTTGTCCTTAGAGCCCTGTATGTTTCCTTGTTCTTTTTTTCAGCAGATTACCCACTTTCTCTGATAATTTGTGAAGTGGTTTTCAAACCTGAGCAGGCATCAGATTTGCCTGGAGAGAGCTTTGAAAGTCTCCAGAGACTGTCCCAGACCTGCTGAGTACATGGTCCTGAAGGGAAGCCTCTGGGATCTCTGGCCAGCTGCTGTGAGAACCTGGTCTGTGTCAGGGCAGGGTCTTTGGGGCATCATTTTTGAAAGTCAGGCATATGTTACTCTTGCTCATGGGTATGTGTAAATTTGCCATTTAAAACTATCTAATTCTTTGTGGAAGTTTTGGGTTTTCCACCAGCACCAACCTTGGTCAAATGGAAAGTCACTTCCCCATTCTTCAGAGGGCAGCAACCACTATAAGCCCTCTGACCACCTGTCTGCTCCTGTAGGGCCCTCCAGGAAGGGTGGCTTCTAGCTTAGCTAAGCTTGTCTGTCTGCTGCAAGGGGCCAGGGTAGGTGGGACTGGTTGTGCTCTTTGCTCTTCAATCCCTTAAGTCCTTTCTCAGTGTCCTCAGGCTTTTCTTAGCTGCCCACTTGGCCTGGAGCTCCCGCTAAGATGGGAGCCATCTGCTTGTTCCACACTGGGGCACTGACAGTCTGTGCCAAACCCACCCTACTCATGAGCACTGGTGCCACGCTGACCTCTGTTCCTGGTATTTGCATGCTGCGTCTGTGCTGGGAGAGTCTGTGCCCTTCCTAGTGAACTGACCCAGATAGTTAGGGTCAGGGATGAGGTGTCTCCCAGGGTCTACATTGGTTCATCCCCAGTGACAGACCTTGGGAGGGGTACTTCTGAAGTGTCATGTTGCTTTTGTGTGCACTTCCTTTTACCTTTTGAAATAGATCTTATTGAGATGTCATTTAAATAACATGAACCCAGTGTACCTGTACATTTGATATGTTTTGATAGATGTATATATGTGTGTTCAATGTTTGAAGGTCTGTTTTATTTTTGAGGCAAGCTCTAACTATGTTACCCAGGTTGGCCTTGGATTCTGGGCTCAAGTGATCCCCGAGTGCTGGGTCTACAGGCATGTGCCACTGCCCTGACTCTTACTCTATATTTTCAAAAAATATTAGTGTAAATCGACCAGTAGTTGCTAACTTGAGCCCTCAGGTCAGTGATGTAGTTTGTAGCCTATCATGTCCTGTAGCTAGATGTAATTTTTTGTACCAGTGACTGCTAATGAGCCCTCAAGTCAGTGATGCAGTTGGTGGCATGCTGCGTTCTGTAGTTAGATCTGATTTTCTGTATGAGAACTGCCCTTGTAGGGCTGTGTGTCAGTGGCAGCTGTGACCCCGGGTTTAGGTGTGTGTCACTTTGGGTGCTTTACTTCCAATGACATGTGAGTCTGTGCAGAGGGTTCAGGTGTTCCCCAATGTGGTGAGTGTTACTGAGGCTCAGGTTCTCTTGCCTAGAGATACAGTGGTTCACATGGGCATCCTGACTTGTCCATCCTACTACTCTGGCAGTGGCAGGAGCTGGGTGGTGATGTGGGCCTGAGTAGTCTGTTTCATTTGAGTCTTTAAATGATGGGTCTTGAGCTTCTTTCTGAGTATTTGGTGCACAGTTTCTGTTTCCTAGCTGTTTTCCCCACTATCCTCATAGATGGAGGATGGTGAGATAAGCATTTCCCCCTTTTGTCTAACAGCATTTAGTGCCTGCACTACAGGAACATGCAAAAGAATTGTCTGGTCTTCACAAAGTTTGCACTTCCAAAAGCCCAAGGTGAGGCCTCAGTCACCTTGCAGTGGTGTTTGCTGATGCTGGAGAGTGACTTATCCAGGTTCCCACAGGTGTGTTGCACTTTTACGTGTGACCAGTGTAGCAGGAGTTTGGTTTGGGGGTAAGTTGTGCAGCTTTCATGTATGTATGTTCTAGCAGAGGCGGGGGATAGAACTCAGGGCCTTGTTCATGATAGGCAGGGCTTTTCCACTAAGCTGCATGCTCAGTCCTGAATGTACGTTCTCTTGCAAGTTAATTTACAGTGTACTCAGAGCCAACCCAATTTAAACTCTCCCCTGACTTGCCCCAGCCTTGGCCTCGGCCCCCGTCGCAGCATCCTGGCAGGGATGCCTCGGACCTCCTTGCCTCACACTTGTTCTCTTCTGATCTGTGACTTCAGTGTCCTGAGAGGAAGCATCCTGGGCCTCTTTCCTTGTCCACGTCTCCTGCAGCAGCCTTGCCAGTGATGTGTTTGGGAGATGAGTGTTCAGGAAAGTCAGGTTGCTGACTGATGAAATGATGTATTTGCTGAGTGAAGAGCTGTCGTCAAGATGGTTGACAGACTGCCCCAGAGGAGCACAGGATTCCCAGCTGCTGTTTTCTACACCTTTGAATAGATGTTTGCCCATCTCTGTTACGGTTGTGACATCTTTAAGTCTGTGAATTCAGATTCCTTTTTCTTTTTTTCAGTAGCAGTTTTCTGTTTGAGATAGATGGTATCTGCCTAGCCAGTACTGATGGCACGGTCCTTAGCGGGCACACTGAGCAGCTCCTGCTGTCAGAGCCCATGCTTTCTCTCTCTCCAGGCCTCCTTTGGGAGCACACGTGGCTACCACCACTGCAGCAAGAAGGCGCTGGTCTTCCTCTTCAAGTTCCTGACCGATCTTGTGCCCTGGGAGGCTCCCCAGTACTTGAAGGTGAGAAGCTACCTGCAGCATCTGCAGTTCATGGGGCTTTCCATGTGTGCTCTCCTTGATGAGGGGAGCTCCCCCCAGCCTTCTGCAGATTGCTCTGATCCAGGATGACCTCCTCCCTTCCGCAGGCAGCTCAGGTTGCACCCAGTGTGGACAAGCAGTGAGCAAGCTCAGATGGTCAGGAGCATGTCCTTGTTCACCCAAGGGGGGAGTGAATTATAGCAGCCTGCAATGAGGGATCTCACAGCTGCTCAGAGGATGGGCAGTCCAGGGGGCTGGAAAGACCCTGTGAAGGAGGAGCAAGTGGCAGAGTAGTGAGTGCAGTAGGACCTCATTTTGCTTTTTAAAATCATACATTTTTATATATTCAAGAGAAGAATCTGGAAGGAGATACCCTAATCTGCCAGTGGTCATTACTTCCGGTGAAGAAAAAAGAAACAGGACTTTACACAAGTCTACTGTTTGAGTTTTTCATAAGTTCCTATTAAGTTTTTGATTAAAAAAATGTGTTGAGCTAGGCATGGTGGCCTAGCCACCTGGGCACCTGTAGTTGTCCCAGTTACTTGGGAGGCTAGGTGGGAGAATCACTGGAGCTCAAGAGTTCCAGGTGACCTGGGAAACAGTGAGACCCTTGGTATAACTTCTTTTCTATGTTTGTCAAATAACCATTCCCAGTGGTTTTGGGGGCTAGGTACCTGATTCTCAGATTCTATCTGTATTAAGAAGTTTGCATAGCATTCCAGGGAGATTGTGGGGATGTGTGAGAAGAGTGAATGGCTGTGCTCCCATCATCAGGGAAGGTGGAAATGGGCCTCCCCACACCCATTCCAAGTTGCAAATCTTTGTCCCTCCTATACACTGCTATATTTGTGGCTGTGCTAGTCATCCTTTAAGGCAAGCAGGTGCCTCATAGTAGAGTTGTAACCGCCACCCCCACCTCTGTCTTGAGCTCCTTTTAGTATCGTAGCCCCCACCACTTGGGTGAGGGATCTGGTCACCAGTGGCCTTCCTGGCTGATCCCTGTCCTGGGCCTGTGACATGTTGTCAAGAGGCATGGAGTCACGTGTAAAGGCCCTTACCCACATTCTACCTGTCCTTCCTGCCTGGGAGTTCTCTGCCTTTCCTGTCTTCGGTGCTCAAGCGTCACTGCAGGATACAACAGCCTGGCCTTTCCTTGCACCTGGCACCTGCTCTCACTTCCTTGTGAACACAGTGCAGAAAACACAAGAGTCCTTTCCATTGACATCATCATCTCCAGCATCACAGACTAGAATCATTGTCAATGTGCTGTCCTGTGGTTGTGCTGTGTCCTTTGTCCCCAGAGGGTTAGGTTAGGGTTATGCCCATCTGGCCATGAAGTTGCCAGGTCCGTGGTGTGGAGCTGCTGGCGTACCAACAAGGCCTGGCTGTTGGGCCTGGCAGTCCATATCCCTGGCTTCCCTCCCACTTCTTGGTGCTCATAGGACGACTGCTGTGTAATTCCTTCTTAGCTTTCTGCTTGGGGGACAGCCTTTCTGCTGTGGGTTTCGATTTTGTGAGTTAGGTCCCATGCAAGCTAATGGCTGTCTGTACTCAGCATCACTGTACCCATTGTGTGTTGCTGCCATCCCTGAAGAGATGCAGGATCAGCTCATGGGCCACCATCTCCATACTGTGCTCTTTCCCCAGGTGCACATTCTCCACCCACCACTGGTCCCGAGCAAGTATCGCACTCTCCTTACAGACTACATCTCACTGGCCAAGACGCGACTGGCTGACCTCAAGGCAAGTCTGACCACTTCACTAACCTGCCTGAGAGTGACCAATGCCCATCTTCGTGTTCACATCCTTCTTCTCTTCTCAAGGTTTCTGTGGAGAACATGGGACTGTATGAGGATTTGACCTCAGCTGGGGACATTGCAGAGGTGACATTGCATCGGACTACCCTGCAGTCTCTGGTCCAATTCTCCTTTCTCTGACTCAAACATTTGGCCCTAAAATCTTTCGCTGGGTTCTCCTCTGGAGCATGTGGGATGACATTTCTCCCAAAGGCATTTCAACTGCACTGCCCCTCACATGCTGTATGTGACAGTGTAGCAGGGAGCCGTGCTGTCCCTCAGATGCTGTGTGACAGTGGGGCAGGGAGGAGAAGCTGTGAGGACAGGCCCTATGCTGCATGGGCTGCCCTCAGGATTTCTGAGTTTACACAGGTTGAATGAAAGAGGTGGTCTACCCTGTGTTCCTAGTAATTGCAAAACAAGCACCAGCTATGCCTAGATAAAACGAGTGTCAGCTGGCCATGTGATGTGTGTCTGGCAGCGTAGAAAGCTTTTCAGTGGAAATCTTCTCTTAAGGTTGGGAGTTGTTGGTAAAGAGCAACTTCAGATGTTCTTAATGTGCAAGGTGAAAAGTGTCATGCAGGTTTCCATTCAATATACATCACAGTTAATAATTGCCATTTTGTAATTGAAATCTCAGAAGTTAAGTTCTGTCCCTTCCCATCTGGAGGTCTTTACCCATCCCTCTCCTGTCCTGTAATGCAGCAGAGAGGAAAGGAGTGAGAGAGCGGCAGCTGCTCAGGCCAAGCCTCAGGGGCCTCACATTTCCAACTAACTGAGGGCAGGAAGCAGTGGGTGTGATCCTCACCCCTGCTCTGCTGGGACTTGGGGAATTTGGTGAACGTACAACTGTGCAGCATCCCCCTTGGCTTTTACCTCTTTCTGTCCAGAGGATCCTGGCAATGAGGAAGGGAGTTGGGGCCAGCCTCATCTGCTTGGTTTGCTTGCTTTCTTTCTATCTTCATTTTCTCCAGCCTCAGAGCCAAGCGGCACAGGATGTTGAGAAGGCCATCCTGGTATTTGAACACACAGGGAAGATCCCAGTGCCTGTCATGGAGGCCAGGTGAATTGGCTGCTGGAGAGCCACTGCTGAGCATCCTAAAGCTGCCATGACTACCATTAATTCAGTGGGCTCTATGAGTGTCCTGTCTCCCCCTTTCCATGTGGCTGAGAACAGCACAGGACACACTCAGCCACGTGGGAAGGGGGAGACAGGAGTTGGGGCAAGGGCAAAAGTGATGTCCTATGACACACACTTCTGAAATAGCCATCGTGGTGCCCATCTGGAGCTGTGGGGGAAAGAAGTTGGTGGACCCACAGTGTAGCCACAAGAGTTTTTTATTAATGCCTCATGGTGACCAATATGGAGCTGGTCTAGGGAATTGAGTAGCAAAACTTTATTGAATTTGGTGTGACCTGAAAATATCTTGAATTCTGGTTGCTACCAGTGTTGGTGAACTGATTCCAGCTCATGGGATTTTGAGATTGGCTCCAAGGATAAAGCTTAGAAAGTGCCCAAAGCAACCCTCATAGCCTTAGGCTAATCTGGGTTCTGTGGTCAAGCCCAGGGAGGACAGAACATAATCCATATTTCATATAGCAAGGCACATCCTAAGACAGTGAAAACGAGACTTAACATGATTGAACATCAGCCCTGGCAGGCTGTCAGTGATGGGATGGTACGTTTTACCCATATTCATCATGGTGTCTCTGCTCTTCTATGCTGCAGCATATTCAGGAGGTCTTATTATATGTCCCACTTCCTCCCCGCCCTGCTCACACCGAGAGTGGTGAGTGTGGAATGAAGTCTACCATCTGCCTGGGAGGCAGGGATGTTCCTGTTCTGCCTGCTACCCACTTGCTCTCTCTCTTCCTCACAGCTCCCAGCGGTCCCTGACTCCCGAGAGGGTTTTATCGAGTCTCTGAGGAGGTAGGCAAAACTTTGAAAAAGACTTTGAAAGAATTGCGGTTCTTTGTAGAGAAATTTGCCTATCATGCATATTTTGTTTATAAAATACTGGCTCCAAACTTGGTTATGATTTTTTAAACACACAATGTTCCATTCTGAATTCCACTACTTAGCATTACTCTTCAGTGAACTTTTAGAGTGCTTGGTCTGGGAATCAGAGTTAAAGTTTCAATTCACAGTCATGGTAAAAGGTGAACTTAGAAAAAGAAGGCAAACAAGCGCCTTGAGCAACCTTCATACAGTGACTTGGGCCAATCTTGAGGCTGTGCTTGGAGAGCAAAGCTCCCCCAGCTTGCTATTGCAGTCTCCAACAGCAGAAAAGGTTGCTGTCTGAGAGGTCTTCCTTCCTGAAAGCAGTAGGAAACCCTACCTTCCACTGCCAGTGAAACTTAGGACCCACAGAAGACAGAGAGGTGAAACAGCTTGGAAAACAAAAAATCAAAACCCTATTTAAAAAATTCCCCTCATCTGGTGTAGTAGTGTACCTGTCTAGCAAGCATGAGGCCCTGAGTTCAAACCCCAGAACCACCAAAAAAAAAAAGCATGAACCACCACTTACACTTTGCTGTCTTTTGTTACTTTGTTTTTCTTGAGACAGAGTCTCACTCCTGCCTCTGCCTCCTGAGTGCTGGTGTTACTTACAGGCGTACATGACCACGCTGAGCTTGAGCTGCTGAATTCGATTTAGTGATGTTTGTTTAGAGCGAGTTTCGTGCCTGCATCTGTAATTCTCTTGTATGTCTCGTCTGCTTTGGCATGGAGGTTTCAATACCTTGTAAAGTGAATTGGGTTGCTTTCTTCTGTTATCTGGAACCATTTGTGTGACGCAAAGGCTATACATTGTGAAGGTTTGGCAGTCCTGGTGACTTTTGTGTCAAGCACTTCGGCTATTAACTTAGTTTCATGAATTGTTATTAGTGCAAGTCATGTGGGTTTTTTTTGTTTTTGTTTTTTGCAGTTTGTTTCTAGAAAATTTTCCATTCATATAAGGTCCTTACTCACCCACCCTGTCATGCTAGGGATGGAATCTAGGTCCTGGGGCACACCAGGCAAGCACTGTGCTGCTGCGCATCATTCTCAGCCCTTGTCTAAGTTGTTAAATAACTTACCGTTCACACGGTGCTGTAGGAGTGCAGTGTTATTGGCAGTAGCCCCTAAGTCACAGGCGTTAGGCCAAAGCACCACACATGGGTCACAGAGCCTCCACACAGGGTTTTGGGGTTGTCCAGTCTGCGCACCTGCTGGCATGAGCAGGACTGCCACACCTTCCAATAGACTCCAGTGTGCAACACGCAGCCCTAGGAATGGCACTGAAAGCACAAAAGGCCCACGTGGAGAGTTTAGCACAAATATCCCCGGTGCTGTGAGGCTGTACCAGGTACCCTGCAAATGGAGATAGGCAAGATAAAAAAGAATGAGGACACAGCAGTGCTCCAAAGAAAACCACACAGCACCAGAGTTATAGCAGGAGACTCACCCTGCAGACTGTTGTGTGCCTTCTGTATATTCGTAGTGATTGGAGTTAGGAATTTTTCTTAGTAATGTTCATTATTTGTTACTAGTATGTGACAGTCATACTTAAAACCATACTTTTTAAAAATCATACATGGTTTTACCTTCTAAAACCAGGACAGTCCTGTTACTATATACAGTGTTGTATTTGCATGCAATATGTATTCCTATTTTATAATAGTTTTGGAATTACAAACCTGAGCATTGGGTTATCATACTTAACTTGGATATTACTTTCTTCTGATGCAGGGTGGATAAAATCCCCCCATCTCTGTACTCCGCCTACCACCAAGCCTGCGCCACTGCCAAGGACCCACAGCTGGAGAGTAAGCCAGTTTTCATGTCTGTTTTCCTGACATGCATCTGTCATGATGCCTGCCTCAGTGACGTCAGTGGTCAGGTCTTGCTGCCCAGGCCTTGTCTGTGTGTTCAGAGGCCACCTGCACATTGACACCAGCCTAGTCGCAGCACCTGGGGGGCAAATCCTAGCTACTTGAGAGAGGGAGGATTGTGGCAAATAGTTCTTGAGACCCCATCTCCAAAATAACCAGAGCAGCCCTGGCAGAGTAGTAGAGCACCTGCCTAGCAAGTTTGAGGCCCTGAGGTCAAGCCCCAGTAGTGCCAAAAGAAAAAAAAATTATTTTGTTGTTGTGCTAGGGATAGAAGCACTCTATCACTGTGTTACACCTCCAGCTCCAGTGCTTTAATTTTTGATAGGACATTGTAGCATCCAGCATCCAGACAGGCCATTTGCCTCCTAGACCCATGTCCAGTATCAATACAAAGCTGTGGGCATCAGTGTTGCTGTACCTTACTGTTCATAATGGGTTTTCTGTTTATAATGAAGAGTCTCACTAAGTGTGTTTCCCGCCTGGCCTAATTTTCAAAATTGTCCATTTGCACAGATGTAGCCCCAGGAATGAGGGCAGAGCCTGGCTGTGCTGAAGAGCCTCTGGGACCACTCATGGCTGCACTGGGAGAGCTCCGAGCTGCAATGACAGACCCTATGCAGTATGATGGTGAGGACAAAGTGTGTGTGAATGTGGAACCGTTGTGTGAGAGGCTTGCAGGTCTTCCCTGTGGTCTGGCGTTTGGCAGAAGGTGGGTCTTACACTCTTTGCCATCTAGTAGAACGGATGATAGAGGTGAAGGAAACTGAAGTTAGTAGAAAGTACAGTTTCTTTGTTGCCCTGACTATCTGAGTAGATGCATGGTCAAGCACCCTGGGTTTCTTCTCTGCTTCTGTTAACTGTAAGTTAAATAGTAAGTGTGGAGTGTCCACCTGTGTAATTCCAAAGTATTAGTTGCGCAGCAGTCCGTGAAATAAATACCTTTAGATTTTTATTATGGTGCATGCAGAAGCTAAAATAGGTAAGTCAATTTTACTGAGTGTATATGTCTATTTTCTGTTGCTGTAACAAACCACCTGATGCTGGCTAATTTCTAAAGAAAAGAGGTTTATTTAATTCACAGTGTTAGAGGCTGAAATCCCAAGATTGGATAGCTGCATTGATTTACCTTACCAACATAGTGGAGGGGCAGAAAGGAAATCACCACACGCAGAGGGATTAGATAGCAGACAGGAAGCCAGAGAGAGACCAAGGAGGGCCAGCCTGCTCTATAACAACATTCCTCTGGAGGACTCCTTTCCAGGGTGACCCACTCACCTTACCAAACTCCACCTCCAAATACCCTAACCCCAGAAAATAAGTGTGACACATTTTAACTTGTTATAGAGGAAATGTGGGCAAATCTTTAGGCTGTGGTCTGCTGGGTCAGCGCCATCTTCCCCAGGCCAAGCACAGATGTCAGAAGCGTGCGTGGCCCTTCAGACCATGGTTTTGTGTGTGTGTGAAGAAGACTGTGGTGTTGTGTGTGTGATTGTTGGTTTTGGTTATGCTATGCTGCCCAGGCTGGCGTAGAACTCCTGGGCTCAAACAATCCTTCCGCTTCAGTCTCCCAAGTGGTAGACTACAGGTGCATACCACCACGCCTGGCCGAGAGTTTGGTAGTTGGAGGATATTAGGAAGAGATCCCCTGTGCAAGCAAAAGGCTGGTAAATGTCAGGTCAGTGTTTCCAGGCAGAGTAGAGAAATAATGCCTGTGTGGATCTGGTGTAAGTACAGGAGGCTTTGAGCCCAGGCAGCTGTCACTGTGTGAAGAGTTGGCTTCAGGTTTCTGACAGTGCAAGGGCTGGTCCACCCCTCAACTGATTCAGGAAGAGGCAGTGGATGACATCTGCCCAGGCCACATGCTCTGTCAGGAGGCATGTCCCTGTGCATCTACAGTCTTAACTGCCTGCTCCCTGCAATGCAGATAAACCTGTTTTCACTTTCTAGCTGTGGACACCAGCAGCCAACAGGATCAGTGGAGATGCTGCACCTGGGGGAGGTTGGGCCACTGTAGGGTGGTCATGTGCTGTTCACACTGGGCTCTGCATCAAGGTGGACAGCCAGTGTCTAATGCTTCTTGGTGTCCTGCAAGGCACATCAGCCCCTCTCAGCATTACTCCTTCTCCATTTCCCTGCTTACCTAACTGGTTTCTCTGTTTGTAGTTATTTCTGCTCAGATGGCCATGATTTCTGAAAGACTGAGTGCCGCTTTGGGTCACAATAAAGATGATGGAACCTTTGAGAGAGTGAAGATTCAACTCAACATCCTTGCTCCAAAACTCGAAAGGCAGGATCAGACGGTGGGTGGGAGGCCCTTGATCAGACTGCAGTGTTAGGTCCTTAGGTTACATAAAAAATGTGGTCTGGGGCTGGTGGAGTGGCTCAAGTGGTAGAGTGCCTGCCTAGCAAGCATGAGGCCCTGAGTTCAAACACTAGTACCACCAAAAATAAAGAAAATGTGGTCATATGTTGAGGGCCAGGCATTGCTGTATGGCAGATGGGCCAGCCCTCCCTGTTCATGGGTGAAGAGTTGTTTTTTCAGTGTCAAGAAGCATGTGCAGGCTGGGGGTATGGCTCAAATGGTAGAGCACCTGCCTAGCAAGTTCAAGGGCCTGAGTTCAAACCCCGGTACCACTAAAAAAAAGAAAAATATTAAGAAAAATTTTAAAAAATATGTGCAGCAGAAGCCATTTGTAACCTAACACCTAAAATATTTACTCTTTGGCCCTTTGCGGTCAAGGTTTACTCAGTACTGTAAAGTTTCATGTTTCTAGCTTGCCTGACAACACTTGTGCTGCTAGAATCCCAGGGAATGAGCACCCTGGTTCCAACTGGCATTGTAATTGGCTCTCTTATGCAGCCCATCTTGCTGTCATGTTTGCATGGCCTGCTTCCTGTCGGTCATGTTTTGGAGGCCACAGCCTCATGGTGACCATGTCTTCTCTCAGGTTGTAGATCTTCTGCTTACAGCCTTCTGTCAGAATCTAATGGCAGCTTCCAGCTTTGCTCCACCACAGAGGTGAGGGCTTGGGGGTTTTAATGGGTGATCTTTACCTGTGCTGGGTGCTGAGGGCTGAGACCATGGGCCAGGTGGGCGTGAGCTCGGTTCCTAGGAACAGATGGTCACACTGAGCTTTGTCAAATGGGAACTCTGCGGAAGACTGGTTGTCTTTGTTACAGAAAGGCCACTGTTTTGGGGATGACCTGGCCCTTTCATAGGCCTCCTCTGCCTGCATTGGTTGTGGGATATACAGGGCCATGAATAGCCAGCACCTTGGTCTATATCTCTTCAGGCAGGGTCCCTGGGCTGCTCTGTTCGTGAGGACCCTGTGTGGACACAGGCTGCTTCCTGCAGTACTTGCTCGGCTTATCCAGTTGCTCCATCACCAGGTAGCTCCTGCCCCTGTCACCAGGTAGTTCTTATCCCCTCTAGTCTGTACCCTTGGGGTGATTCTGAGCCCAGGATGTTGCTTCTGGCTGGTTCTTAGAACCCTTCCAGCTGGGGTTGTTGTTGCCAGCTCTTTCCCTTGTCCTGTTTCAGGGCCCGAACCTGAGTGCCTCACACGTGCTGGGGTTGGCCGCGTTGGTCATCCATCTGGGTGAGTTCAAGTCCACGCTTCCAGAGGTGGATTCAGGTCCTCCTGCCCCCACCAGTGGCCTTCCCATCCCTGAGTTCCTCTACAGCCTCCTGACTTGTCGCACCAGGGAATCCTTGCTTTTCTGCCTCAAGTAAGCCCTCCTCCACATTCCTGTTATTGCTTCTCCTTTCTTGAGAAAAGTAAATACTCATCAGATAACATAAAAGATTAGGGCCTGGGTGCAGCTCAGTGGTTGACTGTGCTTAGTATGCCTGAGGCCCTCCAGCACCAAAAACAGAAAAAAGAAAAAAAGTTGACAGATACACAGAAAATCAGCCACCCAGAGATTATCATTTCTTTACATTCAGGGATCTCTCCTTCCAGAATTTGATTATATACATATTTATAATATTCATTTGTTTCTTTGTTTATAAGTACAGAGTCCTACTACTTTAGTGAACTGCCAAAATTGATGTTATTGCTAAAGTTAATACTAGGTCGTAGACATCTTTTCATATTGTTAAGCCATGGGGGTGGTCATGGTAAGAGCTGCTTTGTTGTCTTGGGGTAATCTGACAGGTTTCTTCCAGTTTCCTCTGGTTAGGTTTCTGAGTTTCCCTGTGACAAGTAGCATATGGTTTCTCTCGAGACCTGCACAGTCAAAAAGGAAACTCAACTTCAGGGGTTTAAGAGTCTCATGCTCTACCGACTGAGCTAGCCGGGCGCCCAACTTCAGGGGTTTAAAACCCCGGGTCCTGCCCTCTGCTGCCATCCCCACCCCACTAGTATTCACGGAGCCCTGGCGAGTGCTGAACCTGCCCCAGGGAGCCTCCCTTCTCTCAGGAGTGTTGACAGTGAGTGTAGAGTATATCAACCATAGCCAGTGTGGGGAGGGAGTGGTGAGACCCAGCAAGAGGGGAGCCCTGGACACTATGCAGAGGGTCAAGGTGTGCTCAGACTCTGGAGTCTCAGGGGCTTCCTATGGCTGCCATGGTGAGGAGACAAAGCTGGGATTGGTGGCTGGGAGCAGGGCTACAACATGGGGTCGTAGGGTGAGTTCCGTCCTGGCTTTTTTTTTTTTTTTTTTTTTTTTTCTTTTGTGGTACTGGGGCTTGAACTCAGGGTCTTCACCTTGAGGCACTCCACCTGCCCTATTTTTTTGAAGGGTTTTTTGAGATAGGGTCTTGCAGAACTATGTGCCTGGGCTGGCTTCGAACCATGATCCTCTTGATCTCTGCCTCCTGAGTAGCTAGGATTACAGGTTTGAGCCACTGGCACCCAGCTTTCCTGGCTTTCTTGGGCAAGGCTTGGCCCAGGTGGCTGGAGAGGACCCATAATGATGCCTGAGGAGCCCTATGGGGGCCAAGTGGGCAGTAGGAGTTAGGATTGGGTCTGAACTGAGGTGGGGGGTTCATTAGTAGAGAACTGAGAAAAGGCATAAGAAATGTAAGCAAATGGGAGACAGGATGAACCTGTGCCCCTCATTGGAATGGGTCACAGGGAAGCAGCTTCAGTGTTGCTAGGACACAGGGAGCCCTTAGGGCATTTGGAAACAGTCAATCCTAGGTGCCCCTGCCCTAGTGAGCCCACAGAGCTCAGAGTGCACCATGGCCAGCCCTTCTGCTACTGTGGGAGACAGGAGCCAGTGAGGAAGCACTGAAGGTGATGCACAGATGAGGAGAGAGGCAAGATCTCGATGACATGGATTTGTCTCAGGGTGCAGCCACAGGGGGAAACGGGATACAGAAGTCTTATGCTGCTTATGTGGGAGGGAAAGTGGGCTGAATACATGTTTGTCTTTTTTAAGAAGAAACATGGGGACTGGGTGAGTGTCACAGCCCTAGTTTCCCCAGTGGACATGTCATCCCCTCATGGTCTTCTGTGTGCAATGGTTACTAAGGAGAATTGCTGTCCCTTCCCGGCGATCTTGTCCTGCCCTTAGATATTTGTAGGCCCCTTACGATGAAAGTGAAAGCTGCACAGGTGCCGATAGTGGTACCTGGGGCACATGCAGCCAGCCTGATACTTTCCTTGCCTGAGTCTCCTTTCCTCCTTTCTTTGTCTCCTGGTCCTCAGGGCCCAGCTCTGTTCTCAACCATCTTTTCTTTCTGCACATATTATTGACTCTGTGTCACATATCCTGATAGGCAGAGCTACATATGTCTGTCTCTGAGGCCATACTCGTAGTGACTTTCACTCTCTGTACCCACAAGATGTGTCACCAAGACATGGAGCATGTTTTCTCTAGTCTGCAGACTCCTTTTCACAAAATAACATGGATGACACCCACCTGTACTGGAGACATCTGCACTCACCTTCCTGGCTTGCCCCTTATCCAGTACCCCATCTCCTGACCAATCCAAGAGCCAGGTGGCACATGCATTATTCTCACTTTATTCTTTTGTGTCCGGGTATGGCTCTTACATGTGCAACATGAACACGCACCCTAGCTCATACCCAGTGCAGATGTTTGCATGCTGTTGAGTGTCCGTGTCTGCCTGCAACATGGAGGTAGCAGCTCTAGCTCAGGAACACCAAGCCTGACACTGTGTGAGGTGGTTTTTTTTTTTCTTTTTTCTTTGATGGTTTTGGGGTTTGAGCTCAGGGTCTTACACTTGCTAGGCAGGCACTCTAACACTTGAGCCATTCCTCCAGCATTATGAGGGTTTCTTTAATCAAGGATTGACCTTAGGCCATGTGGTATAGAAGGCACTAAATTCAGTTCTATGTGATTCAAACTCACTTTCCCTTCACCCCACTTGTGTGGGTCATATTGTATATTCTAACTTGTGTTTTCCACTTGCAGGTTCTGTACAGCAGCAATTTCTTATTTTTTGTGCAAGTTTTCTCCCCAGCCCCATGATGCCTTGCATAGCTGTTTATCTCCAGGCCTGATCAAAAAGGTGGGTCTGCCAGGTTCCTGTTTTTCTGTTCTCCTGAAGTCTTGGGTTTAAACAGCTTTCTAGCCAAAGGCAGAGGTTTTGCTTCTTCATTGTTGATCTCAGGGCACTGCTGCACCATGCATTAGACTGTTTCTGGTCAGCCTGGCTGTCTGCTGAATGCTGCTGTTCCTCAGAGTGTAAATTGGGGAGTAAAATGACAGCTATACATGTTTGCTCCTTTAAACAAACAGATGCTGCTATTCATAGCACAGGTAAGTTAAAAGCTAAGTATTCATAAAAGGTACCTTTTCCCTTTAGAAATTGCACTGCAGGCTGGGCATAGTGGCTCATACCTGAAATCCCAGCTGCTTGGGAGGTGGAGATCAGGAAGATGGCCATTTGAGGCCAGCCCAGTCAATAAGCTAGCGAGACCCCATCTCTATAAAAAAAAGCTCAGTGTGGTGGTACATGCCTATGATCCCATGTATGCTAGAGACTGAGGGTAGGGGATCTCAGTCTGAGGCCAGCACTGGGCAAAATGCAAGACCCTATTTGAAAAATAAAGCAAAGAAAAGGGCTGGGGATATGGTTAAAGTGATAAGAGAGCCTGCCTAGCAAGTGGGAAGCTCTGAGTTAAAAAAAAAAAAAAAAAAAAAAAAAGGAAAGTTACTCTGCAAACCAGAGTTGTCCTTGTATAGTTTTCTACAGTTTTGTTCTTGTTTTTGCAGTGCTCAGTTTGAACTCAGGACTTCACGCTTACTAGCAGGCTCTCTACTGCTTCAGCCATGACCCCAGCTTTTTTACAGAATTTTAATGAGCACCTCTAGTGCTTGAAATAATTTTTTTCTGTTACTTTTTTTTTGGTGGTACTAGGGGTTGAACTGAGGGTCTTGGTAGGTGAGTGCTCTACCACTTAATGCCAAATACCCAGCCTTGTTTTTCGTCTTATTTTTTACATAGGGTCTTGGGTTTTGCTGGTACCAACCTGGCTATGATCTTCTGTTTACTCTTCCCACATAGCTGGGATCACAGGTGTGAACCATCATGCCCAGCTTATTAAGATGGGGTCTCGCCTACTTTTTGCCTAGCTGTCCTCTAACTGCAGTCTTCCTTTGTCTACCTCCCACATAGCTGAGATGAAACAGTAGGTTTTATTGCAAGCTTCTCATCAGACTCAACAGAGAGGATGATGAGTTCAAGGCCAGCCTGGGCTACACAGCAAGACCTTGTCTAATTAAAAAAAAAAAAAAAATCAACAGAAGCTCTCAAAAGTCCTGGCTGCTGGGTCAGAATTTGGAACTCCAGGCCGTACCCATGCTTGGAGGAACCTGATTCCATGGGAGGAACATGCTGATCTCACATTCTGCCTATTGATACATAGCCCCAGGTACAGCCAGGGCTACACTGCCTCCAGGGTAGGAGCATGAGGCCTCTTGGTGAGCTTGTGGGCGTGACTCTCAGTGGGCTGTTTGGCCAGTGTTTTTCAGTCTCTTACTGTAAACATGTTACTTCTGTTTCAGTTTCAGTTCGTTGTGCTCAGACTGTTTGCCCAGGCTCGAGTACCTCACCTTCCAGAGGACACAGCCAGCCTCTCCTGGAGACCCTTGTTCCTCCCTTCCACAGACTGGTACAGGGCTGCGCTCTCCCTGTGGAGACGGAACAACTTCCAAGAGTTGTTGAAGGAGGAGTTTCGTGTAGGTCACTTCTCTCTCATGTGTCCCGACTCCCAGGGAGTGTGTGTGTGAGGGACTTGTTTGTCCTAGGTGTGTGGATGTGGTTGTTTCTTCTGAGTATTTGTCTTTGTGTGTGTGTGTGTGTGTGTGTGTGTGTTTGTTTGTGTGAGATTGTGTGTCCGAGAGATTATGTGTCCTGGATGGATGTGTGAGTGAGTGAGTGGAACCTCTGTGTCTCTTGTGAGTCCAGAGCAGCACTTGATGGTTGAAACTTTCACTGACATCATGGAGCTGTAAGAAATGCTACAGGAACACCCTGCTGTGCTTTACCCAGGCCCTCCCAACAGTTACTTTTTGGAGAAAAGGTTAGGGTGAATGAAACCCTATCTTGAACACCTGCCAGGCCTCATGATGGGGACTTTGTGTCCATGCTCCCCAGCCTGTTCCCAGACACAGGAGCCTGGCACTGCTGAGCACTGCTGTGTAACAGCCCCTCATTGCTCTTTTCCTAGAGTATTTGCCTTATTTCCTTAGGAAAAAGGTGTTTACCTTGTTTTGATGGTTTTGGGGTTTGAACTCAAGGCCTCATGCTTGCTAGGCAGACTCCCTACCACTTGAGCCACTCCACAGTCCATCTCAACTGTTTTGTCACAGTTTTTACTATTAGGTATATCAGCTTACAAGGGTGGGCATGACACAGTATCTATCTGAGGACACTGGAGCAGGGAACAATGGGTGCCCACCAGAGGCTGGGTGGTGCATCACCAGCTCTCCTGAGCCTAGTCCTGTCCTGGGACAGCTGCAGCCTGGTTCCCACTCACGCCATTTGCACCACATACATGTGGGCCCAGGGCAGAGGGCGCTGCCTGCCTTGGCCCAAATGGGAACATGTGGAAGGATATTTGTATGACATGCTTTTTTGTTGCTATGTTAGGTTCTGAGATTAGTTCATACTGATTTGTAGGACTGTTCTAGGACTTTTCATAGAGGAAGTAAACTGCCATGAGTAATTGAAGCATGTTATTTATTACATTGAGGTTTAGTCTTCCTGGTCCTATTGTATAATAACTTAGCAGAGAATAGGTTTGTAGATTGCACAGGTTGACTGTTCAAAACTAGGCAATATACTAGTTAAATATACCAGTTTAAAGAGCTTCTTAGTCAGAGTTCATAAATAATGTCAGTTTCCACAATATGTCCATTCTCCATGTCTCTGAGCTTGGTGTGAAATACATTACATAAGAATGGCTTTTTATACTAAGAAAAAAAGTGTTTTACAGGTCAAGCATCCATAATCCAAAAAACTGGTAACTGAAACATTTCTAGTTGCAAGCATTTCATATACAGGATACTCAATCTGTAGCATTGTGTTGGAAATCGTAGGGTGTTATGGAAGTGTTATAAGAGTGGACATTTCCTAGACAAAGTAAGGACACTTTTCTTCCTGTGAAATTCAACTTCAATTTCGTTGTCACACGGGCACAGGTCTGGTTTTGAGACAAAATGGCAAGCATTTACAAACTGGGTGGTGTGTGTTTTGCCCTTGCTACACTGAGTTGTTTGTATCTCAGTTAACTTACAGGGACTGGCTGCAGCTGGAACTGGAGGTTCAGCCTGGAGCAGATGTTCTCTCAGATGCAGAGAGGTGAGTGTTGGAAGGGAGCTGCCCTGTAAAGCTGGGTCCCAGTCTCTACATCCTTTTACTGTGTTTTCATCACTACATCCTCAGTGTAATGTGCAGGCTAACTGTAATGTTTGGGCACAATATCAGTCATTGGTTCTTACTCAAGAAATGTTAATTGAGTCTCTGCTACATGCAAGAGATTTCTAGAATGTCCTAGAATCTAGGGGTGCAGAGTGACCGAAGTGAACCTGCCTTATTCATCACCTATACAGGGAAGGGCAGATGAGGCCACACATAACCTGCACACTTGGTTGGGCTTGTATCGAGGAAGTGTACACTGTGTCCCTAGTGACCACAGATGGATTAAAGATGGGGATGAGTGCTGTGAGGTCACATGACAGGCCCTGTGAGAGCCAGTGACCAGGTGGGGATTACAGGGGAGGTTGTTGTGAGGCAGTGAGGTGCATGAGGAGGGCAGGCTCTGGGGAGGAGCGGGCTTTGAGGTGGGTGCCAGGAACCAGGTAAATCAAGGACCAAGGCCCTGTGGGTCCTGCAGCTGATAACAGCAGACTGTCAGGTCAAGCATGCTGTTTTGGGCATGAATGGGGTATTGAGAGGATCCTTAAGTTTTGGATGGGGGTGGGGTGAAGCTCAGGGTAAAAAGAGACACAGAGAACCTGGAGGGGCAGGTGAACCCAGGAAGGACTGCTTTGGCCAGCTGCACCCTCCATCCCCAAGGTCTAAGAGCCTTTGGCACATGCACAGCACTGTCTCCATGCTGGGTCATTGTGTCAGATCCTGAATGGAGCAAATAGAAATGATAGAAAAGAAAAGGCTTGGGTGAAAAGAAAACCAATGTCTGTTTACTATCAGACCTGTGCCAAGCCAGCTTTGTGACATGCCTTTCTTCTTCTCCCCACAGTGGGAATCTGGGCACACCAGGAAGGAAGGGCATGAGCATAAATTGCTCTCTTAGTGTGGGACTTTAGTCCTTGTGTCTGTCATTGAGATTGAGACTACACAGGTTCCACAGATTGCTTTCCGTCCCTTTTTGTGGTGCTGGGGTGGAGCCCAGAGTCTCAAAATGCTGGGAAAGCTGTCCATGGTGCTACATCCCCAGACAGTGAGGACAAGTGCTGTCTCTCTGCTACCCAGGGTCTTGACTGCTCATGGTCGTGGAGTCCTATGGACATGTCACTGGGGTTTGGCTCTTTCCAGTTAGTGGACCACAGTCACCATGTCCTTGAGACCATAGAGGCAGTGCCACTCTCTCCAGTGGCTGCCCTGTGATCTGCAGGCTGATCATGCTCCTCTGCTGTAGCCTGCTATGGCTTTTATGGTTTGACTTTACATGACTTGGCTTATGTTTATGGTTCTCCTTCACCAAGTTCATAGGCATGGTCTGTACTTTGCTGGTCAGTGGTAGAAGGTTACAAGTTGCCCTGGAGAGTGGGCCTATCCCACAGCCCCAGGACCCCGGTCTTGCAGATGATGAAGCCTCACCTACCCTGAGGTCCCAGGCACCAGTGCACCATGGTCACTAGGGATGGGTACTCCTCCTGCAAGGCCACTGTAAGGCTGCGGTACAGCCCTGGCTACAATGCCTTTCTCAGAATTAATCTCAGGGTTTGCTGTTGCAGACAGGACTTCCACCAGTGGGCGATCCATGAGCGCTACCTCCCTCAGCCTTCTTCCTTGGGGGGCTGCAGTGGAGACCTGGAAGTGGCATGCACGATCCTTGTCAGCGAGCTGATGGACTTCTACCAAAGGTCAGCCATTTGAGTCCAGGAACTCCACTTTTTGTTATGGTGGTTCTGAGAATGCATCTCATTCTTTCAGTACAATCATATTACCCAGAGCACATTGGGTTAGGCATGAGTCTGTTAAAAATGAAGGCAAACTTCCTGCATCGGCTGCTGCTTTGTCTGAGTGGCTCGTGTCAGGAGAGCACCTCTACCTGGGGTTCAGGGTCAGCAATGTGAATAATGCAGCCATCCAGGACTGTGGGCACACCAGCAGTTGTCCTGTCTACCTCCTCCCGAGGTGGGGTGTCCCAGCCATGCATCCTCAAGCTCACTGCTAATGACTTCCTAGCAGTGACTGGGTCAAGGCACTGAGGTGTGAGAGAGTCCATTTTCCAAGTTTTAGGTGATAAATTATATCACTTTAATCATAAAAAAAAAACAAAACTCTTCACACTGGTGGGTGTAAGTCAGCAGTAGGGTACTTGCCTAGCATGCTTAAGGCCCTGGGTTCCATCCCTAGTTTGGCCAAAAAAAAAAAAAAAAACCCAGCAACAACAAAAAAACCAACACATTGTTGCACCACTCAGGCAGATCACTCCTGAAGACAGCACAGGACAGAAGACAGACTCCATTTCTCCCACTGCCCCCTGGTCCACAAGGGTGTGAAAGCCATTATCTAGTGACACGACCTGTGTGAACTCACTATGGTGTCTTCTGCATAACCAGTAGTGTTGGAAGCTCTTTTTTTTTTCCTTTATTATTCATATGTGCATACAAGGCTTGGGTCATTTCTCCCCCCTACCCCAACCCCCTCCCTTGCCACCCATTCCACCCCCTCCCTCTCCCCCCCACCCCCTCAATACCCAGCAGAAACTATTTTGCCCTTATTTCTAATTTTGTTGTAGAGAGAGTATAAGCAATAATAGGAAGGAACAAGGGTTTTTGCTGGTTGAGATAAAGATAGCTATACAGGGTATTGACTCACATTGATTTCCTGTGCATGTGTGTTACCTACTAGGTTAATTTTTTTTGATCTAACCTTTTCTTGGAAGCTCTTTTAAAGACAAGATCTCACAGCACAGTATGTCCTAAAACTTGTGGTCCTCCTGCCTCAGCCTCCCAAATACTGGGATTATCGGTGTGTACCACCATGCCCAGTGTGAAAATTCTTCCTACTGGTGCTTAGTGACTGGGAACCACACCTACCAAGCAAAGTGAAATTGGGGCCAACCCTTGTCCCTTGGACTCCTGCAGGCAGCTTTGGAGGGATGGCCAAGTATGGTGTGTGGGTGAGAAGCCCATGTCATCAAGTGGGCTGCTTATGAATTCCAGTCCATGGCAACCACCAGTCTACTTCTTGCCTGTGGAATTGCCTGTTCTGCACATTTCACATAAACGGAATCATCTGTCACCTTTGTGCCTGGTTTATGTCACTGAGCAGAATGTTTTTGAGGTTCGTCCATGCTGGGTAATATGTCAGCACTTTCTCTTTTTATTGCTGAATAATACCAAAAAGTGACCATATTTTCTTAATCCATTCTTCCACTGATGGACATTTGGGTTGTTTCTGCTTTGGCGCTGTTATGAATAATGTGCTGTGAACATTTGTGCACAGGTTTTTTGCTGTTATTGTTGTACTGAGGTTTGAACTTAGGGGCTTCACCTTGAGTCACTCCACCAGCCCTTTTTTGTGAAGGGTTTTTTCTGGGTAGGGTCTCACAAACTATTTGCCTGGGCTGGCTTTGAACTGCGATCCTCCTGATCTCTGCCTCCTGAGTAGCTTGGATTACAGGCATGAGCCACCTGTACTCAGCTGTGCACAGGTTTCTGTGAGACCTGTGTTTTCATTTTTCTTGGACAAATGCAGAGGACTAAATTGATGGGTATATGGTAACTGTTTTTTTAAGGAACTAAGAATATTTTCCACATCTGGCTGCACCATTTTACGATTCCTGCCTTCAGAATAGGGGATTCCAATTTCTTCACACTTTCACCAGCACTGCTATTGTTTTTTTCTGACTTTGATAGTGGCTATCCTAGTACGTATGAATTGCTGTTTCGTCGTGGTTCGATTTGCATTTCCCCATGAGTAATGGTGCTGACATCTTTTCATGTGCTTATGGACCATTTGTATGTTGTCTTTAGAGAAATGTCTATTTATATTCTCTACCTGTTTTAAAACAAATCTTTTTTTGTGGAACTGGGAATCAAACTCAGGGGCTTGCACATGCCAGGCAAACGCTCTCCCATGGAGCCACACCTAGCCCCTTATAATTTTGTTGTCCCACTGAGTTATAGGAATTCTTTATTCTAAAGATAAGCTCTTAGCAAGTGGATGACTTGTAAATATTTCCTCCCACTCTGTGAGTGGTCTTTTCACTCTTTCAATAATGTACTTTGAGGCACAAAAGTTGTAAATTTTAGTGAAGTCCAATTCATATGTTTTTAGTTTTAGCTCCTCTATTTACGTTTTTGGTCCATTTTGAGTTATTTTATATGTGGTATGAGGCATGAGTCTCATCTCTTTTGCATGTTTTTGTTAAATATTGTTTCCCCCACTGAATGGTCTTGGCACTCTTGTCAGAAATCAGTTGGCAAATCTGGGTGCCAGTGGCTTTGCCTTCACCCTGACTACTCATGTAGTAGAGATCAGAAGGATTGAAGTTTGAGGCCAGCCTGTGCAAAAAAAAAAAAAAAAAGAGAGAGAGAGACCCTACCTCAAAAACACCCAATACAAAAAAGGGCTGGACTGGCACAATGGTTCAAGTGGTAGAGCGTCTGCCTAGCAAGTGTGAAGTCCTGATTTCAAACTTCAAACCCCAGTAGGGTGGTATGTGCCTGTCATCCCAGCTACAGAGGCAGAGAAAGGAGGATCATGTCTGATGTTAGACCCTATGAAAAACAATCTAAAGCAAAAAGGCCTCTAGGCCTTGAGTTCAAAACCACCCCCCTTCGCACAAACACACAATAAAGTTAATTTGCCATTCATATGAAGATTTATTTTTGGTCTCTCAGCTCTATCCACTGATCTGTATGTCTGCCCTTATGCCAGTTCTGAATTGATGATTGTACCTTGTACTAGGTTTTTTTTTTTTTTTTTTTTTTTCATTTTTCTTTTATTATTCATATGTGCATACAAGGCTTGGTTCATTTCTCCCCCCTGCCCCCTCCCCCTCCCTTACCACCCACTCCACCCCCTCCTGCTCCCCCCCTCAATACCCAGCAGGAACTATTTTGCCCTTATCTCTAATTTTGTTGTAGAGAGAGTATAAGCAATAATAGGAAGGAACAAGGGGTTTTGCTGGTTGAGATAAGGATAGCTATACAGGGCATTGACTCACATTGATTTCTGTGCGTGTGTGTTACCTTCTAGGTTAATTCTTTTTGATCTAACCTTTTCTCTAGTTCCTGGTCCCCTTTTCCTATTGGCCTCAGTTACCTTAAGGTATCTGCTTTAGTTTCTCTGCATTAAGGGCAACAAATGCTAGCTAGTTTTTTAGGTGTCTTACCTATCCTCATCCCTCCCTTGTGTGCTCTCGCTTTTATCATGTGCTCATAGTCCAATCCCTTGTTGTGTTTGCCCTTGATCTAATGTCCACATATGAGGGAGAACATACGATTTTTGGTCTTTTGGGCCAGGCTAACCTCACTCAGAATGATGTTCTCCAAGTCCATCCATTTACCAGCGAATGATAACATTTCGTTCTTCTTCATGGCTGCATAAAATTCCATTGTGTATAGATACCACATTTTCTTAATCCATTCGTCAGTGCTGGGGCATCTTGGCTGTTTCATCTATTTTGAATGATAGCTTTGCTGGGTAGAGTATCCTGGGGTTGAAGTTATTTTCATTCAGTGCCGGGAAGATCTCACCCAAGCTCTTCTTGCTTTTAATGTTTCTGTTGAGAAGTCTGCTGTGATTTTGATGGGTTTACCTTTGTATGTTACTTGTTTTTTCTCTCTTGCAGCCTTCAATATTCTTTCCTTAGTTTCTGAACTTGTTGTTTTAATGATGATATGTCGTGGAGTAGTTCTATTTTGATCTGGTCTGTTTGGTGTCCTGGAGGCCTCTTGCATTTGTATGGGAATATCTTTCTCTAGATTTGGGAAATTTTCCATTATTATTTTGTTGAATATATTACGCATTCCCTTCGCTTGCACCTCTTCTTCTTCTTCGATGCCCATGATTCTCAAGTTTGGTCTTTTGATGGAGTCAGTGAGTTCAGTTTTTCCTTTAATTACCATTTCATCTTCAAGTTCTGAGATTCTGTCTTCTGTTTGTTCTATTCTGCTTGATTGGCCTTCCGTTTTGTTTTGCAGTTCTGTTTCATTCTTTTTTCTGAGGTTTTCCATATCCTGGCTGTTTTCTTCTTTATTGTTGTCTATTTTTGTCCTGAGTTCATTTATCCATTTATTCATTGTGTTCTCTCTTTCACTTTGGTGTTTATACAGTGCTTCTATGGTTTCCTTTATTTCTTCTTTTGCTTTTTCAAATTCTCTATTTTTATTGTCTTGAATTTCTTGAGTGTCTCCTGTACATTTTGGTTGACCCTATCTAGTATCATCTCTATAAAATTCTCATTGAGTACTTGTAGTATATCTTCTTTTAAATTATTCTTGTGGGCTTCATTGGGTCCTTTGGCATAGTTTATCTTCATTTTGTTGGAGTCTGGATCTGAGTTTCTGTTCTCTTCATTCCCCTCTGGTTCCTGTACTAATTTTTTGCTGTGGGGAAACTGGTTTCCTTGTTTTTTCTGTCTTCCTGTCATTGTCTTTGGTGTTGTTACTGTCCCTGTACTCTGTGTAATTAAGTATTTTCTAGCTTGTAATAATAACAATGGTAATATTGAGAATGGAAGAGTGAGCTGAGATGGAAAGCAAGAAGTTAAAGAAAAGGGGAAAACAAATATACAGACAAGAGGGAGAAAGCAGAACAAGGTATCAGACAAGAGAGTTTCAAAGGTATAAACAGGGAGTGTTAGTGTACTAGTGGACAATAAGCTGAACAGACAATAGAGAGACAGAGAGAGGATTGAAAATCAAAGATAAAAAAATAAAAAATAAGTATATGAAAGTAATATCTATATATAAAAATGAATTAAAATAAAATGGAAAATAGAAAATAAAAAAAAAAAAAACCCAAAAAACTTCCAAGTTTATATGCAATGCAATTTCAGTCTTAATAATTTGGATGTCCGTCTCAATCTCCAGTCCTGGAGTTGGTGCCTCAGATGTTGTGTGGTTGTCTCATTAAAGGGGATGCATAAAGTAGAACAAAACTACACTCACACACACACAGAAGAAAAAAAAAAAAAAAGCCCCACCAAGTGTCCCCAGTTCAAATGCAATACAGTTTCAGTAAGTTTTTCGGCTTGCAGGTGTAATTCGGTTGTTCTCTCATCAAAGGTAGGGAGAAAAAGAAAAAAAAGCGTCTGGAGGCAGTTCTGAGAGTGGTATCTGCAACTGTGGCTTGCCTGCCTGCTGCTCTCAGCCTGTAGCTGGCGGCGTTATTTATGCAGATCTCTGGGGTGAGCTTAGCACTCACCTGGTCCCACAGGCTTTGTTTGCTCAGAGTTCTCCTGTGCGGGGGAGGGGGGCCTCTGCTACAGGCTTTTCCCTTTCCAAGCACTGGGAAAGGCGACACTGCCCCGCGTTGTCAGGCCTGCGTGTTTATTTACAGTTCACGTGGGAAGTGGGTCTTCCCTCCTCTCACAAGCGTCCCCGCTCCTGGTTGCTGGCGCGCCCCGCTCCCGCCAGAGCCTCTCCGGCCCGCCCGGCTCGTTTATTTCCAGTCCCCCCAATCTTCAGCGCTCAGGGCGCCCCACCCTCTTTCCAGCGTGTCTTAACTGTTCTTATTGCTTAGTACTCAGTTTCTCTTTTTTTCCCGGGTGGACGTCAGTCTGTCCAGGGGGCTATGCTGCTCTGGCCCAGGCTTGTCTGTGGGGAACCGCGGTACCGCGAAGCTCACCTGGTCCGCGTCTTCCCAAGCCGTATGGGCGCCGGCCACTGGCAGCCCCGTTTAACGTGAAGTGGAGATTCTCTGCGCCGGCTGGAGATGTGGAGGGGTCAAAGTTATGCCTCTTCTCGGTGATTATGCCTGCAAAGTGTGTCTCCAGCGTCTCTCCAAGATTTCACTATAGGAGGCTCGCTTTCTGCTTCCTCCCTCTAGCCGCCATCTTGGAATTCTTGTACTAGGTTTTGAAATTGTGAAATATGAGTCTTCCAACTTTGTTACTCTCTTTCAGTATGGTTTTGACATTCTGGGTACTTTGTGCTTCCATCTGAATTTTAGGGTTAGCTTGTTGACCATGAAGCCAGCAGGGCTCTGACAGGGACTGTATTTGACCTGATCTCTTTGGGTAATGTTGTCATCTTGTCTTTTTTTTGGTGCACTGGGGGGTTGAACTCAGGGCCTCACACTTGCTACGCGGGCGCTCTACCACATGAGCCACTCTGCCAGCCAAGTGTTGCCATCTTAACCACACCTTCCTGTCCATGCTCATGGGAGTTTTTCTGTTTGCTTAGGTGCTCTTTCATCTTTCAGTGGTATTCTGTAGTTGTCAGTGTTCAGGTCTTTAAATTTATTCCTAAACTTTTATTCTTTTCAATGGTATTGTAAGTGGGATTAGTATCTTAATTTCATTTTGGATTATTCAGTTAATGTGTAGGCATACAACTGATGATCGTATATTGACTCACTTATTTGCAATAATAGTTCTTGTGTGGATTCTTTAGGGTTTACTGTATTTAAGGTCATGTCATCTGTGAGTAGAGGTATTCAGCTTTTTCCTTTCCAGTCTAAATGTCTTTTATTTCTTTTTCCTTATTGAATTGCCATAGCTAAAACTTACAGTACAGTATTGAAGAGAGGTGGTGGGAGAGGACACCTTTGTCTTATTCCCATCTTTCATCATTAAACTTGATGTTAGCTGTGGGGTTTTCATAGATAACATAGGTCAGGGTGTTGTTTATGTTCCTAGTTTACTAACATTTTATCATGTTAGTGTATAAATTTTGTGAAGCACTTTTTTCCGCATCTATTGATATGCTCATGTGATGTGATTGTGATTTTGTTTTTATTCTATTGATAGGTACATTATTTTAATTGATTTTGGGATATTAAACCAACCTTCATTCCTGGAATAAATCCTACTTGATCATGGTTCTGGGTTTGGACTGCTAGTACTTTGCTGGGTTTTGTTTGTTGCTGGCTGCTGTTGTGCCAACAGGGAAGTGCATATGCCCTGATTTCAAGGCAGGAGGACTGGGTACAGTGACACATCAGGAAGTACTGAGCAGGTTTTTGTTTCATTTGCAGTTCAAGGAGTTATGACCACTCAGAGAACTCTGATTTAGTCCTTTGTAGCCGCACAGGAAACGGTGATATTCTTTCCAGGCTGCAGGTGAGTTTGAAGACTCCTGAACTCTGTGTTCACATAGTAAGCTGTCCCCTGCTGACTTATTTATGAGCAGTCTCTGCAACGGTGCCTAACTCAATAGAGCAAAGTGGAAGCTCACATCATCCACACTGTCTGAGATCCAAAACAAAATGTGCTCTGTGAATTTGCTGCACAGGTGAGCATCACAGAAACCCAGACATACAGCTATGATGCCATGACCCTCTGGGCCTTGAGACACAGTGCAGCTTTGGTAGTAGACTTGCTGTTGCTCCACAGTCTTCTGCTTTTTAACGCCTGGCTGCCCACTAGACCTTATCTAGTGCCTGCTGTATGTATCTGTCCTGTGCCAGGTTCCCTCCTGGTTCCCCCTCACTGTGAGACTGAGTGGTTTATTTGGATTAGCAGAGTGGCTCAAGTAGTAGAGCGTCTGCCTAGCAAGTGTGAGGCCTTGAGTGCAAACCCCAGTAGCGACAAAAAAATAAAGTAAGCTGGTCCTTCTGCTGCCATCTGTCCTGTGGACCCTGGAAGATGGTCCAGTGTCTGTGTATTCTGTCTCACCCACAAGACAGGACTCTGACTCCATGCTCACTGTTGTATCCTTTCCTAATGGTGCCTATGGGAGACTCAGTAAAGCGGAGCCCCACAGTCTCTTCTCCCGTCTGCTCAGACTTTGCACTTAACACAGTGGGAAAAAAGCTTCAGGGGCCTGGCCTGGGGAAATGACAAACACAGCCTCAGTGGAGTTCTGCGGAAGCATCCAGAGGCAGTGGCAGTGGCAGATCAGCGAGGCAGGGACACATCTGCCAGTAGACATACTTCCAGAGTGCTCAGAGCCCATCTTCTGTGGTCTTCTCTGGGCTGGATCCAAAGGATGCATGGGGAGAAGGGTGAATGAGGAAGATGCAGAGAAGCTGGCCCCATGGCTTAGGCTTCATGCTGTTTGACATGGTGCCCAGCTAGACTCAGAATTTGCCATTGTGTATTTTTAAAATAAGGCACAAGAGCTAAATACAGTTCCAAAGTGGAATTCACAATTATTTTGAGCATAATAAACATCCTTTGGCACCTAAAAAAAAAAATCACATTCAAGGCTGGCAAGTGGCTCAAGGGGCAGAACACCTGTCTAGCAAGTGAGAAGTCCTGAGTTCAAACTCCTGTATGGCAAAAAAAGAAAAAAAGTCACATCAATTTTTTTTGAAAAATGTCAGTGTTATTAAAAATAGAATCTGTGGAAATGTTCCAGAGTAGGGGGGCTTGTGAGCCCTGACAGACCCTGACTGGACCCTGTGGTGGGGCAGATAGAAGAGGGGTGCACTTGTGCTGATGGATTGGTTGTGGGCTGCCTGACAGTGTTGGGATTGAGAGCCTTGTGATTTCCCTTCCACTCGTCCCCACACAAACACAATTGAGCACACAGGAAGAGCCAAATAACAAGTACAGTGAAATGCTGGCTATAGATGAATCTCGGTGATGGGTGTTCCCCGTGCACTGCCATTTACTTATTTGTTTAGTTTTTTAAATTTTTGATGGTACAGGGATTTGAACTTAGGGCTTCACGCTTGCTGGCAGGTGCTTTCCCACTTGAGCCATTCCACCAGCCCTTTTGCAATTTAAAAATAACTTCCAAGTAGAAAAGCTGTGCTCTTGCTCACCATTCCTGTCCCTGTGGAGACCTCCCTCTTGGGTCCCTGATTGTCAGCCTTGAGTCACACTTGGTGACAAAGCAGAGATGGAGGACAAGAGCTCTGGTGCTTCTGTTTCAGGAGATGGCTGTGGACCTGGAGCTGGAGCAGGGCCCCACTACCCCCCATGGCTGCTCCTCCACCCAGGGACACTTTCTGTTCCGCATCTTCCACAAGCGGCTCCAGGCCCTGGCAGACAGCAGAGATGTGACCTCCAGCCTTAGGAGACAGCAGGAGCTGCTCATGTGCAGACGGTAACAGGCCTCGGCCAGGCAGTAGCACAGCAACTTGTCCCAGGGTTTCTTTCCCAGTAGTTACTTGTTTGCCTCTTTACCCCAAGCCTGAGATGGTTTCATTTCCTTGGTGGCTCCCGTGGGGACGTGGTGGCTCCCATGGGAGCAGATCTGGAGTTGCGAAAGGTGCTTTGGAGTCAAAATAAGGAAAGCTGTGTGCTCAAAGATATCCGCTTAAGCCATTTTCATAAGAGTTACAAGATGCCTTCTGATCATGGTGCATCTTCCTATTTGGATATATGCAGCTGTTAAAAATATCACCCCTCCCCCACCCCCATAATACATTTTGGGTGTCTGCTATGGTCTAAGCCAGACTCAGGAGTTAGGGACAGAGATACATTTCTCCTCAGGGCCCACCGGGGGTGGTGGGAGGGAGGCAGAAACAGTGGGGACTACAGACCAGCACCATGGTTGACTGCATCACTGAATTCAAGGAAACATTGCTAAACTCTGAGCTGGGGAAGGAGTGCCATGTGTCCCCTCATGGTGACACTGCTCCTTTCTTCCAAGGCTCCTCCTCCGCCTGCCTCCCACTGTTCTCATTGGAAACCTGCAGGCTGGACAGCCTGCCACTCCCACATGTGAGGAGTTCTTCCAGCTGGTTAACTCTGAGTTGGTAGGTACAGATGAAATGCTCTGCTGCTGGCCTCTCTGCCTCTCTGTTGGTTCCATTCTCACTGGCCTTGTTGACTGTTTTACAGAGAAACTGCTGTTGTCATGGTGGCGCCTTGACTCATGACATCACCGTCCACTTCTTCAGGGTAACCTGGCACCTCCTTGTGAGCTGAACAACTCTTGGGATGGAACCTTCTATTGGGTGGTGTACCTTGGGGCCTGGATTGTGCAAACCACTGAGCTGTGGTGTGCTCTGCTGCAGGGGCTTCTCAGTGCCTGCCTACGAAGCCCAGACCCCTCACTGACAGCCAACCTGATCCTGACTCAGTGCCAGACCAAGTGCCCCATGATTCTGACCTCTGCCCTGGTAGGCCTGGCCATGTTGAGGTCACTGTGTAGCCCAAGCTGGCCTTGAACTTGGGATCCTCCTGGGTGCTGGGATTATAGACATGTACCACACCCTGGGCACTTTGGGTGTTTTTACACTGCAATGTGTGTGTGGGGTGCTCCATTTCCCACAGTGTCCACATCTTCCAACTGGAGATGTGTCCATATACAGCTGCTCTAATCAGTTTCCTTATCTTTCTCTTCCCGTGAGTTGTGGTGGTCAAGCCTGGAGCCAGTGCTGTGCAGTCAGTGGAGGAGATGCTTCCAGAGCGCACTGCCCCGAGAGCTGCGGCGGCTGCAGGAGGCCCAGCAGTTTGCCAGCAAGTGAGTGTGAACAGTAGGAGGAAGGGAATCCTAGCTGTTCTGAGGGCTATGCTGGGTCGTTTCCATAGACATCCCAGGTTGCAGCCTGTGAGGGATCTGTGTGAATGGGGAAGAAAGAACCAAGCTGACAGGCTCTTGTCTGCACGAGCAACTCAAAAAGTTGGCACAAGCTTCACTTCTGATTACTCGAGCACCCTGTTCTCTGCTGAAGGGCAGGCAGGCCCCTTGCTCCTAGACCTGAAGTTTTTGGTGGTCAGCGGCATGACAGTTGGAGGAAGAAGACTTAAGGTTCTGCACTGACATGTTTCTCTGTGTCCCAGTTTCCTCTCCTCTGACTCGGCTTCCCCTGCACCCCACCTGCCCTGGGTCTCAGCTGCTGCACTGCACTTCGCAGTTAAAGAAGCTGAGAAGGAGATCATCAGGAGACAGCTGAAGAGGCTGGAGTGTGAAACAGAAGAGGCAAGGCTGGAATTCTTTAACGTTTTTCCTAGAAAGCTTGTTTTATTTTTATTAATTTTTATTATATTCATATGTGCATACAATATTTGGGTAATTTCTCCCCCCTTTCCCCTGCACCCTCCCTAACCCCCACCCCCACCCCCTTCCTTACCCCCTCAACCCCTCGCTACCACAAGCTTATTTCAATCAATTTTTTAATTAGGGTATTTTTCAGGGTTTGTCTAATGGACTTGCTTTTCCAAAGACAAACATGAGATCTGAGTTCTTTTCACTCTGTTTGGAAGTAAAACTGAAGTTTATACTTTTAGCAAGCTTCTCAAGCTTATTGGTAGAAATGCCTTACATTTTTTTGAGGAGTGTTTCTGTTGGGCTTGTTTTTTATCCTCACCACAACCAGCTGCCAGCCATGAAGCGTGTAGCACCTCCTGTGTTCACATGGCCATATCTGTGGCTGTTGTGCTGAGAGGGCCTTGGGGAAGTGCAGACTTGGGGTGCTGGAGCTCAAGGAGAGGCAGAGAGGGCAGGACTGTCTACTGCTTACCTGTCCATGCACAAGGGACTGTCATAGGCTCTGGGCTTTGTGCCCCTTGGTTGCAATTGTTTTTGTACTTTTGTTAGAGCAATGCACTGGCTCCACAGCCAGCCTCCAACACCCCCAGCCAGGTCTGGGTTGAGACAGAGCTAGTGGGCAGAATCAGCAAGAGCTTTGCAAACATTTCTGACAGTGAGCCTTGCAGGAGAGCCAGAGAGAGCTGAAGCACTCGCAGCACAGGTGAGCAGCAGAGCAGCACACATGGCTGAGGATGTCCAGCCCTCCCTCTCTGTGCTTGCTGCTCTCTCTCTGTTTTTAGCTGAGTTTAGAGGCAAGTCAGAAAGACTCTGTCAGCAGTAATCTATTCTCAAGTAAGCCCCCTTTAAAAGTGATTGAAGAGTTCTTTTCCTACTGAGAGCCACCTAAAGGATTTAGGCCCTAACCATGTGTGGCCTGGCTCACCTGCAGGAGCATGTGATTCTTAACAGGGCTAGAGCACCAGTGGCTCTCATGGGGTAACTGCCTATTTTCTCCTGCAGCTGCTGGTCTCCCTCCTTTTCTTCTCCTTGATGGGTCTGCTCTCGTCGCATCTGACACCAGATGTAAGTCAGAGTCCCAGGTCTAATCACACTTCAGGTCTCTGGGTATCTCTTTGTTGTGCTGTCTTCCTCTTGATGTCTTAGAGCTTGATACAGTGACCTGAGGTGTGAGAGCCTGAGGGGCCATGGTCTACCCTCCCATGAGAGCCCCAGACAGCACCTTCTATCTAGTTGTCAGCAGTTCTAGACTTTGAAGGAGTAAAAATGCACTCCCCCGTGCTGATGGTTGAACCCCTGAAACCACCTGCAGCTCTTAGGAACCCAGCCTTGTCCACCCAGTGCAGGTCAGCACTACACCCGTTTGGCCCCTTCTGAGGGCTCTTCTGTGGGTCACAGGACACCGCTGACTCCCTGAAGGCTGTGGACATCTGTGCAGAGGTCCTTTCGTGCTTAGAGAGAAAGAAGGTGTCCTGGCTTGTGCTCTTTCAGTTAACAGAGACAGGTGAGAAGCCCTCTTGAAACCTTGACAGCTGATGAGACACTGATGGCCACTGTGTGACTCTCTTCAGAGGCAAGTTTCAAACCATTAAGAATAAACCCTCCTTGGGGTTAACTTTACAAGCTCATTTTCATGAGTTTATCTTGTTAAGTTTATCATCAACTCCAGTTTAGTTGAGACAGTTATTCAGTACAATCTTGTTTAAAGCAGCAGAGGGATGTGTCAAGACAGTGGAAGGCCCAGAGGAGCTGCTGGTCTGGAGCAGTAGATCCACAGACCTGTTGTGTTTGAGGGAGGGGGCGGGGTTCCCTGCCCAACACCCCAGTCTCTGCTGTCCTGTGGCAGGACATCACCCTCATCTTTAAAGACCCAGAGAGAAGGGATCCTTCTTTTCCCAGTAACTATGCCAGGTGCCCTCAGCATGGGCCACATGCTTCACTGTCACTGCAGCTAGACACAGACCTCCCCAATACTTTCACTGGGTGGAAGCACCCCCAGATCTGATTGAGTCCCCTCGGTGTTACAGATGCCAAGCTGGGGCACCTCCTCCGCTTGGCCCCAGATCAGCACACCAGGCTGCTGCCATTTGCCTTCTACAGGTAACCATACCCGCTGGGCTGGTCAGCAGAGTAAGCCTGAGCCTATGGGGCCTGGGTGGTCGGAGTGCTTCCCCAGGGCTTCCCACTAGGTGGGGACAGCTGCTAGTCACTATTCCACGGAAGAGTGGGCATTCTCTGCTGACTGCGCAGTCCTTTATCGTTTCCTTCCCCAGTCTTCTCTCCTACTTCAGTGAAGACACCATCATCAGAGAAGTAGACTTCCTGCATGTTGCAGCAGACATGTACTTCAAGCTAGTCCAGCTCTTTGTGGATGGGAAGACCAGATCTACGTCACCTCAGGTTGGCAGGAGCCTGCAGCTCCATGGCCAGTCTTGTCTCCAGGTGAGCACTCCCTGGCCCAGTGAGGTGGCTCCTGCCAAGGAACAGCAGGTGGGGAGCACTAGTCCGGTTCAGTATGCCCTGACCCACGACTACCCATGAACTGCCTTCTCTCTAGGGCAACCCTGTAGAACTGATAAGAGAAGCTCGTCTTTTTCTGCTGCAGTTAATACCTCAGTGCCCGAAACAGAGCTTCTCAAACATGGCAAAGGTAACCACTGTGACACCCTCCTTGGGCTGATCTCATGTACCCTGGGTAAAACGAGAAATCACAGCCGTGGGACACTGGAATGGTAGCTACATACCCACCAGCCTCTGCAGCACCCTTGGTGCCATGGTCTGCAGATGACTCAGGAGGGTCTAAGCCATGTCTTTCCTCCCAGCTCCTGGCCAGTCATGGACACTATGACCCTGAAGTGAGCGCCACCCTCCTGAGCAGGCAGCAGGCTGACCCTGACCTCTACCAAGAGCCCCATCTCTTCTGACTACGCCCAACTCAGTACACCAGCTTGCTCCTTTGTAAATAATTTATTGCAAGCATAACATGGAGCTCTTGTTACACCAGAAAGTAGATTACAAATCTCCTTGGTTGCTCTAGTTGGGAAAAGGAATCAATTATTCATGATCTGTATCTGGCCAAAGTTGCTCAGTGTTTGTAGAAAATAAACTGCTAGTCCCAGAGCAGATGACAAAGGCTACATCAGGTACACCAAGCTGCCTCCCTCACCTGAGGGAGAAAAGAAGCACCCTCCAGCCCTCTTGACACAGCAGTTATAGATGTAGGGTGGAGAACAGCATAGGGGCTACAAAGAGCAAGCAGAACTGCCACAGGGTGTGAGGACCATGAAGACATCATTAAACCTCACATCACACCTGTGCTGAGTTCAAGCTGCTCAATGTGCCCATCGTCCCACCTGCAGTCCTCAGGTCGGCTCAGGCTTCACAGCCTGGCCTTCCACAGTCCCAGAAGGGCTCAGGGGCTTGGGCGGGGGCTCTGCCTCCAGGGGCAGGGCCTTGTCTTGGATCTGCGTCAAAGGGTGCACCATGGACATGTGCACGTTGAGGTTGTGGGCCTTTTCAAACCGCCGGCCACACTGGTCACAGGCGAAGTCCAGCTCAGTCTCTGCCTTGTGTTTGGTCATGTGGTACTTGAGGGATGCTCGCTGCCTGCACTGGAACCCACAGACCTCACACCTGAGGGACAGAGGTGGGTGAGGAAGACTGCACTGGGTCCCAGCCACAAGAAGCGCACCCAGCCCACACTTACTGCAGTGGCTTGGCTCCCGAGTGGCGCATCTGGTGGACAAGAAGGTGCTTCCGCTGCTTGAAGGTCTGCCCACATTCGTCACAGATGTAGTTACGCACCTCTGCAAGACCAGAGAGGGCGTGAGCACGGCCCCATCGCTCACGTCTGCCCTGTGAGGGGCAATGTCTGACTGTTAGAACAGGAATAGTGGTGTTACCCAACACCAAGCAAGGGCCTAGCTTTATGGATGAGAGAGAATTCTGATACAAAGTATTTCATTAATAAAGGTTCCTAAATTGTTTTAGATAGATTGTCATGTGGCTGAGTCTTTCTCACCACAATTGCAATTTTTTTTCTTGTGGTACTGGGGTTTAAACTTACTTAGGGCCTCTGCTGGGCAGACATTTCTACCACTTGAGCCACTCCTCCAGCTCTACCTATATTTGAAGCCCATTTTTAAAGATAAAATTCTTCCTTATTAAGCACAAACTCAGAAGCCAAATTGGTAAGGCTTTCTATACTTTTTAGTGATCATCCCAAATTAGGGGCCTACACAGTGGAAGTAGGCCCAGTAGTGGTATTACAATGGCTCTACACACTTTGGAAAACAGCTTCTCACATTTGGAAAAAGTATGGCTATGGGCCCTGCACCACTTGCACTCATTCTGTGTGCTGCTTATACACCTGTGCATGCCTGATGCTGCTTCCCTCTGAGTTGCATTCCACCCCAGACTTTATTCTATAACCAGTTGTGACCACTATGACTGTCCTGATGTTAGGTTTGAAGCTTCTGACTTAAGATTACTGCATCAAGAGACACAAATTCTTGGAGCATAAAGTGGAAATAACCTAAATGTCCATCATCAGGAAAATGTCATGTGGCTGTGTTTCCTTCTGAAATTCCCAAGTAACTAATCCAGCAATAAAAAGGAACAAATCATGCTGAGAAAAGACTTCTGCACAAAGCTCAAAAACATCTATATTGTTCAGTGACTGATGATACAGCAAATCTTTTGGAAAGAATGCTGCATGCAGAGGCATAAATCATATTGTTAGAACATGAGAGGCAATTATAATATGATAGATATCCAGGGTTAGGACCAGTGTGCAGAGAAACACTGGAATATTAAGCCCTCCAGTGGCTAGTGGTGTACGAGGTACTTAGTGTCATCTCACAATGTAGGAGTTTTTGTTTTTTTGGGGAGGTTTTTGGCGGTTCTGGGGTTTTAACTCGGGGCCTCATGCTTGCTAGGCAGGCACTCTACCACTTGAGCCACTCCATTCCACCAGCCCTATTTTCTGTTGGGTATTTTCAAGATAGCTCGCTAGACCTTATTTGTCTGAGCTGGCACAGACAGTCCTGATCTCTGCCTCTTGAGTAGCTAGGACTACAGGGGTGAGCCACTGGCACCCAGCTCAGGAGTTACAGAAGGGCACCAGGATTTCTATGCTGTCAGTTCTGACAAGCTGCTCAGACCCTACAGAAGAGACTGCTCTGCTCTGTCAGGACTTCTGCCAGCAGCAGGCAAATGGCACACACCTGTGTGCAGACTCACACCTTCTCCCTGCTTGACCTATGAGCACCTGAGACCATGTGATACAAAATGTGTTCCAGCCCTGTGAGCCACCTCAGCACGGTTTGCCCCTCTGCAGGACACCCAGATCCACCACTATCCAGACCTGTGCCTGCTCAGAGGCCTAGCCTGAGGCAGGTACCTGTGTGGATGAGTTTCACATGGCGCTGCAGGTAGCGGTCGATCATGAACACCTTATTGCAGCCTGGGTGGGGGCAGGGCCTCTCCCGGACCTCCTCATGGTGCTCCTTAATGTGCTTCTGCAGGAGGGAAGGCAAGAGATACTTGTGCTTCCTCTGGACACATCCTGCCCAGGTGATAGCTGTCCCCGCTCCTGGAAGGAGGTCAAATCCAACTACTCCCCAGTCTACGCCACCAACTCCTTTACAGCATCACTGTGAAACTTCTGGGCCTCCAGGGAGTATCTGTAACAGGGCTGGCTCCACATCCTCCCCCAGGACCACACTAGCTGTGGTTGAGTCTCCACTGGCCTAGGCTCAACACACTTGGGCAGTCTGCACCTGGCTCTGCAGAAACACCCGGTGCTCCTGCTGACTACCCATTATACCTGGCCCAAGGAGGCACCCACTTCTCACCTTCATGCCGTCAGCCCCACGGTACACGGCCGTACAGCCTTGGTAAGGACACTTGTAGATGGTGGGCAGCTCCTCCCTGCAAGGCAGAGAAAATGTGGATGCAATGCCCAGACAGGTAGGGTGCCCCACACTGCGGACCTTACCTCTCACATCGGAGCTTCTTCTTCCATCCAGGCTTGGGCCCAGGTTTCTTTCGAAGTTTTGGTTCTTCAGCCTTCTTGGCTTCTTTGCCTTCATTTTTCTTACCAGAGACTCTGAAAGAAAAAGATGTGCCGAGATTCAGTGATATTTGTGATCTTGCAAACGATTCTCACCCTGCTTCTCTCTTCAAATGCCTGAGGGTTTTCCTTAAGCTTCCATACTGAGCTACTTCTGGGAAAACTGTTGGCTCCCAATCTGCCCTCAGCTACCAAAGCCACCACAGCTTTTAGAGGCTGAGAGGCCTGGTGCACACCTGAGGAGAGTGTGCAGCCCAGAAAAGAGGATACGGAGTGAGGCAGCACAGACCGCACTTGCTACCACTTGGTGGGTTTTCATAACTGAAGCTTCATCCCCTGTTCGAAGCACCCACACCAAGAACTGTCTGGAGACATCATAGAAATCAGTGGAGCAAGGAGCTCTAGGGTAAGTCTTGTCACCAAACAATTTCTAGAAGGCAGCATCACCTCTCTGGGGCTTGAGACCCTGATGGTGCCAGCAGCCTGGGGCACATCTCCAGCCCCAAACCCAGTGATATTTTTATGTACTAACAACAAACAATCCAAAATAAATAAAACAACTTCCAATAGCATCAAAAAGAATAAAATACTTAACTGGCACAGTGGTGTGCACCTTTAATCTCAGCTTTTCCAGAGGCTTAGGCAGGAAGATTGCTTGAGCCCACAAATTTAAGAGTAGCCTGGGCAATATAGCAAGACCTTGTCTCAAAACAAAACTAAAAATCATCAGTTTTAGGGCTGGAGGTGTAAAGCACTTGCCTAACATGCACAAGGAACTAGGTTCAATTCCCATCCCCCACATGAAAAAAATTAGTACACAACACATACGTATTTCTGTAGTTTGAGATCAAACTTCAGCTTTTTTTTGCATTCCAGCCCCCCCCAATCCAAAAAAGAATAAAACAGGGATAAAATTAGTCACCCAGCTACTTGGGAGGCAGAGATCAGAAGGACTATAGTCCAAGGACAGCCTAGGCAAAAAGCGACAAAATAAGCTGGCTGTGGTGGTGCACATCTGTAATCCCAGCCACTGGAGAGGCACAGGTAGGCGGATCAAGGTCCGGCTAAAAACTGTGAGACACTATCTAAAAAATAATGAAAGCAAAAAGGGCTGCAGACATGGCTTAAGTGGGAGAACAGTTGCTTAGCAAGCATGAGGCCCTGAGTTTAAACCCTAGAACCACCAAAAAAAAATAAACCAAACTAATTAAAGAAGGTGAGACTTACACACTAAAAACTAGAGAACACTGCTAAAAGACAATAAATACAAAGCCAATCCTGTGTTCACGGGTAAGAACTAATACTGAGATGGCAACATGTTCTGCGTCCCCAAGAAATCGACAGATTCGTGTGATCCCTGTCTAAACTCAAAACTCACAATACGGTTGGGGTGTGGATCAGGGTAGAGTCCTTACCAACCACTTGCAAAACCTTGGGTTCAGTCTCAAGCACCATGAGAAAAATAACATAAAAATGACTATTTTAGGCTGGTGGGGTTGCTCAAGTGTGAGAGGCCTTGAATTCAAACCCCAGTACTGGAAAAAAAAAAAAAAAGGAAAAGAAAAACAAAAGGCTTTCTCCCCAGGCGCCTGTAACTCATTCTTGTAAACTTAGCTATTGGGGAGACAAATCAGGATGATCACTATTCACAGCCAGCCTGGGCAAATAGCTCATGAGACCCTATCTTGAAAAATACCCAACATACCCGGGTACGGGTGCTTCACGCCTATGATCCTAGCTGCTCAGGAGGCAAAGATCAGGAGGATCAAGGTTCAAAGCCAGCCTAGGCAAACAGTTCCTATCTTGAAAAACCCCATCACAAAAAGGGCTAATGGAGTGGTTCAATGTGTAGGTCCTGAGTTCAAGCCCCAGTACCGCAAAAAAAAAAAAAAAATTACCATATGATCCAAAAATTCTGCCCCCCCCCTTTTCTGGGGTTACTGAGGTCTGAACTTGGGGCCTCACGGTTGCTAGGCAGGCTTTCTACCATTCGTGCCACACCCCTAGTCCTTTTATTTTTTTGGTGGGACTGGGGTTGGAACTCAGGTTTTCACACTTGAAAAACAGGCACCCTACTGCTTGAGCCACACCTCCAGTTCATTTTGCTCTAGTTATTTTGGAGATGGGGTCTTGCAAACTATTTGCCCAAGCTAGCCTTGAACCACAATTCTCCCTGTCTCAGCCTCCCAAATAGCAAGAATTACAGACAGGAGCCACTGGCGCCTGGTTTTAGTTTGTTTCTGAGATAGAGTCTTGCAAACTTTGCCCAGACCAGCCTCGGACTACAATCTTCCTATCTACTCCTGCTGAGTAGCTGGGATTACAAGTATGCACCATAATGCCCAGCCCCCCAAAATTCCACTTTTATGTGTACATGCAAACAATTAAAAAAAAAAAAAAGACTCCATACCTGTAAACTAATGTTCGTAACAGTCATTCACAGTACCCAAAAGGTGGACACAATTTGAAACAAATGAGTGGATCAACCAAATGTGGCATATCCATACAATAGCATATGTTCGGTCATAAAAAAGACTGGAATTCTGATACATGCTAGGTGGATGAACCTCAAAGGCATTTTACCAGGCGAAAGAAGCCAGCTGGAAAAGGGCAAGTACTATGTGAATCCACTAGAATGAGGTATCTGGACCGGGCACCCAGGAGAGCAGGCAGGGAGCACTGCTAATGGCCCCACCGTCTGCTCAGATGATATAAAGGTTGTGCACTGCTGAGAATGAGCTGATGCCAGGAAACTACGTATTTAAAAGTGGTTAATTTAAAAGAAGTTTTTTAAGTAACCAGGTGTGGTGACTTTGCCTGTAATCCCAGCACTCAGCAGGCTAAGAAGCCTGGAATACAAATGAGATCCTGTCTTAGAACAAAACTAAATTTAAGTAATTTCCTCCTTAAAGTAATTATGAAGAACCTTTTTGATGACATGTAGGCTGCTCTTGCTCTCCCTGTCTGAACACTGTCCAGTGTCGCCTCCTGACCTGTCCCCTGACTGGGTGGGTGGCCCTCTTCGGTTAATGACTGGCCATCTCCCTCTCTTGAGCAAGAGGCTACAGGGAGCCTGCAGTCTCTGGGCCATATTCCACAGGGAACACCATCACCCCTACTTGCTGTCATCCCCTCGTGGCTTAGGTACTCTCTGGCTGGAACCATGTGCTCTTGCCAGCAAGAAAACTCAGCTTTCAGTGAGGACACAGTCAGCCAGAATGCTGAAGGCCGGGAGGAGAGGGCTGAAGAGACACTCGGACCAGGGGCTGCTTACAGGTCCCCAGTTGGGACTTACACTACAGTACCTGAGGGACCCAGTGGCCTCCAGGCCAGTGCACATCACAGCCAGCAGAGGACTGTGTCCACTGCTGCCTGGTCTCACCTCCCACAGAGTCCAGTTTCTACCAAGATAACCCATCTCGGCACAGGAACTCAGCAGAGCAACTGTCCACTGCCTGTCTTTGGAGGGGAATCCAACTGCCCTCCTATCCCAGCCCTGGTTTGGAGCCACTGCACTGCTGGCTCCACACCTGCTGGGCACCAAGCAATAAAGACGCAGCCTCCAGGTTGTGTCACAGGGGTCAGACCCAGCTCGAAGTCACTGAAGAGATGGAGGGGCTTCCTCATGGTGGCCCCAGGTTGCACGCTGCCTGAGGACAGCCCTCCAGGTAGGGACCACCAGATAGTCTCTTCACCCCCAGCCAGCCATCTACTACACTGAGGCCCAGTCTGAACCAAGCACTCTGGCTTGGTTCTGCGTTCTGATTTTGGTCTTTCTCTGTGCCTCCTCATCTCCTATTTCTCTTTCTATAACAAGTATCAGAAATTAGATGAAAAAAAAGGGAAGCCACATTTATCTCGATCTTTGTGGAGGCTTTTCTTGGTTGCTGGCATAGAGGATACCAGTCTGCTCTTTGGATTTTCTCTGGATGTGAATTTCTTGGGACTGGTGACTGGCAATGCTCAGTCAACAATTAGCTGTGGGGTGTGTGGGTGTTCCTGACACAGAGCTGGGAGGAACTCAAAAGAAAACCAGCCCTCCTTGCTGGACCCCTATGTCTGACCGGAGAGAGAAAACAAATCCCTGAAAAGTGAAGGTCAAAGCAAGGTCACTGAAGCATTCAATAAGGAAGTGGACAATGGCTGCTGCGCCATGGAAATCAGCACAGATTGTAAGCAGTCACCAGGCTGGGTCCCTGGGCCTCAGAAGTGGCATGGCCAAGGGAGCAGAAAGAACAGCTGGGTAGGGGCCCAAGGGGCCACTGGTGTGCACTAGAAGTAGGACTGGCAGAAGAACCACAAAGACGCTCCCTGGAGTGTCCTGTAACAGAAGCTGCCTACTACCTCACAATAACTCTCTAAGATAAGGTCCTGAGCCACCAGAAGGAGGAGGGACAGCAGCCAATGGGAACCCTCCTTCCACAGACTCACCTGCCACCCTCTCCAACCAGCCTCCAGGCTCCCTCAGAGGCCACAAACTAGAGTTGGGAGATTGGGTCAAATAAAGGAAGCGAGCTAAGTGAGTATGGCCAGGAAGTGAGGCCTCCATGTCCTAGCCCCATGGCTCTCATGTGCAGACCCTAAGGCTTACCAGTCCAATGCCACCCCCTAAACCCCATGTGCTTGAACAAGGCAGTACCCTTACTTCTTTTCTGGGTAAGGCTCGAAGGACTCGTCCGAGGACGGTGTGTTTTGCTTCTTTTCGTTCTCATCTTCACTCAGGATGTCTCTAGGAGAGACGAGAGAGCCTTCAGCAAAGCCCTGACCTGGGGCATGTGGTAAACCAAACAGGACCTCCTGTCTGAAAATGCCACACAGATCCCAGAGCCCAGAGCTCCGTCCCACAGCTTCACTTCTGAAAATGTCTCAAGATCTAAAATCCCCAAATCTCCAAGCAATTTCCTAACAGGAAAGACAAGCCAGGGTCACTGGAATCAAACTGAAATCAAACAAGCCATTAGCCAACTTTCCTACAGGCAGGACCCCAACTCAGGAAGGGCTTTTCTGTGAAGCCAGGAAGGTGTGGAGACTGGAGGTGGACCTCTTGGTAGGTGGACACTGAGAAAGTTACTGCTTCACCAGCTATTGTGAGCACTACGTGGTTGAAATGGCTCACATTGAGCCATTTCAAAGTTCACAAAGGCAAGAAAATGATCCATGACCTTCACCCTGAAACACAAATCACTATTTGGCCTCTGTTGGACAGACTGACAGTGCCTCATGGAAGAAGGACCAAAGCTGCTAGCAGCCCAAGGACAGATGTAGTCATACCTGGTCCTCACTAGAGTCACCCCAGAAACTGGGCTGTACCTCCCTGTTGGATGAGGGTGGGTCTACATTTCAGGACGTAAACACCAACCCAGAATGGCTCTCGCCCAGAGCTAACAGACCCTGATGTGCCCCTTCTGGAGAAGTCTGTCCTCTCCCCATCTCTCACGGAGCCTCTACTTAAAGTTCAACATCTCATCCAAAAAGGCCAGAATCTGGCGTCCTCTGTTTTAATGATACTTTAAAGTGGAATTGGCACTTTAAGGAGGAAACACTCAGGCAGCAGCAGCAGATCAAGCTGGGGGCAGGTTAAACAAACAACTCCACACTGATCTGTGCCAGAAGTACACCACTGCTCTCCTGCAGTCGCAGCAGGTCTGGATACTCTGGCACCAGGAAGCCCTGTCCGGAGCCAGACGCTTGGAACTCCCTGGGACACTCCTCTCCTCCCCTCCTCAGAGGAGAAGGGTGAGTGTGCCAACCACAGACAGCAGCCCTAGGGAAGCCGAGTCTGGTTTTCGAAGGAGAAATTTTAGGCTTTTTAAACCCACTCTTCTCTCACCCCTCAGAAAGGTCACTGAACTCGTCTTTTACCCGATCATCCGAGGTTGAAGATGGAACCTGCTTCTCACCCAGTTGCCCTAGGAAACAAAGAACAGGCTCTGGTTACCAATACCAAGCACAGAAAAGGCCTCACCTGCAAGGAGGTGATGCCTCTGTCTGAGGAGTTTTCCCTATGTGGGAACCTGGCATCCTTTACCCTTAATTTTCCCCACTCCCTCTAGGCCAGCCCCATGTCCAAAGGCACAGGTGGCACTATGGATCAGCAAGCCAGACTCCTCCCAAGCTTAGGTCATTGTTCTAGGTGGAGATAACCCACTCTTTATGGTTATAGTGGGATATTCTCAGGATTATTGTTATCAGAATATCTGTACACAGTTTATAAAGCCAAGCATTCTAAAATGCATGTGACACAACTCCACCCCCACCTCAGACTGTGTCATCTGAAGCTGTGTATCATCTCATCTGTGTTCCTCTACCTAGTTGAACCACCTGAGTAACTGTGTTTTTGTAGAGCCCCACTGTGGATTTGCAAGTAAGAGCCAGTTAAGCACTCACAGGCAGACAGGTGCACTAGCACATGAAGAGCAGAGGCTGGCACTGGGCCTCCTAACATGGCACCCAACAAGCAGCTGCACCCAACTCATAGCACATGGGTGGGGTCCAGGCCCACAGAGGGGCCCTGTTTGCCCTCAGTCAGCAGGAGAGGCTGCCACACTGGCCACCACCCCCATGTCCCACAGACAAGAGTCCCATTCTTTTCTCTCCCTCCATCCCCTCAGCCCACAAGAACAGCCAGTGCCTTCTGCCTGAGCATGGGCTCAGAGGAAGACTAGACACCAGATGAACATGCCTTTAAAAAACTGCTGATGCAGGTGCCTGTTCATTAAGGAACTTGCTGGTGGTGTCTCCCTACACGCAGGTGTTGAGGGTAGCTGCAGCTCCTGGGGAAGTACTTCTGCTGGTTCCCCGTCTTCTCCCTCTAGCTCCCTCTATTCACCACACCATGACAAACACCCAGCTGGTGCAGACACCTGCTTTCTGCTGAAGACACCACCCAGATATAGAATCTGGTTCTACAATAGGCCTAAGGTGCCTCCTACCTGGAGCCTCACTGGGGGCCAGGCTTGGCTGAGGTGGAGGGCCTGGCCCAGGTCCCACAGAGTTGCCATCTGAAGGTGGTGGGGCCACATCTGTGCTGGGCAGAGTCTTGGTCTCAGCCCCGACTGTGGTCCCTCTGCCCTGGCAGAGCTCAGGGGCAGCCCCAGTGGGGTTGGACTCCGGGTTCTGGTCCAGGGGTGGTGCTGTCTCCTTGTCCCACGCCCACTTGACTGCCAAGGTGCTGTCCAGCAAGAGGGCTCTGCAGCTGGAGCCAGTGTCCATGGTGTAGTCATGGCCCTGATCGCAGCCCCACACAGCTTGGATGATGCCACAATACTCGGAGGACAGTGTCCTCTGGAGGCTGGGCAGGGCCCCGCAGCTGGCCGCGTGTCCGTGTACCCACCCCACCAAGCCATGCAGGCAGCGGGGGCTCGAGGTGATCAGATCCACTAAGGAGAGTCAACAGAGATGTCAGCCCCATGGCTGGCCAGCACCCAGCCCAGCTTTACAGAGCCCACCCTGGCACCAGGGGCGGACTCACCCAGACAAGCTCCCTCCTCCGCCACTGTTGGGGGCTGAACACCAACCCTACAAAGCATCAGTATGGCCATAAGCAAGACAAGGAGCCCAGGGCCCACAGGGCTCCTCAGTTAGGAGCCTCCAAGGTCTCAAACTTCCCCAGCTGTCTCTTTGTGGGAACCCTCTGTAGGTTCCTGTCCCTTCTCTCCATCCACCCCTCCACAGAAGATCCCACCACTGTACTCCCTGCTCTATAACAGCACCCAGCACAGGCTGCTGAACCCCTGAACATCCCAGTGATCGAACAGAGCCTACTTCGCACAAGGGTTCCGCTGGCTGGTCGGTGACACATTGACTCTCTGCAAGAAGGACCTGAGGAGACTGTGGCACTGGTAGAACTGGGCGTGGCAGTTCTTGCAGACAAACTGAGGCAGGGCTGGGTCCTGGTGCACAGCCACACCCAGCAGGCTTTGGAAGTCCCTGATGAAGACACGATCCCCAGGGGATGGTCTTTCTGAGTTCTCTCCAGGTGCCCTGCCAGAGATGCTTCTGAGGCTTCTCGAGGAAAACTTCCCGTGGCACAGGCGACAGTGCCCCATGGCAAGAGCCCGGCCTGCTCCTGGGCAAAGCAGCAGATGTGAGAGTCAGAAAGCAAGACTAACTGGTGGCAAGCCCTGAGGCAGCTGCAGACTGAGACCCACACTCCCCTCTGGCCTTCCAGAATGTGGGTGGAGAAGTGCCCACCCGGGTCCTCCCCAGTGCACTAGCAGCCAGGCTCAGGAGCTGGGCCTCACTGAATGGTCAGCTTTTTCTAGAAGGCCACTGGTCAATAAATCTTTCAAATAACTTTTTTCCCCAAGGTTCTCACAAGTCCAGGCTGGCCTTGAACTCTTGATCCTCCTGCCTCAGCCTCCTGAGTGCTGGGATTACAGAGATGCACCACCACGCCTGGCTCCTTTCAAAAAATTCTAAATGCCTTCACCAAGACAGAACTTTATTTCTGCTCACATCATCCTGGTGAGAGCAAAAATGAAGGAGTTGTGCCCATGTTGTGCCCTCAAGGAAATGACTTACTGTCCATCCCTGGGTGTCCTGTCTGCCGAATGTAGATGATGCCACCTCATGGCCTGCCCCAGGGGGACTAAAGGAGAATGTGTGTGGAAAGGTGTTCTCAAATGGGCAAAAAGCTCGACACAAATGCAAAACTGCACAGCTGCCATTACCCTACCCAGCTCACGCACCAACCACCAGTCAGGCGGGACCAATCGGTTCACACAATTAACTCAGTTCTCACACTTTCTGGTCTTTTAATCAGCTGTCCAGAGAAGTTAAACAAATAACTCAGGATACACAGCACAAAGAACGAGTAGGACTAAATCCACAGCTGCCCGACTTCAGATTGAGCACTGGCACGAAAGGGTCGGCTACCTTGCCAAAGGTCACTGCAGCAGAAGTCCGAGCCCTTCCCAACTGGGAGGCCTGGTCTGCTGTCTGAATCGCCAAGCTACGCCGGGACCGCCCGCCCCCCGCCACCGCTACCGCTGCGACCCTGACCCGACGTTCGCGCCGGGCCTCGGGACCGGCCGGACCCACCTGCCTCGTCTGCGCCGTCCTCGCCCGCGTTCCCGCACGCCCGCGCCGCGGCCACGAAGGCCGCCGCCCGGTCCACGCTTGGCCCGCTGCTGCGGGAGGGGCGGCCCCGAGCCCGGCCGCTGCCACAGCCGCCGCCCGAGCCCCCGCGCTGCCCGGCCGCCCCAGGCGACAGGAAGCGGCCGAGTCGGTCCCGCTTCATGGTGGTGGCCGCCACTTGAGCTCGACCCAGTGCTGTTTGGTGAGGCTCGCTGGGCTCCACTCGGGTAGACTTGACTGCTCCACTCAGCTCTGCTCGGCCCGGCCCTACTCTGCTCTCCCAGTTCCGCTCGGCCCCGCGCGACTCTACTCGGCTTGGCTCGGCTCTGCTCGGCTCCGCTCGGCTTCACTCGGTCCCGCCTCTCGGCTCCGTTGGTCCCAGCCTCTCTGAGCCCGGCGAAGGGAGGAGTGCAGCGAAGTGAGGAGCGGCGGACCGAAGCCTGCTTCCGATGCCTGCGAGAGCGACAGTGCCCGCTGAGTGCTGTGCCAAGTTTCTGGCGGACGAGGGTCGCTTAGAACTCGCGACAAGCCTGCGAGGGAAGGGCGGTCGGGAGGGCAAACGGCCCCAGACAGAGAGGCGCCGGTGGCTGCCCTTAAATGCTCATGGCAACTATGCGAGGAGGTTCTTTCCACCAATCTCCTTGTCCAGATGGAGACAGGACCCGCCCCCAGCAGCTGACTGGATCTGTCCGGCCCTTCTACTCACTGGCCGCGGTCTGCGCGGCGCGCGGTTGGGGCGGCGGGGCGCCTAGGGGGGGTGAGGGGGGCGCCGGAAGTACTCTAGTTCCCTTCCGTTGTTCCTCTGCTCCGGCGGCTCCCTCAACAGCTCACGCGGCGTTCCGAGGGGCATCGTTCCGAGGGGCCCCGCCCCTCGCCGCTGCCTCCTCCCGCGCCCGGCGCCATGGCAGCTGCGGCCGGAGACGGGGCTGCGAGGCCGCTTCAGAGCGCCATGAAGATGGCCAACTTGGCCATCGAGCTGGACACCGGCAACCGGCCCCGGGTAAGGCGGGGCGGAGAGGGACTCGGCCCCGCGGTGGCGGTGGAGAGGGTGGGCGGCTCGCAGGGGTCGCGCTTTGGCGGCGCGCCGGCAGCATCGGGGCCCGCCCGGCGGCTCCAGGGCGGTCGGTGTCCGGCGCAGGGGCGGGTGCCAGGCGCTGCAGTGACCTCGGAGAGTTCACAGTCCTCTCCTGGCCTCAGTTTTACCGTGCATTTAATGAGTCAATGAATTAGAGCCGACGTGCTGTTTATAAAGGGGATTCGGGGCCCGTGACGCAGCCCTCCAAGGTGTGTATGGCAGCGGATTCCATGTGGACGTGGGTTTTTTGGGGCAGAGACTCGGTTTGATCAGGGAACTAATCCAGAAAAGGCTGATTGCGGGCTTGTTCGTAATGCGGCTGTTTGTAGTCGCCTTCAGAAGTGGTTTGGGAGAGGCGTGAGCTGTCACTGGAGTGAGCACCTGAGTCTAAGGATGGCGGCCAGGTAGAAAAGCTGGCCTAGCTACCCTGGGCTCCCCAAGAAGAGGAGGAGTCTGCCTGTGCCTAGGAAAATCATCCTAGTTCCCCAAGTTGGCTTTCTATGGCAGTGCCAGGAAGCCTGCCAGAAATGTTTTATCCTTAGGTTTGAGATGCAGACTTAATTAAAGATGGGTAATTTGACAACTGGAATAAAACAAAACACACATATCATGCCATGGTTCCTGATGCCCTGAGCTCTGTCACAAGAGAGCCCTGGACAGAGCAGTGGCTCCCATGAAATGTCCACCTTCTGGGCTCCTGTGTGCACACACAAAAAAAAACTTACTCTGGGGCTAGCAGAAAGGGATTTCCTAGGCCCTAAGCCAGAAAGTGAAGCTGAGGTTTGCAACCTCACCTCCTTCTTAGCCTCTTGGGAAATATTTTTCTTCTGCCGTGGAATCAATGGTCTTTGAGTTGCACAGGAAGGAAACTTGTCGTACAAAATGAAGAATGACACTGCTGCTGGGGCTGCTTCCCAGGCTACCTGAATGAAGGTCAGTTCCTTCCTGTGCTGGAGGAAAAACAATGAGAGGAGGGATCCATCCAACTAGCTCCCAGCTCCACTGCCCAGTGCAGAAGTTGTAGGAAGAAGTTACTGTCTCCGCCTCAGGCAGAACACCACTGAACATAGGGAGTTCTCTGCTAAACAGCTAACCATTGCAGTGTAGCAATCTCAGAAACAGCAGACACTGCTGCTCCTGTGTTTCCCACAGGGGCACCAGGCCAGCACAGTGCAGTCACTCCCCCCTCTACTGGCCTGACTCCTGCCATTTTCTTCCCTGGACACAGGAGGCGTACACAGAGTACCTGAGAAGCATCCACTACATCTCCCAGGTGTTACTGGAGGAAGTGGAGACAACTGGAGGTGGGCTCTCCAGCTTGCCACCTCTCATGAGTGCCAAATTGTGGGCTGCTTAGTCCTTGATGGGACCCAGGTCTGGGGGTCTTCTATGACTTTACAACCTGGTCATTAACAGAAGGTGGACAATAAGTATGACCTATCATAGCGTGACATGGTATTGAGGGACAGTGGTGTGGGTAAGGGGATGGATACTGGGGTGGAGCAGGGAAGAGTGGGACCATTCCCAGCAGGGGGATGTGCAAAGGCCCTGAGAAGGAAATGGGCATGGCAAGACTGTATGAGCCTTGGCTAGAATTGGAGTTGTTTAGGTGTGAAGAGAAGCTTGTGCATGCTTCAAGCTTTTTGGGAGAATCCAGCATGGGAGGAGAGGCATGAGGAGGCTCTGCAGTGAGGACAGCAGGGCTTGAACCACCCTCAGGCAAAGAGAAGTGGAGGACTTGGGGTGGAACTGACCAGACTTGCTGAGGGTTTGATGGTGAGCTGCTAGGGCAGAAGGTGCTCAGAGTGGATGATAGGCAGGAGCAGATTACGAGGGAAAGAATAGAGAATTCCATAGTGAACACATTAAGTCTAAGGGGCAAGCAGTCCACTGGACATAGCACAGTCAGGGAAAGCTAGCAGGGAGCAAATGATCTCAGCTGAGCTCTGGCACTCCAAGATTGAGGCATTGGGAAGAGGAACTGATAGGAAGACCACAGGGAAGGTGACATCCCAGTGCACAGAGAAACCTCTTTAGCAGGGTAAGGACAGTTTTAGGGAGAGTTGGGGGGCTGAAACATTATAGAATGAGGGTAAAGTGGGTCTTAAGGGGATCTGCTGTAAGGGGAGCAGGACAGTGGGGTCAGGAGCTGGAGCTGGTGGGGCCCAGGGCAGAGGGTGTATCTGCTGATAGAAGCAGTCCCACGGAGGGAAGGGATAGCACAGGTGCCTCTGGATGGGGTACTTGCCTGCTACACCTTCAGAGAGGCAGGTCTTTGACATAAGCAGCAGGCAGATGGTGGGGCCAAGAGAGTCCCACAGTATACCCTTGTCTCTATACAGTGGTGGTGGAGGCTGCATGGCCATCTCCAGAGGAGTTGCAGTTGTAGATGGGCACTGTGAGGAGCTCAGGCCCCTGACGCTCAGGCCCCAATGAGGTGCAATGGTCAGTCTGTTGCTGAGCTGGCCAAGCACAGGCATGCACATGGTCCTGAGCCCAGAGCTAGTAAGCAGAGATGAGTAAAGGGTGGGCTTGCCTAGCGTTTCCACTTCTTTGTTCTTACCTCAGCAAGTATCTGATTCCTGGCAGAACTGACTGTAACCAGCCTTCTCGTCCCTTCCCCAGAAGCTGGGGAAACTGTTCCGCCTGACACCTCAAAGATGCTGAAGCTGGCTGAGCAGTGTCTGGAGCGGGCCCAGTCAACAGCTGCCAAGCTTGGTGGGTGCCCAAAGAAGGGAGCTGTCCCTGGCACTCCCAGCCAGCATCTGCTCTGTGGGACGGGGCTAAGTCTTCTGACCCCTGGCTGCACATGGCTTGCAGGGAAGACACATGTGAAACCAGCTACACCTATGGCTCCTCCAGCCCCCTTGCCCGCCAGCCGACACCGCCGAGTGTGTTCAGATGAAGGAGGGAAGCTCTCTCCTTTCCTGCCTCCTGAGATCTTCCAGAAGCTGCAGGTGGCAGAGTCACAAAGCTCTAAGAAGTAAGATGGGCAAGGTGGGAGGTGCGCTGAGCTTGGGTTTGGGTCTAGAGGTCAAGTAGAGTGAGCGCCCCATGGGTAACTTGGTTACAGTGGACTCCAGGGTAGAAATACCCTTTCTCCTGGCAGAAGCAGATACAAATCCTCTGAGGAAGAAAGCACCTTCATCATCCATTGAATTAGTGGCACACAGTCAAAGATAGCCAAGCAGAAAAAGAAACAAGTGATAAGAGAATGATAGTGGAAACAGACCTGCAAAGTTTCCAGGTAGTTATCCGGCACAGATTAAACAGCTCTGTGTTCAGAGATACAAAACAAAAGTTTGAAAACACCTGAAAAAAAAATTATAAAGTCAGACCCAGCAAATAAGGAGCCAAGTAGAAACAAAACAAAACAGAACATGCTTAGGCTGCCAAACCTGCCTAGCAAGCATGAGGCCCTGAGTTCAAACCTCAGTACCCCCCCACACACACACAACATGCTTCAGTTTATTTTTTGGGCAGTACTGGGGGTCAAATCCAGGGTCTTAGTGCATGTTAGGCAAGTGCTGTACCACTGAGCCACATTGCCAGCCCTCAAGTTCTTTTTTTCTTTTCTTTTCTTTTTTTTTTTTTTGTGGTACTGGAGTTTGAACTCAGCACCTACACCTTGAGCCTCTCCACCAGCCCTTTTTTGTGATGGGTTTTTTTGAGATAGCGTATCACGAACTGTTTGTCTGGGGTTATGTTCAAACTGTGTTCTTCCTGATATCTGGCTCTCAAGTAGCTAGGATTACAGATGTGAGCCACCAGTACCTGGCTCCCTCAAGTTATTTTTAAAACTAGGTAAAGCTGGGTGCTGGTGGCTCACGCCTATAAGCCTAGCTACTCAGGAGACAGAGATCAAGAGGATTGTGGTTTGAAACCAGCCCAGGCCAAAAAAAAAGGGGAGGGTGAGGTTGGAGTGGCTCAAGTGGTAGAACGCCTGCCTGCAAGCATGAGGCACTGAGTTCAAACCCTACTATCACCAAGACAACAACAACAACTAGGTGAGAACAAAAACTAATTGTATTTTCTAGTGGAAGTCCACACATACAGCAGAAAATAAGTAGGCCAGGTGTGTTACAATCTGTAATCCCAGCACTGGGGAGGCTGAGACAGGAGGATTGTGAATTTGAGGCCCACCTGAACTACTAGAGTCTGTCTGAGAGAGGGAGAGAGAGAGAGACAGAGCAGAGTAGATAAGTTTATAACAACAGACTAGACATCACTGAAGAAAGAATTTACCAGTAAATTGGCAAAAGGGGACAGGTAAAGCCAGCTACCAGAGGCTCACACCTGTAATCCTAGCTACCTAGGAGGTAAAGATCAGGAGGATCGCAGTTCAAAGTGAACCCGGGCAAATAGTTCCATGAAACCCTATCTTGAAAAACCCTTCACAAAAATAGGGCTGGTGAATGGCTCAAGGTGAAGGCCCTGAATTCAAGCCCCAGTACTGAAAAAAAAAAAGGGCGGGGGAAGAGGTAGAATGCCTACATATGTTTCTTGGTGTATTAGAAAGAGAGAAAGGCATTATTTGAAAACATAATAGCAGACAGTTTTCCAGAACTAATGAAAAGGTACCAAGACACAGATGCAAGAAGCCCAAAGAACCCTGAGTGGATAAATGAAGGCCCTCCTCCTGCCCCACCACTCACGCCCTCGTGGCCCCCAGACACCTCAAGGCTGAGCACAGACTTCAGATTCAGGATGGACTCTCCCTCCTTAGTCTTGCTTCTTCACACCCCATCTTCTCTACCACCTCTGAAAGCAGAGAGATGTGTGGCATGCAGCACCCTGCCAAGTTGACACATTTCTCCCTTTTGCAGGTCGCAAATGAATTTCACCATTTGGCCCATGTACAGTTCCATGTTGCTGCCACAGATATATAACTGATTTTCATAGAAGTCCAGTGTCTAACTTCTCTTGAGTCAAAAGTCCCGAAAATACCAAGACCCATGTTTCAGCAGCAGATTAGAAGGGGAGGTACCTCTAGTCCACCCCAGATGATTCCTCTGCATTTCCTTCCTGTGCTGTCACCACCTTCTGTTCCCAGAGTGAGGTCAGGAAGGGTGTGAGGAGGGCTGTTTAGGTCACCAGGGCACTCCTGGTCTTCCTGAGTCTGAACAGTAACTTGTCCCTATTCAGGGAGCTGACACCACTAGAGGAAGCCTCCCTGCAAAACCAAAAGTTAAAGGCCACATATGAGGCCCGGATGGCCCGTCTTGACCCCAGCCAGGCCATGCAGAAGACATCACTGGTGAGTGGAGTGCAGGAAGGCTGGGGTTGGACAGGAAAGGGTCCAGAGGTAGTGAGGAATGGGGCCCGGAAATGCTGGGGTTGGTCAGGGAAGGGTCCAGGGGTAGGACATCACTGGTGAGTGGGCTCACTCCCTCTTCCCCTCTTAGACCCTGTCTCTACAGCGGCAGATGATGGAGAATCTGGTGATTGCCAAAGCCCGGGAGGAGACTGCATCCTTGAGGGGAGATCAGAGTGGGATCTGGAAGTGGGAGTGGAGAAGGGAGCTGAGGGTAGAGGAGGAGCCAGATCCCAGGCCCTCAGGTGATGCTCTTGCCCTCTACACAAGCTGCCTTCCACCCTCCCCAGCGGCAAGCAGCTGTTCTCTATCCTTCAAGTCAGCGGAAATGTGCTTCTCCCAGTCACCTTCCCTGGGAATAGCCTTTCCCTGAGTTGCTGCCTGCCCTCCTGGCCTTGCTCACTGCTAGGCTGCACCTCTGGAGAGCAGAGGCAGCTTCACTGCCTGCTGGACTCCTGGGACATCTCAGGTACCAGGAGAGCATGGAGCACATAGGAATGGGGAAGGGTGAAGGTCCACTCAGGTCAGACACTGCCAGCCCTTGACTCTGCTGCCCCAGCTCCAGCGGAAGATGGAGGAGCGCCGTCTGCGTCTCCAGGAGGCTGCCAACAGGTGCCTCTCCCTCCCTGCCTCACAGGCAGTGGTGGGAGGCCTGCTGGGGCTCCCTGTGCTCACAGGTCTTGGCCTGTCTGGGGCCCCAGCCTGTCTGTCTTCCTCCCAGGCGGTTCTGCAGTCAGGTTGCTCTGACCCCGGAGGAGCGGGAACAGCGGGCCCTCTATGCAGCTGTTCTCGAGTATGAGCAAGACCATGTGAGTCCTGCACCCAGGTCACCTGAGCCTGCAGGAGTTAGGTCCTCCCCACACCCTGTGGCAGGCCCCAGCACAACCCTGCTGGGGGTGAGGGCATCCATGGTGGGGGACCCTCTGTGCTTTCCTCCAAGGCCCCTTGTCCTACAGGACTGGCCGAAGCACTGGAGGTCCAAGCTCAAGAGGAACCCAGGGGACTTGTCGCTGGTGACCAGCCTGGTCTCCCACCTGCTCAGGTACTCCTGGGCCCCACAGACCCAGTCCCCCAGAATTGGGCTCCTCCCCCTTGGATGCTGGGTGATATTAAATAGAGAAGTTAGAAAGGAAATTAAATAGGAAGGCTGGGGAGGCAGCTGTCAGGGACAGCAGATCATGGGGCAAGGGGCTCCCACAGAGGGGCTAGTGGTGCTGATGTCCAGTTGGTGGCTTCAAGAGCCCTTTGGACAATGGCTTTTCATTGCCTTCCTTTAGCCTCCCCAGTTGAGGCAGGTCACACTTTGTGATATTCACCAACAGGAAACAATATATGAGTCATTTTCTCTGAAATCTTTAATATTATGGTAACTTTGTAGACAAGGGCGTAGGCTCAGGTGGCTGAGGTCGGTGACAGGGGCTGGGATCATGTTTCTCAGCCCTGAGGCTGGCAGGCAGATTGCAGTCCTGTCCAGATCTAGTGGAGGCCCCTGTTCTGCGTGTTCTATGCTGGGGGTAGAGGACAGTGGGTGGGCAATGGTGCATCGCCCCTGTACAGCCTCTTTAGGGTCCTGCTGCATGTTGCCCCCACCCTGCTCCTCTCCTTGCAGTCTTCCTGACCACCCGATCTCGCAGCTCCTGAAGAAACTCCAGTGTGCAGTATACACTGCACTGTACCCCATTGTGAGCCAGGCTGCTGTCAGTGCTGTCTCTGCTGCAGGGTGCTGCTCCCTACCCCCAGATGCGGACAGGCTCCTGGCTCCTGGGAGCCGGCGGCTCCGGTCCTCCCAGAGTCTCTATTGCATGCTTTCCCCACCAGAGCCCAGCACAGCCCCAAGGTCCCAGGATGGACCCCCTGCCACACCCTCCACACCCCCACTCCACCCCAGCCTCCTGGATAAAGGTGCAGACAGCAGCCCAGCTGGGCCTCCCTCACCCCTGGTGGATGCCTCATCCCGCCTGCCAGACAAGGACAGCTCTTTTGAGGACCTGGAACAGTTTTTGGCAACATCTGAGAGGTGGGGCCGGGGCCCTGGGGGACATCCTGAGCCACAGACCCCAGGAGCAAAGAGGGAACCCTTGCTGGAGCATCTGAAGAGCACAGTGAAGGACATACATAATGCCATTGGTGAGCTTCAGGCATTAGTGCAAGAGCTCTCACTGAGTCCATCAGCCAGCAAGTGCAGCTTGCTAAGGGCCCTTCTCTGAACAGCAGAGCCCTGTGTCCCCCTCTATGAGGCCAAGCACTCAGTCTAGCAAAGCATCCCCTGACCTGCCCCAGTCCCCCGGGAGAGCAGACGGGTATGGGCAGGTTGGGGCTAGTGGAAGGACCAGGTAGAATCCCCTCCCCACCCAGCTGGGACATTGCTTATAGCTCAGCCACACAGAGGCTGGCTCTGGGCTTAGAGCCTCTTGAGGCAGTGGCAGGTGAGGGGCCCTTCTGGACATCCCCAGCTCTGCTCCTGGCAGATAGGCTGCTCTCGCTGACCCTTCTGGCCTTCGAAAGCCTGAACACAGCCGCTTCCAAGGACCGCTGCCTGGCTTGTATTGAGGAGTCCTTCTTCACTCCACTGTGGCCCCTGCTGCTGGCTCTCTACAGGTATAGCCTTCAGCCTTGCTGACCATCCCACCACCTGATATCTCTAGCCCCAGTCCCCTAAGGGCCTGTCTCCAACACTTGAGTACCATCTGCTCTCTTCCTGAGCTCTGAGGCCATCTTCAGGTGTTTCTAGTTTGAAAGTGGGTCTGTGCCCATCTCCCATGACTAGAATATTGGTTTCTTTGCTCAGGTGCATGGCCAGCTCTCCCCAGGACTGAGCTCCAGGGACTCCTAGCCACATCCCTATCTGTCTCTGGGCAATGTCCCTGGTGTGGCTAAGCCTGGTCTCTCTCTGCCCCAGGAGTGTGCACCACACCCGAGAGGCTGCCCTAAGCAGGAGCATGGAGCTCTACAGGAATGCACCTCCCACAGCCCTTGGCATCCCCACCAAGCTCCTTCCCCGAGACCCTGAGGCCAAGGGAGCCACCATGTACCCTTACTCCACCGCAGCCCAGGAGCTGGGGCTGCTGGTCCTGGAGAGCTGCCCCCAGAAGAAGCTGGAGTGCATCGGTGCGGAAAGTTTGAGAGGCGGGAAGCAGGGACATGGTCAGACAAAGCAGACTCCCATCCCAGCTGGTGACCTGGAACCTGTACCTTCTAGGTTACAGGTCCTTCTCTGGTCAGATATGGAGGCAATACTCCCAGGAGGGATGGTACCAGCATTCCCAGCTCTGCACGTCAGGAGGAGGGTGGGCAGTGCCAGGAAGGGTTCAGAGCTGTCCAGGTCCCTGGGGGAGCAGCAGCATGGGCTCCCCACACACTGGGACCATGTCCCTTCTTGCTGGGTCTTCCTGTTGCCTCCCTCAGTTCTGTGCCCTGAAGCTGCGTTTCTGTGCTACAGCACGGGCCCTGCGGGTCATCTGCATCTGTGCAGAAGACTATTGCCATGCCCAAGAGGCCAGGCCCGAGGCCAGACCCCAGCTCCTCACGGCTGCCATGTGAGTCCCAGGATGGTGGGGTGGGGACACTGCCAGGGAGGGCACTAGCCTGTATCCTGCCCTCAGAGGCCTGAGTAGAGCTTTCCTATCATGCCCTATGCCTCCCCAGGAGGACTCCAGTGGCCCTGGGTCTCTGTGAGAGTGTCCAGAGCTTATCATCTCAGAGCACAATCCATTCCTACTGAGGACCTTGGGTCAAAAAAGAGCAGAAGCAGGACTCTTATCCCAACAACCTCATTCTAGCCCATCGGGCAGGGCCGCTGCTACAGGGCTTCTGGCTGAGCCTAGGCTTCTTAGGGATCAGGAGCCCCTAGCTAATCTGGTAAAACCGAAGGCTGCTCTTCCCAGAAGCACCTAGAGGTAGCTGGAGAGGTGCAGACTTGAAGCCCTCAAGGGCCCTGGGGAAGGGCCCACTCCCTGTGCTGACCTCCCAGAATGGGTGTCTTGGTATACCTCAAGTTAGGGCTAGTTCTCCCCACCAGAGTCCTGCTGCCTAGGACTTTAGGATGCCTGATCCTACCTCAAGCTCTCCTAGATTCAGCCTGAGCCCCTGAATGAGCTCTGCCTCCTACTACCCTGCTCCAGGGCCAGCCCTGAGGCTGTCATTGCAGGTAGAGGGGCTGTAACCCTGCCTTGGATCTCTACAAGTAGAAGTCAGAACCCAGTGTGAATCAGCAGTGAGGAGCTCCATCCAAGGGAAAAAGAAATGCTTCCTGCCCACTTTAGGGTCAGGTTGCTGGTCCCATCACTGCAGGGTCTGGTAGGAAGGAGCCCACCAAGCTGGCCTGGCTCCCCTTGGCTCCTTCACCATTTTATAAGAGCTCCCAGCTAAGTGTTTGCAGGGCTCAGCCTTGCCTATGTCAGCCCCATCTATGGATCCTGTCCATAGGGGCCATCATGTCCTACAGATGGCAGGACCTCAAGTAGATATGGCAGTGGCTGGCCTGTAGGGAAGGGGTCAAACACCTCTAAGCCACAGGATCAGAGTCCAACTACCTCCTTGTTACTTGCCCCTCACACTTCCCAGAAGTTGCTGGGTTCTGAGTGCCCACAGGATCTCACATATGCCCTCGCTAGTGCACTTACACCCCTCCTGAGTGGGTCTAGGGGTCCAGTGCAAAGACAACTGACTGTGATCTCAGCCTCCTGCTCCTGCACTCCTGAAAGTCTGTGAGGTTGCAGTCAACTGGAGAAGCATAAGGGGCAGCAACATATCCAGCGCCCAGCTCTGCCGTGTAGGGGTTCCCATTTAGGGACAGCATCACCTTGACCAGGAGGTCTCCTGGTATAGCTGGTGGGTGGGAGGGTGCAGGATTGCAGCCAGGCAGGCTAAGACCGCTCCAAAGGAGCAGAACAAGTGGCACTTCTGGCCTAGGCCCACCAGTCACTGTGCCTTTGCCCAGCAGTGGTGCTGATGACCTGCTGCCCATCCTGTCCTTTGTGGTGCTGAGGAGTGGCCTTCCCCAGCTGGTGTCGGAGTGTGCAGCCCTGGAGGAATTCACTCACGAGGGGTAGGATCCCCAGGCCAGTGGGGTCTGGAGGAGCTGGGCATGTACACCCCAGGACGACTAGTGTCTGTGGGAAAAACTGGGAACAGGGCATCTGTGTCCACCAGAAGACCCTACCCCAGACCTAAACTGTGCAGTGACATGCTGTGAGGGCCAAGGCAACCCTCTGGGGTTCACCTGAGCATGGGGCACTCAAACCAGTATATCCCTCCCACAGCCCCTTGCTCAGTACCCTAGACAAGAGCTGAAGGGCTGTCCTCTGCGCATCTGCCTGAGGAAAGGCAGTAGGTGGTCCTGGAACATTCCCTGGCTTTGCCATCCAAGGATGAAGACAGCTAGTGGGGATACCCCTTCCAAGCGTCCCTGAAAGCCCCAGCTGTGGCCTCATCCTATCCTAGAAGAGCAAATGCTGTCTTCCAGAGTGCTGGGGAAGACCTCTAGTCCCTCCAAGTGACATATGCCCCGTGCCCACCTCCATGCAGGTACCTGATTGGAGAGGAGGGCTACTGTCTGACATCACTACAGAGTGCTCTGAGCTACGTGGAGCTGTTGCCCTGGGGGGCCCTGGGCAGGTAGTGGAGGCCAGACCCCAGAGACTAAAGGAGCCACAAGAGACATTAAGGACTCTCCAATAGCCTCCATGCTGCCCTACACACCTCGCACTAGGGCAGTAGGAGGGTGATAAGCTGTGGGGAACCTTCAGCTCTTGCCCCTTTCCTTACTCCAGAGACCTGGGGCAGCGCTAGCTGCTGTTCTGACAGGATGGGACTGAATCAGCTCTCTGTACCAGGCCCTGCTGTTCGGCCTCTGAAAGACCCCATAAAAGGAAACTAACTTGCTCCCTGGGGCTTGCACACCCTTGAGGAGCCTCCAGCAGTGGATGCAGCTCAGCAATAAGCTTGACTGGCCAGGCCTACTCTCATAGACATGGATGACCCGTGTCAGGGGATCAGCACAGAGAAGGTTGCTGGGACCCTGACCAAAGGCAGAGGCAGCAGTCTGGTTTTGGTCCCCTCTGGTCCTTTAGGACAATCAAAGTTGGTCTCAGTCAGTTTCTTGTCAGAGTCAAGAATGAGAGCCTGCCCCCTACTCCAGAGACCTGAGCATAGGTGGCATGAAGCTGTGCTGTGTATTTATTGGAAAGTGACTTGGAGCTGCACTCCCTCGCTGGCCCACTTTGCCACCTTGGCAGTGGGCAGTGACCCATGGTTGTACAGACTTCCCCCATGTCAGTGCCAGCCCAAGGGTCAGCACCTGACTGTTATATGCCTGGTGTGCCACAAGCCTGGCAGAAAATAAAGAGGTCACTGTCTGAATTGTGTGGTTCGCTCAGTCCCAGGCAAGAACCTGGGTGCTGGTGCCAGGGCACAGCCACCCACCAAAACCACAGAGGACACGTGCAGAGTTGCCAAGGCACCCACAAGCCCTCTGCATGGAGCAGCATCCTCCAAGGGCTGTTCCTGGCAGGTAGGTGTGGGCTTTAGCCTCTAAAAGCACAGCTCTGTCGGGCATCATTGGGAGGCCAGGGCTAGTAGTCACCATAGTGGCCCTGATCCCAAAGCACTAAAGGCCTCTTGGGAATCACTGCACACCTGAACACAGGAGTGCTGAGACAGCCGCGCTTCCACACACAGATACACACAGATACTGTACACAGGAGTGCTGCAAAGGCCTTGCTTCCACACACAAATGCTCCGTAATGGCTGTGTGTCCCACACCTAGACACAGGAGTGCTCATAATGACCATGCTTCCGTGTGTGAGGATACACACTGGTACTCATGATAGTAGTGGTGGCAGCATCTGCTGGGAAGGCCTGCACAAAGCAGGGAATCAGACTGGGAACTTGGGAGGGTCCCAACCCCAGATTCCACCAACAGCTGGCAGTGGAGAGGTGCTGAGGATCCTTGGGAAAAGGATCTTCCAAAGCTGATAAAAATTTTTTGACAGTACTCTGTGTGCCAAGTCTTCTGCAGGTAGTAACATGCTAACCCCCCAAAAGGAAACGTGACGTATCTCTGCAGGTGGTGGTGGAGTTGCTCTGAGCCTGCTAGGCTGGTTCCAGAGGCCAGCCTGCAAATAGCCAAGTGGCTGGGACTTGGGCAGGTAATCTGAATCCTTGAGACTCCCTGGCAGGAGCCTCCAGGGATAGGAATGGGCCAGAAACTCCCAGCAGTTCCCAGCCCACAAGCCCCTCACCCAGCACCAGGAACATACAGGCTGGTATCACTTGCCTACTGCTGGAAAAGCACAAAATTCACCCCCCTAGCTGGCTTTGGCTCCTGGTGCTCTGCTGACTCAAGAGTTCATCACCAGTCAATGGTTCATGATCCCATGAAATACAGAGTCCTCAGTCCCCAGGCCTAGATGTGAGTACTAGCTCCCCAGGGAACCTTTGAGGTGTTGATGCCCTGGCCATAGGTAGCTCTGACATGAAAAAGTTGATTTTAAAGTCCCACTTTTATACAACAGTGCAGGTGGGGTGTGTGTTAAGTGAGTCCTGGTGTTAGGAGCACCTGCTGGCCTCAAATCAGGGCCACTAAGTCCTGGGAAGTGGGACTGTAACTGCTTAGCTGGCTTCTTGGCCCTGAGATGAGGCAAGCTTGATTTGGGTGCTTTTTTAAAAAAAAAAAGTATAATTATACTTTAGTCATTTTTGTTTACAACTGAAACTCTGTGAATTCAAAATTAATATCCTTGCCTGTGAGCTTGCAGACACCAGAAAAAGCTTCAAGCTTGTGTTTTGCATTGTTCTGCTGTACCATGTCCAAATGAACCTTTCTGAGCTGGCTGCCATCCAGTTTCTCTCAGATCCTGCTGCTCACAGTTTCACTTGGGAAGAAAACTTTTCCAGAATCACTTTCTGCACAGCTGTCAGTAAAGCTTCTGGGACACTTTTGCTTATTTTTCATACAGCTTTTTCAAGTTGGCTTAGGCCAACTGAGCAATAAAGTCCACAGGCTTCCCTCTGAATTTTTTCTTCAACTCACACACTAGCCATGTTGAAATTTCTGGAAAGATTTCAGTGGAGGTGCTAGATAAAAATGGTGACAGCTTTCCACCTACTACCAACTTCAATTTCCTTGGCCAGCATGATGCTCAACTCCGGCAGCTAGGCCTCTAAGTCTCAGTTCACCTCCAGCTCAAGCAGCTGATTCAAACTCCTCTGACTTCTGGCCGTTGGGCTTTGTGATCTTGGTGCAGGGGGAATGTGGCCTTTTGATTGCAGAGCCTGGTTTAGGAAGAAGCTCAGCCCTCACCAGAGTTCATCATATCCTCATAGTAGAAGCAAAGAGCCAGGTGCTGCATAGCTCTATCTAGTCCTTCAACCTTTCCAAGCCTGTGGTACAGGGATGAATAATAGAATCTTCCTCTTGAAAATCCTGAAAGTCAACAACAAAAAGAAAAAGTAGGAGCCACAATTGCAAAAATAGCAACAGCTACAAAGTCTACATATAAAGGAGGAAATTACATTAACCATGCTGGGTGTGAAGGTACACACCTGTAATGCCACCACTCTGGATGTGAAGGCAAGATCACGACTTGAGGTCAGCCTGGGTTGCATAGTGAGCTCTTCTCAAAAAGAAAAAACAAAAAAACTAACCAGCATAAGAGGGATTCCAAACCACAAACACAAAAAATGTAAGCTAAAACAATAACAAGATGCAACTTCATACCCACAGGACTGGGGAAATTTTAGGAAGCTGTGCAGTGCTGAGTATGGTGATATATATGTATGTGGTAGACACAGCTGTGGAGTGAACTGGCAGTAACCAGCTGATGGTCCTGTGCCAGGCAAGTATAGATGGACCTACTGACCTGGCAGGTCTGCCCCTGGTTTGAGACTAAGGTCCATGAGAGGACATGCGGGATGAAGAGGGGTAATAGAGTCCACCATGGAAGTCAATAAGAAGAATGCATCCCTGAGATGAACCCACCTCACTGGCTCATTTATTTTGTTCATGTACCTTCCACTTAGGCTTCACTGGGAATGGCTTGTCCCTGCCCTTGCCCCAGCATCAGCTAGGGCAGCTTCAGGTCAGGGTAACAGGAGGGCAAGGGGATGGATCTATCTGAACATCTGTACATGTATCTGAGGCTGACACTGGTGGCTGGCTGGGCCTCAGTCAGGGCCATCAGTCAGAACAACTACATGAGGCCTTCATGCGTGTTCCAGGGCTGCTATAACAAATGCCACAGAATGGGGGCTTTAATGAAACAAAGGAAATTTACTTCCACAGTTCTGCAGACACAAATCTGAAGTCAAGGAGTCTGTAGGGTTGCACTCTCTCTGGAAGCTCTAGGGGAGAATTCCTCCTGCCTCAGCTCCTGGTGGCTTCAGAAATCCTTAGTGTTCTCTGACTTGAAGCTGCACTCCCCCCTCCCATCTCTCTCTCTCTCTCTCCCTCTCTCTCTTTCTCTCAGCAGTACTGGTATTTGAACTCAGGGCCTCGTGTTTACTGGGCAGGCACTCTACCACTTGAACCACTCCACTAGCTCGCTCCCATCTCTGCCTCCATCTTCATGTGGTCTTCTACCCCATATATTTGTTTAAAATTCTCTCTTTTTTGTAAAGATAGCATTCATGTTGGATTAGGGCCCAGCCTAATCCAGAAAAACCTCATCTTGATTACAGCTGGGAAAATCCATTTCCAAATGATCACATTCATAGGTGGACTAATTAGACCAGTACAGGGTCTCTCCACATGGCTGCTAGCTCCCTCAGCACAGAAAATGGGGGACCAGAATTGAGTATCTCAGAAGTCACACATGTCACTGAATTAAAGCAGGCACAAAAACCCACCAAGGTTCAAGGTGAAGACAGCTAGACCTACCAGCAGAGAGAGGGACTGGTGTCAGGAACTGAGGAGAGTGATTCACTCAGCCCTCTTCTACACAACAAGAAATGGCCTGCAGTCCTAGTTACTTGGAAAGCTGAAACTGAGAGGATCATGGTTCAAGACCAGTCCAGGCAAATAGTTTTCAAGACTCTATCTCCAAAATAACCAGAGCAAAATGGACTGGAGGTAGAGCGCCTGCTTTGCAAGCTCGAAGCCCTAGTTCAAACCCCAGTCCCTGACCAAAGAAAGGAAGGAAGGGAAGGAAGGAAGGAAGGAGGGAAGAGGAAAAAAAGGAAAAAGAAAGGAAAGAAAGAAGGAAAAGAAAGCTGCCTACTTGGTTACTTTTATTTATTTTTTTGCGGTACTAGGGATTGAACTCAGAACCTCCAGGCAAGCGCTTGTAAGAGAAGGTGGGTACCTTTCTTCCATGCAGGTCCCAAATCTAGGCCTTGTTTATGTTGTCTGAAGAGGTGGGAAGCAGAACCTGATCAAGAAGGGGAGTCTTACAAAAAACCCTGCTTGCATGAAGCTGGGACCCCGCCAAGGGCTTTCTCTTTCCCATTCCGCTGAAGGATTTCAGCGTGCAGGGGACTAAGGGGAAGGTGCTTGAGGTCCTATTGAAACAGAGGAAACTGGAGCCAAGGAAAGAAAACATTCCCATGATTTCGTGCCCCAGACTAATTCCAGATGGTTCCACAGCCCGGGTCAACTGTGCAGGTTGTGGGTCAGGCACCTGGAAACTACGCTGTCCTAGGGAGGGGGGCATCTTCATTCTGTCTCAAAGACCCCCACACGATGCTGTCAAGGACTAGTGATGGACAGGTACAGGCAGGAGACCAGAAAGTAGAGCTAGTGGAAGTAGACGCCAGGCTCCCGCACCCCTCCCGAGGTTGCTGTTTTAAATTGCACCAAACACACGTCCTTGTGCACACCTTGAGTGTCACCAGTCCCTCCCTGCCAGTAAACAACTCCATCCCGACCAGGATATGCCCCGCCCCTAACCCGCCCTCCCCGTAAACGGCCAACCCCCGCCAGGTAATGCGGAAGGCCCCGCCCCTCCGGAGGCCCTCTCACCTGCTTCCAGGTGAGGGTCTGCATGTGGCGGGTCTGCGTCGAGCCTCGCCCCGTGGTGGGGCTACCGGGGCAAAATTGGACGGAAACGTTTATTGTGCGTCCGCTGTATACTCGCAGCCCATGCCCCGGGGTCGGCCGTGAACTTCTCTGGCCTGATGGGAAGACAGTCGACGCGGTGACGGCGGGCAGAGGAACTTTGCAGGTGTTCGACGGGGCGGGGCCGACGCGGGCTTCCCAGGCCCCGCCCACATTAGCCGAGGGCCGGGGCCAGGCTCAAGCCACGCCCCTGGCGTCAGGGTCAATGCCAGGGGGCGGAGCCGACTCGGGGCGGAGCCCACTCCCGGCGGAAGCGCTCGGCTAGCCCGAGGCCAAGCTGAACGGCGGCGGTTAGGGGATCGCTGGAAACCGACAGGTAGCACGGTCGCTCGCGGGGTCTACAGCATGATCCGTTGGGCGAGGGGCTCTTTGGTCGGGAGCAGGGCTTAGCTGGCGGACGCTGGTCTCCAGGAAAGGGGGGGTCTGTCGATGCGGGACGCACACTGCCCGCAGGGCCGCCGTCTCCAGACTGGGGGAGGCTGTAGGTAGCTGGAGCCGCTCAGCCGGCGAGGCCAGGGTCTCCCGCTTGGAGGGGACGCCTGGGGTGCTGCAGAGCGGGGTCTCCAGTTCCTGACACCCCGTCCCGCCCGCCAGGATGGGCAGCAGCTCTCTGTCCGAGGACTACCGCCTGTGCCTGGAGCGCGAGCTGCGGCGGGGCCGCGCGGGCGTGTGCGGGGACCCCTCGCTGCGCGCCGTCCTCTGGCAGATCCTGGTGGAGGACTTCGACCTGCACGGGGCGCTGCAGGACGACGCGCTGGCCTTGCTTACCGACGGCCTGTGGGGCCGCGCCGACCTGGCGCCCGCGCTGCGCGACCTGGCCCGCGCCTTCGAACTCCTGGAATTGGCCGCTGTGCACCTGTACCTGCTGCCCTGGAGGAAGGAGTTCACCACCATCAAGGTAGGGCCCGCCCCCTTCCCTGCACAAGCTAAGGGCTGGCGGCCGTCGGGAGCGAATCTCCTTTCGGAGAGGGGTTTCGGGTGTGAGCCTCGCAGGACGGAGTGCTGAGGGGTCGCGGGGCATGTTGAGGGCCACCTGAGCACTCCCAGTATTGACACACAGGGTGAGAGCAGGGCAGCTGGGGTGTCTGCCCACTAGGGGACTCTGCCCCTTAAAGCTTGCATCACCGTCCTATAGCAGTTCTACGATAGCACAGCCCGGGCTGGGGGTACTTGACGTGCCACGGCCATCCTAACTCTAGGATATGGGCTGATCACATCTGCAAAGGAAGACGCTGAAGCGGGGGGGAGAACCCCAGATGGGGGACCGGGCATGCACGTAGCTCCAGCCTCGGCCTGGGCTAAGAGGCCAAGTCCAGGGTTGGCCTAGCCCCGCCTAGGTCAGCGGCCCACCCAGAGGAGGGGTCAGGGCCGTGGGTGCTCTGAGCTAATTCGGAGGGGGAAGGTGATGACGTCAGTGCGCACGTGGGCGAGGTACGCCTCCGCTGGTTGCTAAGGCAGCAGAGCCTCTCTCTAGAGGAGCGCGGAACCTGCTGCTCCAGGGGGACACCTATCGGTCCTGGGTTCTAGGACTTTGATTCATCTTTTCAGAATAGAAGGTAGGGGCCTGCCAGGCCGACAAGGGAGCAAAAGCTGAGTAGTCCTTGAGGCTGCGGCAGGACTTGGGCAGAGCTGGAATGGAGTCAGGGAATCTGGCGCTGCCTCTTTCTGGCTGTGCGGCTTTAGTCGTTATGTAATCCGCTGAGCCCCTTTCCTCCTCTGAGAAAGAGATACAAGAATAGTTCACAGGAAGCCAACCCCGCGGCTCATGCCTGTAATCCTGACTACTCAGGAGGCAGACATCAGGAGGATTGTGGTTTAAAGCCAGCCCTGGGCAAATAGTTCACGAGACCCCATTTCGGAAAAAAACCGTCACAAAAAAGGGTTGTTGGAGTGGCTCAAGCTGTAAGAGCACCTGTCTAGCAAGTGTGAGGCCCTGAGTTCAAACCGCAGTGCTGGTCCCCCACCAAAAAAATAAAATTCCACAGGAGAGATGAAAAGCCCTGAGGGCAGTATGCAGCTAGCTGCTCATGTGGGAAGTGCCATCTTGCTCCGGGAGCTGGGCAATTTTAGACTTGGGAGAGGCACTCAATCATGGACCTAAATACTGTTTCTTCACATACCTTTGTAGTAGAAAAGAATGCAAAGTGCAGAATATTATTTAAAAGTATTTAATATCTACCTGCTGGGTGTGGTGTCACACACCTGTGATCCCAGCACAAAACCCAAAAGCTGGAGGTACAGTTCAGTAAAAAAGCACTTCCTGCCATTGGAAGGTGGGGGGCTGGTGGGGGAGGGCAAATAGGAATCTATTTGTGTCTGCGGCAGTAAACAGTCTGGGAAATGCATCTGGGGTGAGAGAAGGTGGGGGACTTCAAAAGGGTTGACTTATCAGTGTAGGGTTCTTCATTTTGTTCTGAGTTCTGAGCCAGGTGACTGTTTTGGATGTTATTATCGACAGTGCTGTGGTTTGAACTCAGAGCCTTGAACTTGCAAGCACTCTACTACCAGCCCTTTTTGTTTTAGTTATTTTTTGAATAGGGTCTCACTTTTGTCAGGCCAGCCTGGACCACAGAAAGCATAAATAAACTCATCCTATGTATCTGGGATGACAGACTCAAGCCACCACATCCAGCTTTTTCTTGGTTAAAATGTGGTCTGGTGAACTTTTTTGCCCTGACCTCAAACCCAGATCTTCCCAATCTCCACCTACCACATAGCTAGGATTACAGACATGAGCCACTGAGACCAGCTTGTCATTTTTAAAGTAAAAACTTAAAAAATTCTGACACTTGTGCCTACCCTAGATTGGTTAGACCAATCTTGGGTGGGCAGGAGCCTCAGCAGCTGGCCAAACCAGGAAGGACTTTGGATGGGCAGCACCCTAGGGTCTGGTATGGGAAGGCGTTGCTGACCAGGCCCCTCCCTTGCAGACCTTCTCAGGGGGCTACGTGCATGTGCTGAAGGGCGTGCTCTCCGAGGAGCTCCTTATCAGGAGCTTCCAGAAGATGGGCTACGTGCGCAGGGATAACCACCGCCTGATGGTGACTGCCCCACCCCCCGCCTGCCAGCTGGTGCAAGTGGCCCTGGGCTGCTTTGCCTTCGGCTGGAGTGTGAGATCCTAGGTGAGGTGCTGGCACAACTGGGCACCAGTGTGCTGCCAGCTGAGGAGCTGCTGAGGGCACGGCGAGCCAGTGGGGATGTAGCCTCCTGTGTGGCCAGGTTGCAACAGCAACTGGCCCAGAATGAGGAGCCACCACCTCTGCCCCCTCGGGGCACCACTGCTACTTTTGGGGCCCCACTGGACCTGTACAGGGACCTGCAGGAAGATGAGGACTCAGAGGAAGCCAGCCTGTATGAGGAACCCTCACCAGGACCAGACTCACCACCTGTGGAATTGACCTACAGGCAGCCACTCTGGGAGCAGAGTGCCAAGCTGTGGGGCACTGGGGGCCGGCCCTGGGAGCCCCCAGCTGAGGACCTGCCTCGGGCCAGCAGCCCACCCTATGGGGCCCTGGAGGAGGAGCTAGAACCTGAGCCTTCTGCCTTCTCCTTCCACTCACTGCGCCGTGAGCTAAGTCGGCCTGGGGACCTGACTACTCCTGAACCTAGGGAGAGCCCTGGACAGGCCAGCCCCCGGCATACACGGGCAGAGGGCACACTAGCCTCAACCTATGGGCCTGTCTCTGAGCCCTTGGGCTACCAGGCACACAGCTGCCTGGCCCCTGGTGCCCTGCCCACCCTCTGCTGTGACACTTGTCGCCAGCTGCACACTACCCACTGCACTGCTCTACCAGCCTGCCGCCCAGGTCACTCACTGCGTGTGCTGCTTGGTGACACCCAAAGGCGCTTGTGGCTGCAGCGTGCACAGGTGGACGCCCTACTGTATGACAGTCCCGGGGCTCATCCCTAGGCCCAGTTGGTTTACAGGCCAAGGGTTTACAAGAGACAGTTTCCACGGTGCTTCTCTTGGGGGACGAGCCTGGGCCACCAGATGCCCTGGGCCTCCTGTCCCCCACGAAGTCCAGATCCTGTACACTGGAAGGGGGTAGAGCCTTCCACTGCACACTCCTGCCTGGGAGGCCCCGGCCTCAGCCCTGGCTACAGTAGGCCCTGAGCTGGACCAACAGAGACCTTTCCCACATGTCCCTGCCCCCAGGAAGAAACTCTCATCCCTTTAGAAATCCATCAACTGCCATAGCTCCCAGCCCACTCCCTACAGTCCCATGGCTGTGGATATGGTCTTCTCTATGGCCTGGGATACCCACAGAGGCTTCCTCAAGGCCTGAAGTGGCTCTGTGAAGACCCCAACCTCTCCATTGCTGTCACAGTCAGGAGGTGCCCAGAGCCTCACAGGACAGACAACAGGAAGTGTTGGCAAAGGAAGGGAGTAATTCTCTGCAACCAGCACCCAGCTGCCTCCAGAGAAGAGAGGTGGAGTCCTGCAGGCTGCCCACTGGGCTGCTGTGCCCATCATGAGACCATGTGACTGCTGACCAAGGCAACACAGCAGAGATGGATAGATAGCCACAAAGGGAGAAGCTGCAGGCCCTCTTTCTTTATGGGCAGCCCTGGGACCCTTAGACTGGGATCCCCAGAGCTGCAAACCTTTGGGGTCCCTGGCCCACCTCCAAGGGGGCAGGTATAATGACCACTGCTCTGCATGCTCCTTTTTCAGCACCCCCTCTTCTAAGCGTGTTCCTGCATTCTTGTCCCATTCCTCCTCCCCAGTCCACTCAGAGAACACTGTCCATGTCGCACATTAAAGGATGGTCAGACCATGTCTGTCAGGAAGGCTTTTATCTTTTCCCCCCTGGGATGACAGCCATCACCTCTACTGAGGGCTATCTTCTAGGGACTTCGGGGGTGTCCCCTCATGGCCTCCACCCACACCTGGTCCATCTTTTCCACCTGAAGCTCCACTGGGTTCACCATAACCTATGATTGCCCTGGGTAGCCCCTGGTGACCAGACAGGAACAGCACAGTCTTCTCCATCCTGCTCATTAAGGCCATTGCTTGGCCAAGCAGAGGCTTCTGCACTAGCACTTCCTCCCCAGAGGGCAAGCCTTACTACCAGACAAGAGCAGCCAGGAAGCACAAGCAAGACACTGTGCATCCACCAGATGATGAAACAACCACCCTGACCCCTCCTGGGTGAACAGACCTGGAGCTTCTGTCACCATCACCCTGTCCACAGCCTGCCTGCCCACAGGAAAAAGCAGGGTGGAGTCAGTTGGGGTGGCCAAGGGATCCCAGGAGATTCAGCCTGGCCTGCAGGACCCTCCCAAGTCCACCACTGGCCGATGATCTGGTGAGGGTGCAGAGCACATGTTGGGCCCACCATCAGGGCTTGCACCGCTTGCTCTGGCCCTCAGAGGTGGCAGGGACAGCCCGCTTATTGCGGTGGTGGGGGAAGGTAGGCATGAGCTCCGGCTCGCAGGCTGTGGGAGAAGAGCAGCTCAGCGCTGACCTGCGAGAGGGCTTCCCAGGCAGACCAGGCGCTGGGGGCATCCTCCAGGTCTGGACCTGGCTCTGCACTCAGGCTGGCCCTGGGCTGCCCTGCACCCCCCCCCCCCAATCTGCTTCCCTCCTCTTCCCTAAGGGAAGGTCTGCATAGCCCTCACCTGCCGAGGGATGCCCACATCCCACATGCACAGGCCTACTCTGGGAGCCCACTCAGCACAAACAAAAAGGGATACTAGCCAAGCCTCCAAAGAGCAGGGCCCAAGGGTCTGGGAACTCACGTAGGGGCTTCTCCTTGAAGTAGGAGCTCTCCAGGCAGTCCCCCGCTGTTGCCCTGGGGAAAGGCAGTCTTATAATGGGACCCTTGGCCTCTGCCAGGCCTGTTTCTCTGAAACCTCCACCCAGCTCAGCAGCCCCTAGTTCAACTTCCAACAGAAGGGTGAACAGTAGATAGTGGTTTGGGGTCCAGAAACTGATGAGAACCTCAAAGTGGTCCCCATGACTTGAAGGAATAAAGACCAAACTGGGCAACTGGTGCACAGGTGTCTGCATGTCTGTAAGGGAGCATCTGGCCTATGCTCTGAGAAACCACCTTTAAAGGATTCCAGTTGGGCTGTGGTACAGCTCAGTGATACACTGTTAGCCCAGCATAAGGCCCACAAAAAATGAACAAAGGATTCAGATTTAAGGTACCCCTGGAGAGGTCAGTGCCTGCTATCCCAAAGGCCATAGGGGCAGCCTGTGGGGCAGCCACAAGTGGGGTCACACCTTTTCTTGGGGTCATACATAAAGAGGAAGTTGAGCAGGCGCAGTCCGGCCTCTGACAGCCATGGGAACTTGTGCTTGAGGTTGTTGTATGGCTGCTTCCGTAGGCTGTACTGGCCAGCCAGTGGCAGCTTGGAGAAGCCCTACAGGAGGAAGGAGCTAGAGTCACAGGGGCTGAAGCCAGGCACGGGCAGGGCTCAGGGGCTTCCCTGGGCACTCACTGGCCAGATGTTCTCACTGGGTGTCCCTAGCAGCTGTACGATCAGGTCGATCTGGTGGATCTCAGAAGTGCCAGGGAGGAGGGGCTTGTGGGCCAGCAGTTCAGCCAGGATGCAGCCCACAGCCCTGCAGGAAGAGAGGCCAGTCCTTTGCTCTGTACCATGCCAATATACCCACAAAAAAATGGGAAAGTGACACTCAAGCTTCTCCACCAGGACCACAAGGGCAGGCCTGATTCCTGCACACCTTGGTGCCAGAGTCCTGCAAACACTAACATTCTCATGCTTCCTCTTGGGTTCCAGATGCTAGATGTTGCTAGGAGCTGGGATGCTAGCAAAAACCTTAGACTCACTTCTGTCCCTTCCCCTGCCCCAGGGCTGAGCTCAGGAGCCAGGTGACACCCCAGCAGCAATAGCCACTCTTACCACATATCGATGCTGGTAGTCTGGGTGGTGGTTCCCAGCAGTAGCTCAGGGGCTCGGTACCTGTAGACAGAGGCCCCACTTCACCTTTGGCCAGCTCCTGTCCTCCAGCCTGAGCTGAGTATCTGCAGGGCTCCTGATAGCAGCCTGAGCAATAAGACTGCTTTCTTGAAGCTTGGACTGCCTTCTGATTTAAGCCTAAAGACTCAGGCAACACATGGTTACAGCTGCCACTGAAGGATACCAAGTGTACTGTGTGTTAGAAGAAACAGGGACCCTCAGCACAGACCTACCACCATCAGCCTGCTTTCAGATGGGGGTTAAGTCGTTAACTATGACCCTGTTCTGCCTGTTAAAAATGCAACTACACAAAATTCCATAAGCACAAACCCTTCAGTGTGGAGCACCCTCCCTTTCCTGGGATGGCTTCAAAGCCAGGCTGTTTCTGGATAGACCTCAAGTGGACAAGGCAGGTTCCTCGAGGCTACTGAGCCTATTACTCATTTCCTGGGACAGCCCTACTCTGTCCTGAGAATCGATCATGGATGCAGCTTTTGTATTTTTTTTTGGCAGAACTTCAGAGCCTCACACTTGCTAGGCAGGTGCTCTTACTGCTTCAGCCACTTGGCCAGACCTTTTTGTGTGATGGGATTTTTTTCAGATAGAGTCTCAGGAACCATTTGCCCTGAGCTGGCTTCAAACTATGATCTCTGCCTCCTGTGTAGCTAGGATTACAGGCATGAGCCACTGGCACCTGGCTTTATAAATGTGTGCCACCCTGCAGCTTCAGACTCTAGACCCATTTGTAGCAGCAGTCTTACAACTCCAAAGAGCCCTGCACCAGGCACCCATCCCCATGTCCATCATGTTTCTGAGGGACTCACCAGAGGGTAACCACCTTGGGGGTCATTGGCTTTACTGGAACACCATATGCCCGGGCCAGGCCGAAATCCGCTGCACCAGAGGCAGAGAAGGGAGGGAAAGCAACACCCAGTGAAAGCTGATAAATTGCTGTCCGAGAACAGAGCCAGACTCAGGTGCCCTGGGGCTAGAAAGGCAGATAAGCCAGCCTCTGGCCTTCAGGGCACTTAAGAGGACCCAACATTCCCTGCCCCAAGGGCATGCTCATGGATGTCCACCTCCACGCAAGCAGAGCCTACACCCACCTGTTTTTACACAGCCTTTGTCTGTCATGAGCAGGTTGGAGACCTTCAGGTCCCTGTGACAGAAAGAGGACACTGGTGTTCCCAGGAAGTGAAGTGAGCACCACAGTCGACCCTTAAAACGCTTTCCCTAACTTTTTTTTTTTTTTGGTGGGGCTGGGGTTTGAACTTGGGGCTTGATGCTTGCAAGCACTCTACTGCTTGAGCCACACCTCCAGTCCATTTTGCTCTGGATATTTTTTGGAGATGGGGGTCTCACAATTTACCTGTATTGGCCTCAAACCATGATCTTCTAGCTCTCAACCTCCCAAGAAGCTAGGATTATAGACATGACCACCATCACCCTGACCCTGCTTTCCCTCAAATTTGAGCCTTTTAAAAGTAGAGGGTGAGCAGTAGAGAGGATACTGGCAGTGGGAAATGCCAGTACTCTCAGTAACTCTAAGGAAGAGTCAGAGCCAGGATGTAGCCCTGGGTGCTCCTCCAGTAGCCCCAGCACAAAGGCTGCACAGCTGGGCTCCAGGACTCAGGCCCCTCCATTCACAGCCAGCTCCTGGCCTGAGAATCAAAGTCCAAGCAGGTAAAGTGCTCTCCTCACCCAGGCCTTGGGCCACTGTCTTTATCCACCCACCCTTTTTCCCAGAGAGCAGACAAAGGCTTCTCAGATTTATCTGGTCCTTCCCCAGGAGCAATTAGAGAACTTCTGCTAGTATCTGCTCCTCTCCTGGAGGACACTTGAAAATTAGAAGTGTGCAGCACCTGTGCACTCCCTCTACCTCCTGCCCACCTGTGGATGATGAAGTTCTTGTGCAGGTACTGGAGGCCCCTGAGCACCTGTAGCATGATGCACTTGACCTGTGTGGAAGTCCAGAAGGATCAGTCAGGGAGAGCCTGAGGTGCCTGGGCACACCACATCCATATTACATGGCAGAACCAGCAGTCACTAGTGGCCTCTGGAGCTCAGTGATTGCTGTGTCCTGTACAGCTGGGACAGTAGTGCTGTCACCTCTCCTTCCCATGACCCCTGCATGTTGTGCTGAGATGCCAGCTCACAGAATCCTGTGGTGCCCCTAAGCAGTAACTTGTTGGTGCTGTACAGGAGGCAGTGGCAACTCCACACAGACCCAGCAGCCATGTTCAGTACAAATGTACAGTAACCAGGGCTTGTGAAGCACCTCCACTACACACCTGGGACTCAGAGAAGGGGGTTGGCATATTCTCCAGGAGGCTAGCCAGATCCTGCTCACAGTAACCCATCACCAGGAAGATGCTGGAAGGAAGAAAAGACATATGGTACCTCCTGTCTTCTCCCTAGTGGGCAAAGAAAGAAGCCTCCCCTGCTGCAGAAAGGGTGACCTATATCCCAGGAAGAGGGTGGGCTCAGCAGGAGTAGAGGTCAGGAGACTGCACACCTCTCCAGGTGGTTCCCCACAACCACCTCCTTCAGCTCCACGATGTTGGGATGGCGAAGGCGCAGGAGAAGTGTGATCTCCCGCAGGCTGCTGATGGGGATGCCTGCAACCACAGAAGGGCTCAGTGATCTCCTGCCACTCTCTGGGCTCTAAAACACCCAATACAAGATGCTGTCACTGTCTCCACCTCAGGGAGAATCAGAGCCTCCTAACACCACTCATCAGAGACAGTGTGACAGAGCACCCATGGAGCATGAAGGCAGGTGTGTGGGAGAGGGTGACAGATGAGCTGAGATGGAAGTGAGGTGAATCACCAGACAGGAGAGAGAACAAGGGATAGAGAAAATGCAGAATCCTCCAGACAGAAGGGGAGGGAAACTGGCCGGCTCAGGGGACTCAGGCTCAGACTGGGAGTGACAGGCCAGGCCACCATCTTTAACCACTAGGTAGACACTCTCAGGATTCAGTCCTGGGACAAAGTCAGGTAACTGGCACCTCTACACTGTTCTGCTTTAAGGTTCCAGCTGGGATGGTCCTAACAACCCTCTCTCCACTCACCATCCTTCTCCTTGTCCATCCGCACCTTCTTCAAGGCAACAATCTCATCTGTCTGGGTGTCCCTGGCTCGATCTGAAATGGAGGCACATCTCTGATGGAGCCCACACCAAACGCTATCACAGGCCCCTCCCCACACAGGAGTCCCTTCCTGAGCTTCTCTGACAACCTAATGCCCAGCAACGCTCAGTGTTCCCTATGTGTAAGCAACACCATTAGCCCAAACCTAGGGGTTTCATTAGAGCTGGGTATAGCATGCCCAGTTCTTCTCTCTGTCCTGAAACCTGGCTTCTAGCAACTCAAGTAGTAATAAGCTGGGTATTCTCCCTCTCAGCAGGTAGGTCACTGTTTTGTGTTCAAGTTTAGAAAAAACAACCCTTATTTTGTGCAAAGATGGCTCCACAAAGCCTTTTGTTGATCTGTGCAACTTCTACCGATTTGGCAGAATGACTGACACCAGTAGAGCTGTTGGGTACTGACTGAGCTTTTGGAAGTGGGACATTTCATTGACCAGTTGTCTCCACTCCCTGGTTACATATTTGGATTTCTGACACTAACAATCCCAAGCTTATGTGTATCTAGACATGGTGTAAAATTTGTGGAAATTATAGAAGGAACTGAAGTTCCTGGTTTGGAGCACAAGGTATGAGCCTTCCGGCCCCAACACAGATGCCACTGTGTAACCCCATTTCCCAATCATCAGAACCACAAGCTGTGGCTCCAGGCTCCCTTTCTTGGCCACTCACACACAATGCCATAGGTGCCCTCGCCGATGCGGTTCAGCTTCTCAAACTCCTTCACGCTCCGGCATTGTCCCAGCTGAAAGAGAGGTGCTGTCAGCATAGGAATTTGGAAGCCAGCAACAACTGAGGATGGGTATTTCATGTGTGCTTGGTACTGACAAACCTGCTCACATCTCATCAAACAGAAAAGCTTTTCTGATGAGAATGGAGATGACACCAGGCCCACTTTGAATGAAATACCAAAGGTGGCTTAACTACTGTCTTAAATCCTCTGTTACTAGACATCTGCTGTCTAGTTACAGTAGCCACCACCCAGGTCTAGGGCAGAAGATACTGTCTCTACCCCGTTCATACCTAAAGAACCAAATCAGAATGGCAACTTCCACGACCTTCACCTGGCTTCTCAGACCGTCTCCTGTGCTTCCTGTTCACTCTTCCAGTCTCCTCTCAGTTGGGACTTTGCCCTACCCCCTGGGTCTGGCATGCCACCATTTTTTTTTTTTTTTGACGGTACTGGGGCTTGAACTCAGGACCTACACCTTGAGCCACTCCACCAGCCCTTGTATGTGAAGTTTTTTTTTGTTTTTGTTTTTGAGGATCTTGGGAACTATTTTCCAGGCTGGCTTGGAACCACGAACCTCTTGATCTCTGCCTCCTGAGTAGCTAGAATGACAGGCCTGAGCCACCGGCGCCCGGCTCCCCCCTTCTCTAAAGTGTCCAAATCCTGGCCACACCTCCTGGTCCAAAAGAAATGCCAGCCCTTCTACAAAACTCTTCCTGCTCTGAGTACCACTCCTTTCTCGAAAATCCCTGATCCTTTTGTCTTGAGGCACTGTCCTCCCCTTTAAGAGCAGAATTCTAACAACAACAACAACAAAAGCAGAATTCTGGCTCACTGAGGTGGCCCCAGCGTTCATACGGAGCTCTGGACTTCGGGCTCCAGCGACACATATGCAGGCAGCAGGCTCAGGCTGCAAACTCGGTCACACTGTTAGCGAGGCTTCCTGGGCACGTGACTTGGCCTCTCAACGAATCAGAAAACACAATCCACGAATTGTCTACCTTGGTAAAAATCTCCTAGCGCCCTAAGGTTCACCTTCCCGGTCACACAAAAGGGACAGTAACAGAACTCGCGGCCAAGGGTCTTTGGGAGGGCAGGAAGGCAAAATGAGAGCTGCCTGGTTGCAGGTGAGGACCGGGAGCCTCCAATTCTCCTCTCGGGCATACTCTTGTCCACCCCTAGCCGCTCTTGCAGAGCCCGGCGCGGGAACGGAGTTCGAAAACACAGAAGTCTGACCCAGAGCTGGTCCCGCCCCGCCCCTCCCCTCCCCTCCCCTCCCCGACCCCGCCCCACCGTTCCTAGCCACGCCCCTCCCCGACCCCGCCCCACCGTTCCTAGCCACGCCCCCGCCGGCCCAGGAGGCCGGGCAGCAGGTCCTCAGGCGGCTTCCCACTCCAGCCGCAGGGAACTCTGGGACTGTCGTTCCCGCCGACCGGAAACGGCGCTGTAACGCGACACCGAGCGCTACGGTCCGGCCCTCAGCCAGCGCCGCCCCAGAGGCACCCCGGCTCACCCTGTGTTCTGCAGGCACCGTGAAGAAGCCTTCCTTACGGATGCACTTCAGGCGGATCTGCTCTGGGTCCGGGTCGGGTTCCGCCATGCCGAGCGCGGCACCCACTCGCTTCCCCTGTGCGCGGCCGCGGGCCTCCCTCGGCGCAGGCGCGAGACCTACTTCCGGTCGTCCTGCCCCTAGCAACGGTTACTTCGCCCCGGGAGGACGCTTCTGAGGAGCTTGGCTGCTGGGATCCACCCTGGCCGCCGAGGTTCGGACCTCACTTTGGAGGAAGGCACAGGTATCTGACCCAGCTGGGCCGCCAGGCAACGGGGCCAGAGCGGGAGGCCACTGCACCCCTCCGAACGGGGCGGGACCCAGAGGCCTCCTTTGTGGCCGGTGCATCGGCCTGGGGGAGGTCGGAGGAAGACACATCGCCGATGCACCAGCTGCTGGAAGTCTTGCGGTGGACACAGACGGGAGCGAGGGGCAGGCGGAAGATGGCACGCAAGCCTAGCCCCTGGGTGGGAAGAGGCCAGCAGCCCCCGAGGAGGTGGACACGGTCAGCGCCTTCCCTCGTCACCTGGGAGGAGTCCGCTGTGCATCATGCCCAGGGTATTATGCCTTGCCAAGCCCAGCCCGGTGCTGGAAGGTGGAAGAAGAGTGCAAATTTAGGACCAGGGCGGCGCCTGGTGTGGTTTCGCTTCTGAAAGCCCCTGGAGACGGCAGGGTCACTGACAAGGACGGAAGAGGGCGTTGTGTGCGGTGTGTGAGGGAACCTGGGACACCTGCTGCCGTTGGTCCCTCGCGGAGGATTCAAGGGAAAGCCGGGCAGAGCAGCCGTTCAGCAGCAGGTCTCCAGCATTAAAAACAGACTTCTGCTAGATGGCTTGGCCCCGCAAAGTTTAAAACACACCGGGGTTTGAGCTACAGGGTTTCGTGCTTGCAAACAGGCACTCTGCCATTTGAGCCACACCTCTGATCCATTTGGAGATGGGATCTTGTGAACTGTTTGCCCGGGCTGGTGAGGAATCGTGACTCTCCAGATCTGAGCCTCCCAAGCAGGCTCAGATTATAGGCCAAGGCACTGGCGCCTGGCCGCAAAATAGTTTTTAAATTATCGTATACTGTCATATTTGCATGCTATACTTTTATTTTTTTTCAGTACTGTGGTTTGTACTCAGGGCATCGTGCTTGCTAGGCAGGTGCTCTTCCACTTGAGCCACTCCACCAGCTCAATGCCGCACTTTTTTTGTCTTTGAAAATTCATCTTCCAAAGTCATTATTTAGGTTGTGTGTGTGTGTATACATATATAGTATATACACAAGGTGTATATATATACCTTGTGTATATACTAGATAAGCCTGCATGCATGTGTATATATAAAAACATATATAATAAATATAGGTCTACATGTGTTTGTGTAATAAATTGGCCTGCATGGATGTATGAGTTTTTACACGTATGTATATACTAGATAGACTAGATATATGTATCAGAAATTGTTGGCATGTGTGACAGGCATCAGGGTCCCTCACCCCAGCACTTGAGAAGGTTATGTTTATGATCCTGGTGGGCATACCCCTGTCCCCTAGCTCTGGTTAGCTCACCAAGGCCAGCCAATATAGAAATAACACATCCTACACACTGTTACTAGATTACATGTGTGAGACCAGGCAGAGCCGGGCATTCTCTCAGACAACAGCCTGACATGAATGTTGTTCGCGAGGGTGGGGAGTCAGCTGAGATGTCCAATGGCATTATGCTTGGCCTTTCCTGAGTGGCCCTTCACTGGAGGGGACCCTCATCCCTGGGGCAAGACAGGTAGGTTAGCACTGACAGGACACTTCCAAAGTCTAAATGCTCTGGCTATCCACCCCCTCCCCAGAATACATTCTACATTCTTCTGGGCCTTTTAATAAACTGGGTCAGATTACAGTCAAGCCAGGAGACCTCCACTGGTGAAGTGACCTTGCACCTCTATCCTGGAACATTACACCTTAGACTCTGGCATTTTTGCCAAGTTTGGGGGATGTCATTCATTGTGAATGTTAACTGCCTATCTGAGACAACTTGAGCTGTCGCCTGATGTCCACTACTCTGCAGCCACTCACTTCCAACAGGGATGTGCTTACTCATTCCTTTGTTCAGAGAGTCCCACAAAGTTCTCTCTCTGAACCAGACACTCTTGTGCTCCATCAAGCTGCTAGTGGCTCTGGGGAAGGTGAGACCAAGTGGTCACTGAGACAGAACCTCATGGACTAAAGGGCAGTCAGTGCCACATGGGGCAGAGTAGCCCTCCTGCCAGTGTAGCTGAGACTCAGATCACAGTAAACAAGGACAGCTACTGGAGGCTCTCAATTATTCTTTATTGTATAGATAGGCTGCTATTGTACTGGGGCTCCTGTGTCGGTGGTAGATGCCCCATTCAGCCTGTTCCTGAATGGTTCTCTGCTCCTCGCTCCCAGTGGAGTTGTAGCTGATTATAGATTCATTTGAGGCCCGAGTGATGATGACCTGAGGAGTGACAGTTTTCTTCTTGCTCAACTTTTGTTTTACATCAGGTTTCTCTAGAGGAAAGAAAATATCCAGGCATTTAGTGTGTGTGTAAACTTCTTCCACAATACACACAAGGCTTGTCTAGGTCAGAGTACAGGAATTAGATTCATAGTTAGCAGGCAGAGAAACTGCATGAACATTTCCAAGCTCAGCCACACAGGTTGTGAATCCTGGATGTCTCCTTTCAAGGAAGAAACAGGAGAAACTCGGTTTCATGATCTGACAGGCAGCTGCAGGGTGACAGGCAGAGGAAGGAAAGAATATGAAAAGGTAGGTTTGCCTCAGTGGTTAAGGTTCAGACGCAGTCACCAAAGGTAAAACTCTTGGCAGAACTTTACTAATCAGTAATGATCCAGAAATGGGCATTCCTAATATTGCCTACATTTTCACATCCTTGCTAAGGGTGCAGGAAATGCATAAGCACTGTGAAGCTGCTGAGCTTGTCAGATGGAAACATAGACATGCAGGGGTTCTCCTTGCCTTACTGCTTCACAGCTGGGCACATGCTTTAGGCCTATGTTAGAACATGACAGAGGTTTCTCTCTGCACAATCCATGTGCACCCAGAATGTTCACAGTGACATATTTTTGCAAGAAAACATTACATTGGTCATACTGGTTTGCTTTTAGCCCTCCTTGATGCCTCATGAGTCTTGCTACACGGTACGATGAATACTTGGTAATGACAATGATGGCTTTTATTGAGAGAACACTCTCAATAAAATAAGACTCTCCTGGGTCACAGGAAACTCTGCCTTTAGTGCTACATCACAGCCAAATGACCCATGTCCTGCAAGGGCAGTACATTATATCATTATATTAGGCCAAAAACTGCATTCTGTTATATTTTGTATTAACATTAAATTGGTAGATTGAAACTACTTAAAAGGTCATGAATATTTTAATTAAAAATAGAAGTTCAGTAGTACAGTGCATACATAGTATGCACAAGGCCCTGGGTTCAACCCCCCAACACCCTCCACCCCCCAAAAAATAAAATATTGACTAAAAATTCTCACCTGCTTGATTTACCCATCCAGCTGTTTTACATGCCCACACGCACATCTAGCAGCACGACAGGCTAGGCTGGGCTCTGATGTCTACACACAATTGTGACCTCTTCTCCTTTTTCATGGTAGCCTGTATTCCTGACTGGGACCCAATCCTTTATGTAAGCAACTCCCTTTGTTGTACATACTTTAGGTTATTTCCAAGTTTTGTCTGTTTCATTGCATTATGTAATTGTGTGAGGGTTTATCAGTTGGGCAAAAATTACTATAAGTAGAACTTCTAGTAAAATTATTTAAATCTTTTCAAATTTTAGTAAATATTGCCATGCTAGCTAGGTACTGTACACACTGTAATCCCAGCACTGGGGAGGCTGAAGTGAAGGATCTAGAGTTCAAGGCCTACTTGGGTTATATAGTTGTAGTTGTAAGCCAGCCTGTGCTACACAGGGAGGACCTATCGTGAAAAAAAAAAAAAAAGAAAGAAAGAAAAGAAATTGTATATATAGTCAAATTGTTTCTGTAAAGATTGTTATCAGGGCTTGAAGTGTAGCTGAGTGATAGAGCACATGGTTAGCATGCATGAGGCCCTGGGTTCAATCCCCAGCACCACACAAAACAAAACCACTAAGCTTTTTGTTTCCTAAGTCATCCCATCCATTGTCTTAACACCAAAGTTCCATCTGTTCTCCACACAAGTGACTTGTCCACTATCCTCACCATGAATTCCCAGAAATCCAAGTCTCCTGAACTCCCAGATCAGTTTCTATACCTGCTGCTTTACTCTGGGACTCACCTAAATCCCCTAATACTAGCTTCTGCTTTCGCCCTCACACCCTTGCTGTCCTCACTTACTATTCTAGATAGACTTCTGAATAATTTGCTCATATTCCCTAAAGGACTTGTGGTGTTTTTGTGTTTAACTGAATTAATGGAGAATTAACATATTTACATTATTGAGGCATTCTAGTCCAGATGAGATTTCTTTTCAGTTTTAAAGTATTATATTTAAAAACTTTTTAGGCTTTTTGGGGGGAGGGGGCACTGGGCCTTGAATTGAGGGCTTCCCATTTGCAAAGCAGGATCTTGCCATGCAGGTGCTCTACTGTTTGAGCCATGCTGCTAGTCCATTTTGCCCTGCTTATTTTGAGGATGAGGCCCAGGTTGGCCTTGAAGTGTGATCTTCCCAATCTGAGCCTCCCAAATAGTTAGAATTTCAGGCATGAGCCATCTGTGCCCAGCCTTTAAAGGTTCTTAATACATATTACCTGTACTACTTTGTGTGTGTTTGTGTGTGTGTGCACACATGTTGGTGCTAGGGATGGAACCCATTGCCTTATACATGCTAGGCAAGTGCTCTACCACTGAGCTACAGTCCTGTCTCTCTGTACTAGTTTAGTTCTCTCTTATTGCATAACAAATTACCATAAGCTTAGTGACTTAAATCAGCACCCACATTTATTATGTCCTAGTTTCTATAAGCCAGGCTAGGGCTCTGCTGGGGGTCTTGAGAGGTTGGAGTCTAGGTGCTGCCTAGACTGCATTCTCATGTGCAACTGGGTCCTCTTCTAGCTCATTTAGGTTGTAGGTAGGATGCAACCTAAATTGTGGTTTAAGGAGGCTGTGGGCAGCTCCAAGAGGCCTGCAGCCTCTGCCTGTGACTCTCTAAAGTGTGCTCTGCACGGTCCACCTGATAATCCCCATTCTAGATAAGCCAGAGTCAACTGACTAATAACCTAATCACATCAGAGGCCCCTTTGTCTTTACAGTTCCTCCCACACTCATGGGGAGGGGATCAGACAGATTACAAGGTGGAAAAGATTTTAGGGTTAGAGTCCTTCTACCACAATGCCAAACTGTAAAAAATCAATAGTCCCACAGTATCTCAGGGCACCTGATCTGCATTTGAGGGACATAAATGTCTTTGGCCTGTCATATATGTTGCAAAAAAACTTTTATTTTGAGACAGGATCTCACTATGTAGTCCAGGCTGGTCTCCAACTCTAGATCCTCCTGCCTCAGCCTCCTTAGTGCTGGGATTACAGGTTGGGAGATGTTTTAAAAGTTAGTGTAGCCAGATTCCTCAGTATCTCTTTGTGGTATTTTTATTTACTTCAAGAAATGGAAAGAGCTCATTGGGAAATCAGATTACTTGTATCCTCATTTTTCTCTACTGAGTGTTTTTTTTCCTTGTTTTTTCAAACCCTTGGGTGGAGGGCTGGCTTTCAATAGATCGCAGTGAGGGAGCTGCTGTGCTACGAAGGAAACCCTGACCCAGAAGCAGGTCATCTATGAATGGTTTGCACCAGTTTCCACACTCTATGGACTCTACTGACTTTTATATTCACTTTTATTCCTCTGGAAATTATCTTAGTGTATGGCAAGAAGCTACCATATAATTTATGCCTTAAAGTGTTAGGCAGGTTTCCTAGCATCATTTATTACATAACCCCCCTCTTTTTTTGCAGTACTGGAGTTTGAACTCAGGACCTACACCTTGAGCCATTCCACCAGCCCCTTTTTTTGTGTGTGTGATTTTTTTTTTTTCAAGATAGGGTCTCAAGAACTATTTGCCCAGGCTGGCCTTGAACAACAATCCTCCTGATCTCTGCCTCCTGAGTAGCTGGGATTATAGACGTGAGCCACCAGTGCCCAGCTATTCTTCCCTTTCCTACTAGTTTTTGTCTCAGTTTTATCATTCACTTCATACATACACATTCTCTCTCTCTCCCTCTCACATGCACACACACCACACATGGCTTACTCTCCCTATTTTTATTTCATTTATCTCTTTATACTGGAATTGTAGCTATAATAATTAAAATGATCATCTTTTGAAACATTTAAAATGTTTTATTTTTACAGTATTTATAAATTCACAGAAACTTGCAAAAATAGTACAAAGAGGTCCCTTGAACCCTTCACCCAGTTTCTCCCAGCGGTAACATCTTATATAACTACAGTAGAGTATCAGTACCAGGAAACTGACATTGGTCCAGTGTCTATAGGGTCACATGTAACCTGCCTCCATCAGGTCCAGGGCCAATCTATCACCAGAGACCCCTTACTGCTGCACCTTTAGAGTCACACTTCTCCCCCTCTCCCCCTACCTAACCCCTGGCAACCATTAGTCTGTTTTCCATTTCTATAATTCTGTCATTTGGATAATATAATATAAATAGAATCAAACAATGAGAATTTTTTTTTGGCGGTACTGGGGTTTGAACTCAGGGCCTCATGCTTGCTCTACCACTTGAGCCACTCTAACAGCCAGAATGTGAACTTTTGAGATTGGATTTTTTTCACTCAGTATTATTTTTTAAATTATTTATGTATTTATTTGTGGTACTGGAGTTTGAACCTGGGCTTTGCACATGCTAGGCAGGTGCTTTGTCCTCAACCCTAGCATCAATTCTTTGTTATTAGGTAATATCCAATTTAACTTTTTTTTTTTTTTTTGCAGTACTGGGGCTTGAACTCAAGGCCTACACCTTGAGCCACTCCACCAGCCTTTTTTTGTGATGGGTTTTTTTCAAGATAGGGTCTGGAACTATTTGCTTGGGCTGGCTTTGAACCGTGATCCTCTTGATCTCTGCCTCCTGAGTAGCTAGGATTATAGGTGTGAGCCATGGGCACCTGGCTAGGAATAAGCTAACTGTAAATTTGTGGTATGCTAATCTCTGTAATATGTCTATTTGTGGATTTTACAAAGCAAAAATTTAAGCACATACAGATATATCGAGAACACCTATGACTAACTCATGGACAAATTTCTTGTCTATTTCACCTTTTTATCCCTTGGCCTGGCTACTATTGCTGCAATAACTTACCGCAAACCTTAGTAGCTTAAAAGAATTATTTTCTCATAAAGTTTGTGGTTCAGGACAGGTATAGCTGATTGATAACCACTTGTGGCTTCCCAGACAGCTGCTGACAGATTTTTGCTGGGCTGTGTCCTCTGAAGGCTCAGCTGGGCTGGATGTCCATAATGACACACTCATCTGAGATGGTAACTGATACTGGCTGCTGCACATCATGAAGACTCAAAAGGCAGGGCCTGCAGTCATCTAAAGGCTTATCACTCACAGATTGGCCCTGGGTCTGAAGGCTTAGAAGCCAGGACTACAAATTGCAGTGTCTCCATGGGGCTTCCCATTCTCAGAGGTGGGGAAACACTGATGCAGAGTTTTTTGTTTTATTTTTAATACAGGGCTGTACATGCTGCCCAGTCTAGCCTTGATCTCCTAGGCTCAAGTGATTTCCTCCTACATCAGCATCCTGAGTAGCTGGAACTACAGGCTTGTACCACCATGCCCAGCTTAATGCAGTTTTTTTTTTTTTAGAGTCTGGGGTTTGAACTCAGGGCTTCACACTTGCAAAGCAAGAACTGTACTGCTTGAGCCACACATCCAGTCCCCTAATGCAGTTTTAACATTTCCTTCACTCCAGAAAGTCCTTGTGCTCGATATGGCCAATCCCTATTCCCTTCTTTGGTCCCACCCCATGCAGCCACCAATCTACTTCTATCTATACATGTCATAGAAGGGGAATCATGATGGGTGTGGGCATTCACATCTGGCTTCTTTCACTTGGCATCATGTTTTAGGAGTCCCTCCACAGTGCAGCATGTGGCAGGAGCTTGTTTCTTATTGCTGCTGAGTGTGTGCCATTGTCTGAGAACAACCTTCACCTTCTGTCTTGAAACTTGCTCCCAGACCTGCCGTTTTCTTCTCATGTCCACCTTCTTCTGCCGAAGTAAACGGCTGTCCCTTGCTGGTAAAGGTCCTGCACTCTCATGCCTTGTAGCTCCTCCAGTCCCTCATGAATCTGCAAAGCTGAGCCCATCTTAAAGAGGCAGGTGGAGCCTACTAAACATCACTTGTGGTCATGAAGTCGTGTGTGTGATATGTGCAGTCCTTCAGTATCTAGGGACTATGGAGAAAGACACCCCTGGACTGAGGGTTGCACAGTGGAACATGCAGGGCTCTTGATGTCACTGCTGTGCTGCTGAACCAACACGATGGAGGCCATCTCTGACCCTTCCTTCCTTTGTGAAATGCCAAACCCTTGCTGATGAAATTCCATTTAGTTGGCTTTTCTGTAATGGGCTATACTGAGAGACAGGTGGCACTTTCCAAACCTATAGACCTTCTATAGGTTGTGCAGCCTTCTACCCTCAAGGGAAATTTCAAATCCAGGCTTCTTTACCCAGGCCAACACCTGTGTTCAAATTGCCTCCTGCTTGCAGCCTGATGGGCCCACAGGTGCCTCAACCTGAATTGCCCAGCCCAGCTTCTGTCCCCTGCCAGGCCTGTCCTCCTCTTCTCCTCTAACTCATTGTCTGGCTCCTCCTTCCTTTAGGTCTCATTCCATAGCAAGTTCTGCAGTTTCTACCTCCTGGATCTCTCTGGAATCCTACAGCCACTGCTTCACTAGTTCCCACCCGATTATAGCAATGGACCTGGCATAGGTCTCCTCCCTCAGGTTCTGCTTCCCCACTGGTCTCTATTCTGGAGCCAGAAAGCCCCTTCCAAGGCTCAGAGCCATCACACCTCTCTTGTTTTAAGTACTGACATTTCCATCCCCACAACCAACACCATAAAAAGAAAGCCTGTATCCTGGCTTCATCCTGCTCATATGGCCTCATCTTCCCCATACGCACTTATACATTCCACCGAGCATTCTGGATATTTACCTTCTGTACAAAGGTCCTGAACAAAACCCCCACATCATCAGGATCTCAAACAGGCTCCTGCTCGCTCAATCCCAATCACCTTGTGTTGCAGGCCTTCTAGGGTCCCCTACCTTCGGAGGAAGCAGGAAGCCGCTCATGCTTGACTGTCCCCAACCCCAGGAGAAGACTGTCTGCAGGCTTCTTGGCCTCCCTGTCTGCCTGCTCGGCCTTCGGGGAACGCTCCTCCATCAACTTGTCCTTAGGTTTTGGAAATGAATAGGGAAGTCCCTTCTTTTCCTCCTCACCTGAAACGCATGGATAGTCAATTAGACCTATAACCTCAGGACCCAGGGCAATGGCTCCTGTCCTTCTACGCTGCCTGCTCTGGTCCGCGACAGCTGGAAGGACTGGAGTCACTGCCATCCGAGAGGACGTGGAGGGGCCGGCGTGGTTCGCACTAGCCGGGACGGGTGGTGACCACAGGGCGGCGGCGCCCTTTACCTTTCCTCTCTTTGGGTTTGCTTTTGGAAAGTCCCATAGGTGAGCCTACCGCCCCGCCGGCGCAAGCCGGGGTCCCGGCACCTCCACCGCGGCGCAGCCCGGAGTGACTCACAAAGCTACCTCCTAGCTGCAACTACTCTGGTCACCACGGCAACCGTGTCGCTTTCGGAACCGCGGGCGGTGCCCTATCGCGAGAGTAGCCCGCGCGACCGGAAGTCGTGGATAACCCGGAAGTCTTCGCCGGGAGTAGCTAGTTGCTGCGATCGCGTCCACTGCGCTGTCCGGAGGGGTGCGCTGCCGGACTGGCCATGGACGGTAAGGAGCCGCCCACCTGGAGCCGCGGGCGGGGCTCGGTGGACGACTGAATTCCGACCCGGGGCCCATTCCCTCTAGATCCCGACCCCAGACCGGTCCTCCGGCCTCGACCCCAGATTTCGATCCTATACCTGTCCCCGGGGCTATGACCCTGATACCGACTCGAGACCCGCCTGTGTCCCCAATCCCTCCTCGACCCCAGATGTCGATCCAGGGCCTGACCCTCGGGCCTCGACCCCAGTTGTCGACACGGAGCCCGTTCCCTGGTTTCAAACCCAGGTGTCACCCAGGGACCCGCCCTCCGAGCCTCGACCCCACATCTAACTGTAGACCTGGTCTCCGAACCCCTCCTCTGGCCCTGTCCTCCTCAGCCCCCCCTTTCCGCCAACTGGGAATGAACAGCTATGTAGCTTCTGCCATTGAGGCCCTGGAATGTCGGGCCAGAAGACTCCAGAAATAGTGATAGTTGCAGCCCCTGACCCCAGAACACCTCCTAGAGAAATAAGAACCGCTCAGACAAAAAGCATTCTAAAAGCCAGACACCGTGGTAAAGTGTCTCTTCGCTCGCTCCATTCTACCCCTGGTAAACAGGTTTGGAGGGAACCACCCCTGGCAATCTGCCTCCACAAGTGCTCTGAGCTCAGGACCCTAAAAACTAGAAGAATTCCTGGCAAGATGAAGGTTTTCCGTTTTGCAGAAATATTTACGGGCTGATGTTGTAGACAGATTTTTAAAATATATCCCTTTTGAAATGCAGAAAGCCACATTCTTGTGAAGGAGACACATAGGAACTCTGCTACAGGAGAAGATGAGGTAGCACACACACAAAACACGCAAAGAAAGAGTTTTTTTTGTTTCATGGTGCCTCAGCTCTTGTTTTGAGGGACCTTTTCTTAAGCTCCTGTCATCCTCCAGCTTTTTGTTCTTCAGAGCCTCTCCTCCAGCCCTTTTTTGTGTTGGGTATTTTCAAGCTAGGGTCTCAAGAACTATTTGCCCAGGCTGGCTTCAAACTGCGATCCTCCTAGCCTCCCAAGTAGCTAGAATTACAAGCGCAAGCCACCAGCACTGGACTCAGATGGCATTATTATTTGGGTAGTCCCACCACAGTGTAGATGAGACCACAGGCTGGGAGGGAGAGAATTTGACCAGCTTCCTACAGCCAGTGGGATTGGCTGGGCAACACCCTGGGGTGGTGCTGTTTCACTTGTCCTCTGTATCAGGTGACCTTTGTTTCCCAGAGTCATAGCCATGTTGGCTGTGATCTGTACCTGCACTGAGAAATGATAAACGGATAAATACACAGAGCTCGTTAAAGCCCCAACTGGTCTCACCTGGGAGCTTCGATTTGCACCTGTGGACCCTTTCAGGAATCGAGTGTCACAGCACTTAAGATTTAGAAACTGAGTAAATTGAAATTGATCCAAATCTATTTGGCTCTCAAATTTTTGTGACTAAGTAGCAAGTTTGATTAACACTGGATTTATTCAATACACTCAAGTCTCTTTGTTTGCTGACTGTGGGTCAGGAAGCCCCAGGCCTAAAGGAGTATTTTAGAAATGACAGGTGCTATGGAGCCAGCTCTTTGATGGCCTAAGAGTTAGCACCTTGTTATTTTTGATCCATTTATCTTTGGGAAGATGGAGTATATAAAAAACAGGATGTCAAGTACTAAACATTAAGTTGGGAAAGAATCCAAGTGTCTTTAATTTAATCACACTAATTGTAAGCCACCATCTTGGTTCTCACTATGGCCCAGAGCTGCTTGTGTTACTTTATCTGACTTCCATTAAGGTTGGCTGGTGCCATCTCTGTGTTCTTGACAAGGAAACAGGTTTAGGTAGGGTCAGTGTTGGCTGGAGCCTTATGGCTAGCAAGGCTCCAGGACTGTACAATAGTCCATCTTCTGACTTCACTGTTGGTGAACCTCCCTGAAGGCCCTTGGCAAATCATGCATGTCTTTTGTTCTGTGCCAGCTTCTAGTATCCGAAAGAATCTTAGTGAGTCCATCTGCTGGTTAAAAGCACTACTTGTCACATTTCTTAAAATCCTCAAGCTGTTTCCTCTGTCTTTGCAGATACCCTGTTCCAGTTAAAGGTATGTACTGAATGACTGTTTGCCCCAGTTCTGTCCTGCTGATTAGAAAACAAGTCACACTCAGAACCCCAGGAACAAAAGTCAGGGGCAGGCAGATTATAACAGTTGTCCCCTGTATCAGGTGACCTTTGTTCCCCAGAGTCTGCCACACAGGATTAGGACTGCTGACCAAAGACAGGATTATTGATGAGGCTGGAGACATACTAATCCTTTCTTTGTTTCTGGCTAAGTGGAAGCTGATCACTCAGGCTCATCCATGAAAGACTGAGTATATTATCTTTAAGAAACACATTTTCGGTGTTACATGCATGCCTTGATATTCTGTGAAGCACTTAAAACTGTGGCCTGAAACCCTTCAATGTCACATTTGAAGGAGAACTTTTTGGATAGCTGTGTCCCTCCTTTCAGGGTGGTATTTGCAACTTCCTAGTAATCCAGTGCATGTTTCTGCCAGTTTTCCCTTAAATACCCTCAGAGTTAATCATCCAGGGTTAGCTTCATCTTGTTCATCAAGGTGACATCTACTGAACGTAGCTCTGGGATCCTCTAGCATTCCACCAAAGCTCTGTCAGATGGTGGTGGGGTTTTTTGTTGTTGTTGTTTTTCAGTACTAGGGTTTGAACTCAGGGCCTCACACTTAGTAGGCAGGCACCCTACCACTTGTGCCACTCTGCCAGCCCTTTTTTGTGTTGGGTATTTTTGAGCTAGGGTCTGACTGGCTTCAAACCGCGATCCTCCTGATCCCTGCCTCCCAAGTAGCTAGGATTACAGTTGAGCCACCAGTACCCGGCTCAGATGGTGTTGTTTGAGCAGGCACCTCATGAGGGCAATGCTTGTTGAAGGACCTTGTACTGATCCTGCATGGCTCATGAGCCTCCCAGTGCTCTGGCTCCATATGGATTGCCAGAGGCACAGTGGAGATGTTTGGTATCATTTCTGTTTAGTGTCAGCAGAACAGTGAGACTTCTGGAAAGTGCACAGTCTGTTCTGTGGAGATTGCACTTTTCAGGACTATTTTTAATCTGGAATTCTGCGTTATTACTTGTAGCATGAAACGAGTTCTCCCAGGTCTTTTCTGTAAGTTGAAAGTCCTTTTATAAGCAGGAGTGGGGTCATTGTGAGCTGCCTCTTTAGTCTTCCACTCAGAGGAGGGTTTGGATGAGGACACAGATTTTAGAAAACCTGTCTTAGCTCCCTTCTCCCAGATAGGGCCTTAAAGACAGAGGGGCTGTCTCTTCTTGAGCTGTTTCAGCAAGCTGTCAGGATGCATGTTGGCAGGATTTGTGCGTTGCTTGTTTAGCAGGCACTCTACCACTTGAGCCATATCCCCAGCTGCTTCATGCCTTCTTGGCACATGGCTGGGCCTACACGGGTGGGCAGAGATGTAGGGTGTATGGGGAGTGGGCTTAGAGGGTAGGATCCATGTCTAGTTGGAGCTTTATGTTTTCTACTCAGTTCACAGCAAAGCAGCTGGAGAAGCTAGCCAAAAAGGCAGAGAAGGACTCCAAGGCCGAACAGGCCAAAGTGAAGAAGGTATGTGACTTTTGTGGTCTCCTTTCATTTCTCCCTTATTTTTGTCTTCTGTTTTGTTTTTTATGTCTTGTTATTGTGCAGGGTATTTCCTACATCATGATTGAATCCTCACTGACTTCTGAGCCTTGCAGTTTTTGCTTCCATACCTGAGATGAGCAGGCATGAAGGAAGGGTAGTGGCTCAGTTTCCACCCTCGTGGGCCCATGAGGATCTCCAGAGCAGTACCACAAGTGTACAGCCTTTGTTCCTTTTCTCTGGATGTCCATTCCTCTTATTCCTTTCTGACGTTCTGAACTTGTTTTGCCTAAATTGTTCAGGATATGGGCTTGCAGCTGTCTCTGACCCTGTCTTCTCATTCTCAGCTCTGTCCTGAGAAACCAGTGCCCTGGGCTTAGGATCAGGCAGAGGAGTTGGGTTGCCCCAGGGTAGGCAGGGCTGGAGGCTGTCCAGGGCCTCTCCTAGGAGGGGGTCTGCCTAAAGATGGGCCTGCACAAGGAAAGGTGGGGTGACTTCTTGGTGCAGACTTCAGCCCAATCTTACACAGTTTTTAAAATGTTGCCCCAGGAGCAGAACAGATCTGGGGTTATGGAATTTGGTAAATTCTCACACATACATACACACAGGCTTCCCAGGGCAAGGAATGCAGACAGCTGACTGCGGCCTGTGTAATAGTACTTGCACCTTCCCACCTGTTTACGGCTCCTTTGGACTCTAGGTCACCTGCTCTGCTGTTTGCCACTATGCAGCTGTGGCGCAGGAGGAGCTGCAGTGGGCTGAGAGTGCACTTGTGGGAATAGAGCTCCTGCAGGCTGGTCTGTGCTACTCTGCCTTTGGACGCCCACGCTCCAGGCATAGGTCTTGGGCACTGCATTTTTGTGAAACTCACAGTTGTTTCTGACAAGTATCCTGGAGAGGACACACACACACACACACAGAATCACACACCAATTACAAACTGTGCCCCAGGAGAGGTCCACACCAGGCTCTTAACAGGCAGGGTCTGTGCAGACAAACCACCAAGTTCCCCTACAGATGTTTTCCCCTGATACATTTCCCCCTGAATCTTAGGCCCTTCAGCAGAAAAATGTGGAGTGTGCTCGAGTGTATGCTGAAAATGCCATCCGCAAGAAGAATGAAAGCGTGAATTGGCTCCGCATGGCATCCCGTGTGGATGCAGTGGCCTCTAAGGTTCAGACTGCTGTGACCATGAAGGGGGTGAGTGCTAGGGCCTGATGCCTCATAGCTGGCATGCACTGGCTGAGCAAGAGTGGGGTCTGGTGACTGGATCTGGGGCAGCCCCAGAGTGGAAGGAAGCTGGGCCAGCATAGAGCCCACGCACCAGGGAGTGCTGGACACAGGAAGGCCACTCAGTGGGCATGGGTCTTACAGCTTTCCACAAGAGGCAGACCCCCATGTGGCTAAGCCTGTTGTGGCTGGACTGGGGAAGCAACTCAGACCCCTTTGTTCCATGTTGGGGATCCCCTCCAAGAGAGCCATGCTGGCCTAGAGCCCCACTGTGTCATTACCTATCCTCAAGCGACCATGTGCTGGAACTTGTGTGCTCCTGTGTGTAACTGACATTTCCTGAGACCCTGGGTACTCTTAAAGTCCAAAGGACCTGTAACTGATGGACGAGCCTTGCCTGCCTTTAATTCTGTTCCTGTCCCAGGTTACGAAGAACATGGCACAGGTGACCAAAGCTCTGGACAAGGCCCTGAGTGCCATGGACCTGCAGAAAGTGTCTGCCGTGATGGATAGGTTTGAGCAGCAGGTGCAGAACCTGGATGTACACACATCGGTATGTGGCCACCATGGCCTGGACTGGGCAGCACATCAGGGTGGCTCACAGGCTGATGGGTGTTGGCTCTCTCATAACATTTAGCATCCTCTGAGCTGGGACCTCAAGTGAGAGAGTGGGGACAGCTGCCTTTCTGGGGAGGCTCAGATGGTAGACAAACCCACAGGTGTAGAAAGTGCCCCCTGAAGCAGGTAGACGTCATGAGGTAAGGAACTCAGGTGTTATGGCAGGTAGGGTTGGGGGCCAAACAAAGTGCATCTCAGAGAGAGTAGCTTGGCAAGAAAGTTGGCAAGAAGGGCATGTGGGCAGAGCAAGTGAGAAACACAACAGGCCTGGTGAGGTGGTGGAGGGACTGTGGAGGGGCTCTGAGGATTTGCCCCAGCTTCTCAGAATACACCCATCTCTAGGTGATGGAGGACTCCATGAGCTCAGCCACCACACTGACCACACCTCAAGAGCAGGTGGACAGCCTCATTGTGCAGATCGCCGAGGAGAATGGCCTAGAGGTCTTGGACCAACTCAGCCAACTGCCTGAGGGTGCCTCTGCTGTGGGCGAGAGCTCCGTGCGCAGCCAGGAGGACCAGCTGTCCAGGAGGTAGGGCTATGGATGTGAGCCATCTGTCCATGTGCAGAGTATGGGATAGGTACAGATCGGAGGGCCTGAGGCCTGGGGCTTGACAATAAAAGCCCATACTTATCTGCAAGGCTTTGGGAAGGGCAGAGGGAGGACCCTGGACCTGGGCCTTGGCCTGGAACAGCTCCCTTCTTACATGTGACTGATGGGGTCAGTCCAGTAGTTAGTGTCAAGATGTGGTGGTCACACACATTTGTCTATATGTGGCTCACTTTGGAAGGAAAATCTTTGCTCTTCCTAAGAATGGTGTAATATGTGGGTGTTTCCAGCACCTTTCCATCCATGTTATCCCAGGACAGCTTTGAAAAGCTGAGGCTAAGGAGGAAAATGGTCACATGCTCTGGGTGGATTGGGGACCTTGGCTTCCAGCTGGCATATAATGTGGACATACAGTGTTGCAGGCAGTCCCTGCCCCTTGCCCATCTCACCAGAGTCCTGTTGTTGATTTCCAGGTTGGCTGCCCTGAGGAATTAGCTGTACCCTCCATGGATGGCGCCTCCCCTGCCCTGTGATGTGTTGGAGGCTCCTGCGCCCCTCCTCCCCCACTCCACTGAGCTCACCTTCCTCTGACCCTGCAGAGCTGCACAGAAGCCTGGCCTCAGCTCCTCCCACCTGCCCAGTCAGGTGCCTCAGAACTGATCCTGTTTCTTTTAGGTGTAGGTGGATCTTTGTCCTGTTGTTGAGTTTGCACAAACTTATGTGTGTGACTCTGTAACTCTGAGCCACAGCTGGGAGATTGACAGGCCCCCTGTATCCTCTGCCTGTGCGCAGTTGACAGGGTCTGGCCAGTGATGCATGTGGACTTCAGCCCAGTACTGTGGGGCCTTCTCCAGTGACTGCAGACCTGCTACTTGCTGTGGGTCAGTGAGGGCAGGGCTGCCCTTTGCCAGGCAGCATCTGGGGGCCTCTTTCTCTTCCCCTCGGCAGACAGAAGGTCCCACCACATGACACACAACCCTGAGGAGGTGCCTGTGGACCTGTGTGTGCCGGAGGGTGTCCAGTGCCATCAACACTGTCCTGAGCCCTTTACAAACAACGACCCCCTCCTCCTTCATAGTTCCAGTGCTAGGGTCTTGGCTACCACTGCCAACTGGATGAGCCTTCTCGGGCTTCCTGCCCTTGGCGCCCTCACCCAGCCTACTGGGATAAGAATCGTTGCCCAATTCCAAGTTCAGGTGTGCCTACCTTAAGGGTCATCACCTTCATTTGTTGGCCACCCCTGGGGGTGCCTTGGGCCACTTGGGCTGAGCGTCTTCCGCAACCGGAACCAAGGCTCCTCAGCGCAGGCTCCTTCTTTCCCAGGTCTTTCCTGGTGCCTGTCCTCAGTGAGATGCCATCGTGTCTCCTGTCTGTAAATAACAGGTGCCTCACTTGGCTGCTACCCTCCTGCCTCACCGTGGAAGAAGAGCATCTGGCAAATGGAGCTTGGGACAGTCACCTTTGCCTCAGCCAGCATGGGGGTCCAAGGACCACCTGAACAGTGAGGAGCCAGCTGCAGGTGATCATGAGGCTGCAGGAGTGTGCCCAAGAGGCTTTGGGCACAGGCTGCTGTTCTGTTTTTCCATTTGCTGAACTTCAGTCACGTTTTTGAAACTCGCAGGGTTTTGTTTCTTTGCCAAAGTAGAAAGAAAGCAGCAGATGGGCGTGTTGGGTCCAAGTCCTCTTCCCAGCATGAGTGGCGGTGTGATCGTTGCTGCCACCCCAAAGACTGCAGGGTTATCCACAGAAACAGGGATTTACTTCGAGTCGCTGGGTTTGTTTTTTTTCTATTCTGGGGTCCCTGTTTGTCCCATGCTGGGAGTTGGTGTTGGGGAGGAAAAGGGGTGGTATTGGAGGGTCCCAGATATGGGCATAAAGGTACTGTCTGGCCATGGTTTCCTCTAGGCTCCCTGAAAATAGACCCGCATTGTGGGTGTTGAGGACAGGAGCTGATGTCCCTCATGGGGAACATCCGGGGAGCTCCCTGGCTCTCGGGTTATAGATTTTTGTAGAGTACTCGTGGGGAGGGGGATGCCTAGGCCCAGTTCATCAAAAGAGAGCAGGCGTGATTGCCCTTTTCTTAAAATGCTGTTATAAGTAAATAAATGGATTCCTGAAAACTTTCTCAAGCTTTGCTTTGGTGCCTTGGGTGGGGCTCAGAGCCACAAGCGAGACTCGTAGGAGGCTGAGTTCCGAAGGCAAGAGGGAAGGACACAAAATGTGCAAGAAATGCAGATTCTCAGGCCTTCTCGTAACAGTGGAGAGGGAATCTTCAATTTTACACTTTTATTCTTTTATCTTGAAGTAATTTCCAGCTAACACAAAACTTAGAAAACCAGATTGTATCCAATTTGGGATGTTCAGTTTGGCTTACTGGAGGGGCTCCACCCTGCACCCTTGAGCGCTGAGCACTTCCTTCCTGCACGGCAGGCACTTGGCTCCTCAGGCTCACTTCTGCCCAGCTCAGTAGCAGCCATTTCTCCATGCCCTTTAGAGGGGAGTGATGATTAGGGGTGCATTTCCTGCCTACAGGTGCTCACACTGCCAGGAAGCATAGCTGCCACAAATGCAGTACATCCTTCTGCATGTGTCAGGTGCCATCATTGCACAAGCACACATTCACACTAATGCAGTGAGAATCACTCTAGCCTGCTCTGTTTATAACGTCTTTCTTTTTTTCTTGAGACGGTCTTGCTGTGTAGTGCTGGGATTGCAGATGAGCTCCACAATGCACAGCTCTTATCTGTAGCATCTTCGACAGTGAAAACCTGGTTCTGACATTCACCTCTTTGCTCATTTTTGGTTTTGCTTATTAGTTTATTTGCAGTGCTGGGGCTTGAACACCACTCCTTTGTTTTGTATACAAAGTTGATTCAGAATTGCTAACTCTACCAGCTCAGTAATATAGAACAACAGCTGTGTGTAGCACCAACCTTAGCAGCTACTCTGTAAACATAGTGGCTGGCCTTCTCTTCTGCACCCTGTTCTGGGTGGCCTTGTTCTAGAAGATGCCTTTGCATTCCATTGTGAGAACCTCTCCCTACCAGGCTGGTCCTAATGGCCCACTGTGCTGCAGATGAGGAGGACAGAGGATCTGCCTGCATCCAAAGACTCTGTACTGTGGGGCGGGCTCCTGCTTCACCCCAACCCTCTCTCCAGTGGCCTGTGGAGGCCTGCATATTTCAGAAGACTATCAGCTGGAGGTCAGAATGAGTGAAAAACATCTGCAGAAGCAGAAAGAACTCTCCAGAACCAGATGTTCTTCTGTATGGCAAGCCAGGTGTATTCTCTGGTGCTTTGGTGTGATATTACTGTAGCTAGATTATTTTAGGACCAATAGTAGCGCCTTTCTTGTGCAAAAATAGGTAATACTGCAGAAGCCCACCAGAGGGCCCTTTTCCACAGTCCTAGCCAGACACGGCACAGAAGCCCTTACTGGACCTTTTCCCTCTAACATTGATTGACCCTAAGTAGCCAGCAATGTCCCTATGGCTGCTTAGATTTGCCTGGGGATGGGGAAGTGCTGCTTGGGGTGCATTGTAGTGGGCACAAAGGCAGATTGAACCTGGTTCTGTACTAAGGCCCACGGCCTGGTGGGGTGAGCAGGCCCCCGTCTCTGCATTCCTCAACTGGGTGGTGGCCTGGCCTGCTGGATGACCCTGTGCTCAGCCAATGCAGGCTACGGTCACCCTCTACCCAGGAGCTGAAGGAATGTGCAGCCAGGGAACTTCACATCTCCCAGGAAGGACACCCGAGGGAAAACGTCACATCAGAGAGGCTTTGCAGCCAGGCCTCTCACCCCATGGTGATCAGATGTGGCAGGTACTGGGGAGATACCCTGCTGGTATCCAGACAGAGTTGTCTATGGCTAAGGCCAGCAGGGGAGCAGCAGACATGTGCAGAGGTCCTGATCTGTGCTCTCACAAGGTTATTCAAGATCCACCATCAAATGTCCTCATGGGAAAGCCTGAGTCCCCATCTCCACTAATGAAGAGGACATTGCTGGGCAGCCCACACTGAGACCACCTCTGTCTCTGTGGGTCTGCCAGGACCTGATGTTGGGTGTGTGAGGTGGCCGTGGAGCCCACCCCATCCAGATGTTACCCTCCCAGTCATCCAGAGGCTAGACCAGAGGAACGTCCTGCAAATGCTGATTCTGAGTCCCTCCTCAGATCCACAGACCACAAGTGATCAGGGGTGGGTGAGTGCATGTGTCTCTCTGTTCAGACGTAGGAGTGCATGTGGTATATGTCAGGGTACTTATGTATGAGACTATAGATGTGTGTGTGTACCTGAGTGCACGCATGTGCACGTGTGGGATGTATGCACGAGTGTATTTATTGCAAGAGTACATGTATGTGGGGGTGTATTGTATGCCTGTGGTATGCACATTAGTGATGTGGAACGGTGGCCACTGGAGCCTGGACCACATCTCTTAGCAAAATCCGTGTAGAGCCCTTTTTAAGACCTTCTGAGCTCCCTCTGGCCCTCACCTTCCAGGACTCAGGCACTCCCATGCCCTTGTCCACTAGGGTCGAGTCTCACAAAACCTGCTCTCCAATACTCAGGAATGCCCCCCTTTTCCCCCCAGGTCGGGGCACTGATGACACATGCCCTCAGGACTTGAAGGGGCCGTTGCTTTTATTGAAGGTCTACTGTGTGTTGAATCTTGAGCTGTCTGTCCCTGGTGAGCCCAGTGCCCGCTCAGGAGAGGGTGGGCCTTGTGCATGAATAGCAGGGGCCTGGGGCCTGGGGGGTCTTGGTTCGGTCACTCTTCCCTGAGCTTCAGGAGCCTGAAGGAGGTCCTGGTTCCCAGGGTATCACAGAAGATGAAGACTAAAGAACAGTGCAGCCAGTAAAGCCAGCAGGGCCCCCGGCTGGCGGTGGAGGCCAGGGGCCTCTGAGTAGCCATAGTTTGTCCTGCAGGAGCCATCCAGCTGGTCTAGTGGGATGGGTTCCTCCTCAGGAGGCTGCAGGTGATTGCTTGCCTGGGGACACAGACACAGGTTAGGCAGCTGGCCCAGTGGCTGGGGAAGAGTGAGAAACATGGCTGGTCACCTCGCCCTCACCTTCTCTACTTCTGAGAAGACCCTCAGCAGGTTGTCAGACAGCACACCCCTGACCTCCACCTCTGTCCAGTTCCTCCTAAGCAGCTCAGCAATCAGGTCTGGGTACTTGGAGACATCCTCCAGTCCCACAGGGAGCCTGTGCCGAGGCCAAGAGGATGGGTCAGGCCACTCCCAGGGCACCCGGAGGCCAATAGAGCAGGCTTATACCAGGATGTCCTGAGGCTCAGGACATCCTCCTCACCCCTCCATTCCCTCAGGACATTGATGAGGTCACAACCCCGCAGTTCATCACAGGACAAAGTCTCACACTTACCTCTCAACACCATCATAGTCCCCTCCAAGGCCCACGGCCCTGGCGCCTGCCACCTTCTTGATGTGATCCAGGTGGTCTGTGGGGAGTGACAGGTATAGATCTCATATGCGAGGCCTCCCCCTCTTGGCCACCATAGGGTCACAACCCACCTACCAGCCACTTGGGACAGGCTGGCCTCCTTCGTGCAGGACACAAAGTCGGTGTAGAAGTTCACCATCACCAGGCTTCCCGTGTCCTTCTGCTCAGAGAGAGGTGGGGGCTGAGAGCAAGCAAGAACCCATGGGAGGCAAGGGGCTCCCCTCCGCACCCCAGCCCCTCACCACAAGCTGGAGGACATCGTCAGGCACGTTCCGCCCACTTGGACACAGGCTGTAGGCAGAGGAGTGGCTGAAGATGACCGGGGCCTTAGACAGCTGCAGGGCAGCCTTCATGGTATTCACAGACACATGGGCCAAGTCGATCATGATGCCCAGACGGTTCATCTCCTTCACCACGCGCTGGGGGAGGAGACAGGTCTGGGGTCCACCTCACTGCCCCCCAAGGTCAGGGCACAGGAGAGGCAGCACTGGACCAGGTGTTAATTAACCCTTCGATGGCTAGAAGTTTGGGACCCACTCAGGGTTCAGGGTTCTGAACTCCAGTGGGTTCCAGCAAGCTCTCCCTGGGGACAAGCACTGTAGCTCCATTTTACTGACAAGGAAACAGGTCCTAAGAGGTAAGACACCCTATATTAGTCCCTCTCTGTACCTTCTCTGGAGACTGTGGTCCTTGCCCTTCCCCCTCACCTGTCCAAAAAGTGATAGCCCTTGGTTCTCAGCCTTGTCACTTCCTCCATCCATCTGCCAGTTTTCTGCCCTGGAGAGCAAAGTGCAGGTGTCTGAAGAGTGGGATGGAGGTCTTGGCCCCACCCTCACCCACTGGCTGACAAGACCTGGCCTAGAGGGGCCTTGGGAGAAGAGGAGGGCGCCCAAGGGATACGAGGGATAATGTTTGCTCACGCCCCTCATCTACAGCCCCAGGGTCCTCACAGTCAGGCACCCTTACCAGGGTGTGTCACAGTTGTGAGTGAGGGTCAGGTACCGCATGCCTAGGTGATAGAGTGCCCGCAAGACACCCAGGCTGCTGTCGATGGAGTGACCGCCCTCCACGCCAATCAGACTGGCCACCTTCCCCTCCTGGAAGGCCTGCTGGACGCCTGCAGAGAACAGGGGATGGCAGCACTGGGTGTCCAGGGTCCAAGGTCCTGCCCCAGCATCAGCAACCCTACTTGAGAAGAAGCCTGGTGGGGAACTCGGGGGCCTAGGCTGGGACCCCACCTTCACTGCTGGTGACACAAAGGAAGGTCTCAGGGTATGTTTGGCACATGCGGTTTATGACGTCCATCTGCTCCAGTGTCCTCTTCACGGCGTCCTTGTTCTGGGTGTCGCAGGGTATATACGCAGACCAGAACTAGGGACAAAGGGGGAAGAAGCTGATGGCCCAGCACCCCCGTGTGTACATAATGTCCGGTCTGGATGCCCCGGTGTAACACATGCTTTTGCTGAGGAACACTGACTCCTCACTTGGCCCACAAATTAACTGAAAGCAGAATAAAAGCTAGCTGTCCCAGCCTGCATTTTAGATCTGTGTCCTTTGTTCTGATCTATTCTCTCATTGAAATCTTGGAAGAACAGGACAGATTGATAACATCTTTATAACAAGGAAGAGCAGATCCTTCAGAAGACAGACCACCTGCCAGGTGTCAGTGACTCTTACTGTAACAAGGCCACATCTGACAGTCCTGGGACAATGAGCTACCAGACCCCGCTGATACCTCTGACCACCAGAACACACCTGTGACTGAGACTATTTAATAATTGTGCATACCTCCCCCCTCAGTTCCTACCCCTATTAACCCTAAAGCAAATGTCTAGAAGACAGAAGAAGTGCTTTCTTCCCATGGCTGCTATGTTGTGTGGTAAATTTCCTTTCTCTGTTCTTTGCTATTGCTCTGTATTTGCCATACTGGAGTGAGTGACAAGCCCTGACCTATGGAACCCAGGAATTTGGGCCTGGTACCTAAAACCTCCTGTAACACCAGGGTGGCCCAAGTAGCTGTGCCCTGCTCCTGGGTGGCTCCACTGGCTGTGCCCTGTGTGTGTGTAGGGGTGGGGATGGGGGGCACGAGGCATGCCACACCAAGGAGGGCCACCTGCCCACGGGGGAGGTGCTGTGTACTCCCATGCAGAGAATGTGCAAGACAGAAAGGGCGTACCTGACCCCCCACAAAGCCAGCCTTCAGCTTGGGGATGTTGGTGTGAGTGTCAGTCAGTGTGGTCAGGTTGGCCCTCTGATCCTGCAGCTGGTTGTTGAACAGTTTCAGCAGTTGCCAGGGCAGGTCATTGTGCCTGGGGGAGGCAGAGGGATTCAAGGTAAGTCAAAGTATCCACTTGCACCTGGAACTTCTGAGCAACATAGTCCACAGGTTGTCCTCTCCACCTCCTGCTCCCATAGCTTAGTACATGGGGGTGAAGATTACACGTTACCTGAACACATCTGCCAAAGGTGAGTCTCCTAACTGTACCCCACCCCAGGCCAGGTAAGTGTGAGCTGAGCATAGCTGGATGGGTCCCTGTCTTCCAAGACCTTTCTGGAAGGAGGAGAGGGTAAACGACTGCTCTGCTTCAAAATTGCCTGGGACTGGGAGGGAACCAGCTGAGACAACCTCCTAAACCTGACCTTCATAGCTTAAAGGTTAAATCTGCCCTTTCAGGGAGGGGACAGCCTGGCCCCATCTTCTCCCCTGCCCACAGAGCAGGACAGCAGGCAGAAGACTCTGGCTACCCAGGCCCCTCTGTTTCCTCTATCGCTAGGGGAAAGCCCTAATGAGCTCCCAGTCAAGTCTGTCTGCCTCTGCTGGCTGAGGTCCTCTCAGCTCCTCCCAGGAGCAGCTGGGGAAAGAGGGAGAGAGCTTCCATGAAGAAATGGGGAAGGCCATTCAGAGGTGGTGCTGAGTGGGCCTTGGGAGGGCCTCCAGCTCTGTCCAGGTAAGCCTGGGACCTACTCCTCCCTGAACTCCAGCAGATGGAGCCCAGGAACAGCCCAAGTCAGCAGTCACTAGAAATGCACCCTGAGACCCAGCTCAAAGCTTGAGTTGAGATGTACACCTTGCTGATTTTCATGCACAGGATGGTTTGAGGAGGTGCTTGGGGCCCAGACAACAGATACCAGTGTCTGGGTGGTGTTGAGCTGGGGCCGCAGGTTCCCTGTAAGGTGGCCTGAGACCACCTCCCCTCCCCAGGTCTGGCTCCATCGCCCCTGTCTAGTAGTTTCCATCGTGAGTTCCAGTTCCCCTGTGCCTCGCTTTCCTCATCTGCTCTCCATATCATGGGATGTCTCAGTGTCTTCCTCAGAGAGTAAATTGTGGGGGTAAATGAGTAACTGGTAATACAGCCGTGTGATCCATTCATCCTGTGCAGCATCTTGGAAACTACCGCGCCTCTGTCATCCCCAGGGTTACAGCCACAGAGGCCTGTTGTCCCCCACACAGCCCCTGGTTCTCCCATGGTCAGCATGGGGACATGACTACAGCACCACATCATGTCACATTTGCTGATGCTGCCACCATCAGTTCCCCTTTACCCTGACCCAAATCCACCACTTCCAGAGCCAGTCGACCCTCAAAGCTCCTTTGGGGAAACAGAGAGACATGCAGCCCTCCCTGGGCTGATGCCCCTAGGCAAAGAGGCACAGGCTTCAGTCTCCAGTGTGAAAATCAGTCCCCAGGAAAGGTGCCCTGAGGGTCTTGTCCGGTCCTCCTGGGGCCCCCACCACAGGTGTCATCTTCTGGAAATTGTGGGATTTGATAGTCTGAGCTGAGTTGCTGTCTCCAGCACTTGACAGGGTGATCAGGATGCATTTATCAAATGGATGAATGAGTGGTGGGTGACCGTGCACCAGCCAAGGGTAGCCTCACTGTGCAGGGGCAGGGCAAGGCAGGGCTCCAGGAAAGGGACTTTAGTCCTTTGTCAGAGGACATGTACAACCTGTGTACTAGACAATCCGTCCCCAGCATGGGTGTCAGGGGGATGGGTGGGGCCCTTGGGACCCCAGGAGCCCCCCGGCAGCACTTAATGGCTGTCTGTGCTCCTCTTTCTTCATGCCTGTCCACCTTCCATGGAAAGACAAAATAGGAGGGCAGGGCCTCCTGTGTCCCAGGGAGACAGAGCCACCGCTACCTATGCCACTCAAACTGCACTTCTGGAGGCTGTGGGCCTTGGGGGCCGTCAGGGGGCTGGAGGGGAATCTATCAGAAGTCCCCATAGTGACGCAGAGTGGAAGAGGGTGGGGAGACAACTTGGAAAGGAGCAGGTAAAGGCCGCTAAGCAGCCAAGCAAGGTCAGAGGGCACAGTGAGGGCAGGATGGGCACGCACGCAAGGTCCCCCATGGCAAGAAAGAGAGGTGTTAGGGCATCTGCCACTGGGCCAGGCAAGAGAGAGGAAAGCCTTCTGCGAACCTGTAAGGACGCCACCCTCACCTGCACTTCTGAGGGAGGGAGCTGAGGCCCAGACAGTTGACATGACTGGCTGGCCGTCCCCTGCCCCCACCCCACACTGAACTTGGGAGCCCTGGGAGGCAGGGACTTAGCCATGCCTCCTTTCTGCCCTATCCCAACAGACCCTCCTCCGCCAAAGCCTTTGGGGCCCTGAGAGATCCCACAGAGAAACTGAGCCCCAGCTAAGGCGAAGTGTGTGAGCCTCCCACCCACTCCCCCACTCAATAGGTGGCCACTCACCCATCAACAACAGGCGTGTCTCGCATGATTTTTTCTGCCTGTTCCCGGAATGAGTCTGCAGCACAGACAGCCAGGAGGGGCCAGAGCCACCAGCTGGTCCACATTGTGAGGTCCCCAGGGATTTGCCTTCACAGCTGCCCTTGGAAAGGACAAGCTCAGGGCTGGGAGGAACAGCACTGCCTGCAAGGAGAAAGGACAGAGGCCTTTGGTCCAGGCGATCAATGCCAGGGGCTGTGCTGTTCACAGCTGTTTTGTTCAATAAGTAACCAGAGCGTTCCCTTCCAGGGTGGGTAGGATAGATAGTCTGAGACCCAAGGGCTGGGCGTTGCTGTCCAGACTAGGCAGAGGCATAGTAAGATACTGGAATCCCAGACCCAGGAAGGGGTGGGGATCCACAGGAAAGGACAAGGGCTTGGGAGTGGGCCAGCACAGGGCAGGGGTTAACAGACATTAGCTGCTACCTGGCTTGCTAGCATACCTGTCCCTGGACAGCATCAGACCCCCACCCAGATCAACCGTGCAGGGCCCAGCTCACGAAGGTGCCATAGCAATGACAGGCCAATGTCATGGGTCAGACCAGGTCCAACCAGGGCCCAGCCCTCTCCTTTCCTCCTGCCCCCTTAGAAGCAAGGTAAGAGTCAGCCCTGGCTCTGCCACCAGCAGCTGTATTTCCCAGGGCAGATGTCTGGGTCCCTGAACCTCAGTTTCCCTCCTGGTGACAGCACCTCAAAAGGCTTCTGGGGGGACTGGGCCAGGTGGTAGTTGTCAGTGCCCCCTCCACCCCCATCTCTCTCCTCTCTTCACCCCCACCTGCCATTCACAGCCAGGGTATGGAGCCAGGTTTGTGCCTTCCTCCCAGCCACTGCTGTCCCTCGGCCAGGAGACCCCTTCCCTGGAAATACCCCCATTGACAGACTCCCAAGGGACCTGGGCTCTCCTTTTGGGACATTGCCCTCTAAGAAGATCACCTAGGGGCCTGTAACCAAACTGATGGGGGAACATATCAGAGTGCCTGTCAGGCAGCCTGGACCCAGCTCAGCAGTGAACCCAGGGCCACCTGAGTCTACTCAGGTAAAGCCTGGACTCTGCATAGCTAAGAGGGTGATGACTTTGCCCTTTTGCAGGCACTGTGGGCCCCAGCACACCTCTCCTCCTCCTGGTGCCTGGTGTCCATTCATGCTCAGCCTCCCTGACCTATCTCAGACAAGAGGGGTGGGGCCCCTGATGGCCTTGGGCTTGCAAAAGAGGTTGATTTCTATGTAGCCTAGGCTGGCCTTGAAGTGAAGATCCTGTTGCTTCAGCCTCCCTAGCACTGGGATTGTAGATGTGAGTCACTACACCTGGATTGCATTTTCTTTCGGTGGTACAGAGGTTTGAACTCAAGGCCTCATGCTTGCTACGCAGGTGCTCTGCCACTTGAGCCATGCCCTGTGTTTTATTTTTCAGCTTGGTCTGACAATCTCTGCAAATAGGATAATCTAAGAAGTTCTGCCTGGTCTCCCCTCACTGGCCTATTCCAGTCGCTCTTTCTTGTACTCTCCCCAGGCCTCCGTCTCCAATTCTTGCTTTTACTACATCTGTCAAGTTATTCTTTCTCCAACTCCACAACTAGAACATTGTTTTTTATATCACTGTTTGCTAGCATTTTCCTTGCTTTTTAAATAGCCATATATATAATCCATCAGGGCATGGCAGTCTGTAATCCCAGATACTCAGGAGGCAGAGGCAGGAGGATTGAGAGTTTGAGGTCAGCGTGGGCAAAATAGACTCTATCTCAAAATAAATAAATAAATAAATAAAGACAAAAGTGTTGGGAGCATGGCTCAAGCATGAGGTCCAGTGTTCAAACTCCAGTACAGCAAAAAGAAAAGAAAAAGAAACAATACATTTCCCCTAGATTCATTGTTCCTTATGTATTTTCTTTTGAGGTATTTATTCTGATTTATGAGTCTTTTGTCTTCAGATCTTTCTTGGGAATCTTCCTCAGAAATGATGGGGTTTGTATCAAGTCTGAATTCTTATGGGATGAACTGTCAGTACCATCCTGCGGTGGGTAGGCGGTCATGTTTATACATGCCCAGCATTGGATTGTGAATTTCTTTCCATGTTTGAATTTGGTTTTGTCTGAATTGTTTAATTTTAAAAAAAATTCTCTGGTCACTCTTTTGCAATAGTTTGTTGGTTTAAAAGCCCAAAAGAACCTGGCACTTGTGGCTCACACCTGTAATCCTAGCTACTCAGGAGGCAGAGATCAGGAGCATAGAGGTTCAGGCTAGCGCAGGTAAAAAGTGAGACCCTATCTCAAAAATACCCAGCACAAAAAAAGGGCTGGTGGAATGGCTCAATGGTAGAGCACCTGCCTAGCAAGCATGAGACTGAGTTCAAACCCCAATATTGTCAAAAAATAAATAAATAAAAAGTCAAAAGAAAAGGATTTATAACCAGCCCACCTTCCTCAGCCCTACCTGAGAGATAATCTTTCGGACTCCGATAGCCTCCGCAGCTCTGAATAATGGCCTCCCAGTGTTCTTTCTTCATTCCTTACTTTATATGTTATCTACTGATGTCCTCTTTTTTTATGTTTTTGTGTTTGATTTTTTCTTTTTGTTTTTGCAGTGCTGGGATGGAACCAACACAGAGCCTCAATCATGCTGACAAGCATCCTTCTACTGAGCTACATCCCAGCTACTCAATGCAAAAACATTTTAAATCTAAATTAATGTAAAAAAGTCCATGTGAAATAAAACACTTTAAATTTTTTAAATAAAGATGGGGTCAATGTTCAACTTTTCCTTTTACCTCTGCTTCCACATGGGAACATTCCCTATTGTTTTGTGACTTCAGCGTCAGATGGTTCTTGCCTCTGTGTGATAGGTCATTTCCAGGACTCCGCTGCCCATGACCACACGTGCTCAGGTACCATGCAAAGCAGGGAGCTCAAGGCCAGCACACCACATGGGCCCAGGGCAGATGAGCAACACGCAGCCCACTCCCAAGCCTTAGGAGAACAAGGACAGAGCATGCTAGAGCAAGGGTCCTCTGAGCATGAGCCCAAATCCTGTCCTGCATGGTTGCAATTCATTTCACTCCTGAGGCTCAAAACCACCCAGCTTCATCTGACATGAGCGTAACCTGGAGAGTCCTTGTGCCTTGGGTCAGATTGCTGGGTTCCCACTATTGCACTGGCGGATGGAGAGTATTGCAAGCTGCTCAGATTTCTCAGCCTGAGAGTCTTTGTAAAGTCAAAGTCATGGAAGACCTGCTTCTCAGTAGAAGTTAGGAGCAAAATGTGACACCCTTAGGGTCACTTGACTAGTAACTAACCTGCCCTTTCGAAAGGGATTTGTTCTTTATCCTGGGGTTTCTAATTATCTGATTTTTATTATTATTATTACCCCATTGGGTAGTTATTATTTATATTCTTACAATCTTTTTTTTTTTGGTGGCACTGGGGTTTGAACTCGGAGCCCCTGTTTGAGTCTCTCTGCCAGCCTACAGTCTTCTATTTTCTTAGCTGCACAGCCTGCCCCTCCCACCGCCCAGCCTCTTCCTGCCCCTCCAGCTGCCCTCTCCAACTTTGCTGCCTTTCCCAGCTTGGAACCTACTCTTTCCTCTAAATTTCTGTACTTTTAATCATCCTTCTTTTTATATATTTTTACTTATGATTGTATTAGCATATAATAGTTGTACAGGGGCTAATCTTCCGTCTTTTTGGCCCCTAGTCTTGTTTTGTTAGAACAAGTCCTGAGAGTCTGTCCTGGTCTCTTCTGCCCTAGGACCTGATCAACCGTGTTGCTGGGTTTGCAGTTCTGGGTTGTAAACCATTTTCCCCGAAATTGAAGGCTCCAAAGTCTGTCTCGCTTGAGCTGTTGGGGGAACATCAGGTCAGCTTACATTCCTGTTCTTTGCAGGTGACCTGCTTGTTCCTTTTTTTCCCCCCGCTGGCAGTACTGGGGTTTAAACCCAGGGCCTTGTGCTTGCTAGGAAAGCACTCTATTGCTTGAGTTACACCCATAGCACTTTTTTTTTTACTTTAGTTATTTTTTGGATAGGATCTTATGTTTTTTTCCAGGGCCACACTGGACCATGACATGCTCCACTACCACTTGGCTCGTTTATTGGCAGGGGGTCTTGCTAACTTTATGCCCTGGTTGGACTTGAACCTTGACTTCCTGATCTCTGCCTCCAGGAGGTGGGATTACAAGCACACACTTCTGTGCCTAACCTATCATAAATAATCTTTCTTCTGCAGTCTGGAGTCACCTCCTCAGCCTGTGCATTACTTTAAGATAGTATTTTTCATTCACCAGCTTAGCATGTCAGGTTCAGTTGGCCAGGACACCTTCTAAGAGTTCTCCTCTCCTCTTGCCTTTCTGACCTCTTCCTTGCCCTTTCTCCAATACTGACCATCCTGGGTTTGTTCTTTATTCTCCTTTCTCAGGTTTCTTGTGCTTTCATTCTGCGTCCTGAGTGATTTCTTCCATTCTGTCCTCCGGCACTTCTTTTTTTTTTTTTCAGTATTGGGGTTTGAACTCAGGGTTTCATGCTTCTTAGGTGGGCGCTCTACACTTGAGCTATGCACCCAGCCCATGCCCCTCAACATTTTTATTTCATGTTTTCTTTCAGAAATTATATATTTGGCCTCCCAAGAGTGGCCTCTTGTTGCTCCTTCCCTTGGCATCTTGCTCTGGCTTAGGGAAGCCATATTCGTCTGACCCCAGTCAGCAAGCTGTTTTCTTTTGTTCTCTTTGGTTTACTGAATGGGCTCCAGCCTCCTTCTTCCTGTTTATCTGGACCTTTCATTGCATTTACAGCATTCCTCAACCAGCTGGCAATCCTTGTTGCTTTGTAAGACTAAGACTGGAGCAAGAGAAAAATGGGCTGTGCTGTACCTGTGTGGGAGGCTGTCAATCTAAGCTCAAATGCTGGAGGCTGGAGGGGAGCCGACTGCAAAGAAGGGGCTCGTGAAAGAGCGAATGCAACATGAGGGCTTTTGGAAATAGTCTGGTTCTCTCAGACTTCCTGGTTCTCAGGGAAGCTCTCCTTGCCACTTCTCTTCTGCTGTGGCTGGGTTAGGATCCTGCATCTATGTGAGGCATCCTGG